AATGATCAAAAGTTCTTTGGATGACTTCATACTTATGTTACGTACGGAAGGGGATGGTGAAAATGGGAAGAAAAATTATGAGCAGAGAAACACAAGCGACGACGAGAGACGATACTGGATCGAATGACTAACTGGCTTTTAGCTATCTACAGTCACATGCCTCGCTTATGCACGCCCCGCCCAACGAAAGAGAGCGAACGGGTGAGAGACGCCGGAAATCCATCAATTTTTTTGAGTCATCAGAAATGGTCTCGAAGAGAATTTTCGTTGTTTACGAAATAGCTGATCAAAAATCAAATCTGTCCAATAGAGCTTGAATTGTTTCCCAGAAGCCATTTCAGGTGCTGATTACGATTCAGCTTTTAGATTTCAGGAAAATTAAAGTTCAAAAAAGTTACGACATGTTTTAGGGAGTGTTTTCGTTCGAGTCCTTCTGAACTGAGTTTCAATCTTCAGTAAATCCACGAAAAAAACTAGCAAATTTTCGAATAGATCCCAATGCCTGAATGAACTAAAAAGGGATCTCAGTGTTAGATATCAATCATGACGCCAAGGGGTTTTGACTACAAAAACTGATGTACTCTCAAGGACTCTGTTATGATAAACAGTTTTATAAATCAGCTTACTAAACACATTTCCTAGGCGTCATTTCAGATACTAAATAGGATTCTGTTTTTCAAAAACGGATGAAAACGAACGACGATACAGGGCCGAACGACTAACTGACTATCGACAACCTAATGCTTTACTGTTATGCCAGCCCCGCCCAATGATAGATTGCGCAGGAGTGAGAGGCGGCAGAGAAATCCATCAAGAAGATTTTGAGTCATCAGAAATGGTTTCGAGGAAATTTTTTTTGTTGTTTACGAAATAGCTGATCAAAGATCAAACCGTTCTGATTGGTGTTCGAAATTACAGTATATGTATCTATTAGCAAAAATGCTAATTTTTAGGACATATCCTGGTCCTTGGGCCTATCAAAACAGGATCTCAGTTTCAGCTATCAACCATGATCTGAGGGGTTCTTGACTACCAAAAATACCAAAAATGCCAGACGACAATTCAGCCGGCTCAACAAGAATCGACCTGAAGCTCCATCTTTTCCGCACCCGACAGACAGTATAGGAGTCACCAAGCCACCAGCTTACCGGGGTTTCAAGGATCACTGAAGCACTACTGGATACTTCACAAAAGCGCTAAAATGTTAGTGAACATAGGAAATTCACCCAAATCCAAACCCTTTTCTCTACCATTTCGAAAGCTTAAACGGGCAAGGCACCTCTACTCCAAGCTTCTTAAAACTCCAACTACGGCCCCCAGGAAAATTCTCCATGTTCGAACTCGTGTCAAATCTCTCACTCGAACAATCAATAAGAAAATGGTAAGTGACGAATTCTGAATCCTCTCAGCCCCACACTGTCGTGCTGCCCGCGCCCTCATTAAAAGTTGAATTAGATCTTCACCTAAAGTCCCACCTCTTTCTGCTAACGGCTGTCTTATAACCTCTGAACGCGAAAAATCCACCCTTTTCACCAAAACATTCTCTTCTAATTATAATCATCTCACTTCATCCGCATCCATCACTCTCGCAATAAGTCATCAGCACCTTCCTTTTTCTGGCTCTGACCTTGAAATCTTCGATCCCTGGATAATTGAAAAGCTTCTTCGCAAACTCCCGCCTCGTTGTGGCTATTCTCCCCATTCGGCCAATTACTTTATCATTAAAAAATGCGCCACCACTCTAGCATTACCTTTATCGATTATCTTCTCCGACTCACTCTCCACGTCACATGTACCCGACTCTTGGAAACACGCAGTAGTCGTTCCCATACCAAAAAAGGGTTCTCCTTCATCGCCCGAAAACTATCGCCCCATTTCGCTTACTGACCCATTCGCTCGAATTTTCGAACGATTGGTATGTGATCGCATCAAATGGGAATTCCTTCATCAATTCAGTAGTCTTCAACATGGTTTTCTCTCCTACAGATCCTGCACCACCTCTCTAGTTCAATCTTTTTTAAAATAATAAAGCTACTCTTTTGAAATACAATACACTAGACGTCGTCTTTTTCGATTTCCGCAAAGCTTTCGACCAGGTACATCATCAACTTCTCATCCAGAAACTTGCTAGCTTTGGAGTCCCTAAATCTTACGTAGCTTGGTTCTCCTCGTTTCTCTCTGGTCGAACGTTCTCTGTCAAAATCTATGATTTTATTGGACCCCCTTCCTCTGTCATTCCCTCTGGTGTTCCTCAAGGATCAGTCTCCGGTCCCTTACTATTTCTCATCTTCATCAATGATCTGCTCTTAGAACTTGAACAAATCCCCTTTTCACCTTGCCGCCTTTGCTGATGATATCAAATTGTATTCTCATGACCCAATCGCCCTTCAAACTGGTATCAACATGGTTGTAAATTGGGCTACCGCCAACCTCTCCCTCTTGCCCACTCTAAAACTGCCCTTCTTCGCCTAGGTTCCCATAATTCTTCCCATCCTCTCAATATTGCGGGTGTCACACTTACTCCCTCCTCCTCCGTCCGGGACATGGGACTCATTACTGATTCCTTTCTCAAATTCTCTGCTCACATCAACAAAATCACCTCTTTAGCTCTTCTCCGTTCCAAACAAATCTTAAAGTCATTTAGATCTAAGTCTCCAGAATTCTACATTCATCTTTTCAAATGTTATGTTCTCCCGATTCTTGAATATTGTTCTGTAGTTTATTCCCCTCCGCCTTCTTCTCGCCTTGCTCTAAAACTAGAATCTCCCTTAAGATTTTTCTCTAAGTGTATTTTCCAGCGTTGTAATATCCAGTACAGTACCTATTCTGATCGTCTCTCTATCCTCAATATGTTCTCCATTTGACATCGTAGGCTAAAAGCTCAACTAATTCAACTAATTCTTAAAAATCTTAAGGGAGATTCTAGTTTTAGAGCAAGGCGAGAAGAAGGCGGAGGGGAATAAACTACAGAACAATATTCAAGAATCGGGAGAACATAACATTTGAAAAGATGAATGTAGAATTCTGGAGACTCAGATCTAAATGACTTTAAGAGTTGTTTGAAACGGAGAAGAGCTAAAGATGTGATTTTGTTGATGTGAGCAGAGAATTTGAGAGAGGAATTCCCATTTGATGCGATCACATACCAATCGTTCGAAAATTCGAGCGAATGGGTCACTAAGCGAAATGGGGCGATTGTTTTCGGGCGATGAAGGAGAACCCTTTTTTGGTATGGGAACGACTACTGCGCGTTTCCAAGAGTCGGGTACATGTGACGTGGAGAGTGAGTCAGAGAAGATAATTATTTTTGTCTTTTTTTCCTTATTCTTCTTTTGGCCCATCACTTGCCCCCTCGGGCTTGCTCAGCTTTCTTCTTTCAGCGAGTTTTCACATTCTTGTTTGGTTTGTCAGCATTCATGTACGTAAGTGTTAACGAATGATTAACGTGCACAACAAATGATCAACGTTCACTGTTATTCTCTATTTTCAGCAAATCCAGTCGAATTGGTTGACAGCATTTGAAAAATACACAGATGCCATGTGTGAAATCATTGTTTCTCAGTAGAGAAAAATTCACCACAATACTTTTTGCATAGAATGTAGGTTAGAAACAAGTAATGTCAGAATTCATTTAAAATATAACCACCATTAATTTTTATCAAATGTTATGTTTCCGCAATGAATTATAACAAAGGTACTGGTATGTTGTCTAGATCAATTTTTTGATGCGCTTGAATCCGCTGAAGCTTCAATCTGAAAACGCGGAAATGTCTTACAGACCTATTTCTATATTATTCTCACCAGAAACAAGATGATTCCGATGAATGAGAAAACGATGAGTGCCCAGCAAGTCCAGCTCACTGAAATTAGAATATGTCTTCTTGAATTTTTACCAAATATTTGAGAACTCACTAGGCTCTGTTTTCTTTTCGATTTTGTAGATGCGCTCGGCTCGATGTTTCTTCCGGATTTCCGTTGCTTCTTGTCCAACACGACGTCTGCGAAGCTCTTGGTCCGCCATCGTTAAATCAGTCAAAGCGATGAGAAGAGAAGTGAATATATATAGTTGGGTGAATGAAAGAAGTTTTGAATTGAGGCAAATGCGGAGGGGCTTTGAGTAATCAATGGGTTGTTGCCCGCTAGCTGCGGTTGTCAAGGTAACTTGTGTTAACAATAACTTAGAGTAAACGCGGAAAAGAGAGGGTTCGTGAAGCTGTTAGGGAAACGAGAGGGAAAAAAAAGTACATGCTTTTGAATATTTTATTTTCATAAAGAAGGCGGGATTTGGGTAAATGCTCCTGAACCGAAATCATATTACTTATTTGCTGGAAACATCATTTTTCAATACTAAAAAATAGGAGAGAAATCACAGACGGATCTTCGATGAGCAAGACACTGATGAGAGATTTTTTTTTCTGAGTCATTTTTTCTGAGTCTTTCATGTCCTGCCCTCTAATGTTTTATTCACCTGATCAATAAACAAATTAAATTAAATTAAATTTTTTCTGGATTGAAATCAATTTGAAATTTGATTTTTCGAAAAAAGTCGAAAATGAATGTATTTTTTTCAAAATCAGAACAAAAAAATTTTTAAAAGATTTTGACACCTTTTGACATTTTCAGAGAGATCAGAAAAAAAACAAAAAAACAAATCGAGGAGGGAGGGATCGAACCTAACCCTAGTCAGTTACAGCTATCCCTCTTCACCACCATCCTTCTTCTTCACCGAATCCTAACTAGTTTTCTAAAATGATATTTGAAAAGGTATCGGCTAAGGACAATGCGTTCAATTTTTTGTATATGAGATCCTTTTTAATTTCTTTTTTTTAAATATCGAATCTTTGCGAGATTTATTCATCTTGATTACAACAGTGAGAATGTGTATGAAATAAAAATGAATGAAATGCATGCACAATTACGGGGTCTTTTTGAAATAATGGGGGGGGGGGACTGAAATTTAAAGAATGGGAAAAGTTTGGATACGAGCAGCGTCAGACACCTCAGAAGCACTTGCGGTGAACAATGGAAGAACCAGACTCGTCGTATTCTTCCTTTGAAATCCACATCTCTTGGAAGCTGTCGAGAGATGCGAGAATAGATCCGCCCATCCAAACGGAATACTTGCGCTCCGGTGGCGCGATGATCTTGATCTTCATGGCTCTGAAAAAAATCCATTCAGTAATGTTCAAGAGGCAACTAATGAGAACTTACGATGGGGCAAGAGCGGCGATTTCCTTCTGCATGCGATCAGCAATTCCTGGGTACATGGTGGTTCCCCCGGAGAGAACGGTGTTGGCGAACAAGTCCTTGCGGATATCGATGTCACACTTCATGATAGAGTTGTAAGAAGTCTGAATTTGATCTTTCCCGAATATCCTGTTTTCGAGTGATGGTAATTTCAAAAATCCGGAACCCAGAAGGAATCCAAAAGGTTCGATCAATGGAATACGGTTTTCCGAGCAATCGTTGATTTGTTCAACAGGTTAAGCCACTCAGGTGCCATCTTTGTCGTAATTCTTCGGTTGCCCTTTAGCGTTTGTTCGACGAGCATGGATAGAGCGCTATCTGTCTTTTAATTCTGTTCAACAAAGAAGCCACATGAACTTGCCGGTTCTAATACACGATCCGCATCACTTCCGGCATATTTTCTTCAGTTTTTGTCTCTGATAATGTGAGAAATCAATTTTCTTTTCTGGAAATGGTACATAAAGATAGAGAAACAAAAATGGATATTTGAGCACTTACGTTGTTGGTATCGTTGTCATCGGAAACATCCGAGCGGGCCAATTGTGTCCATCGTAGCTGGTTGCCAATCGATGCGCACAGTGAAGGGTCATGTGTCTGGCGGACGAGCTCGTCTGCGTATATGGCCCTTCTCATCCGTCTATTGGGACAAAGAGAGAAACACGCACCTTACACAATAGCATAATCTCGATCGGTAAGGCATGAATTTTCGTCCGAATCTCAAAAAAGCGATTTTAATGAAAATAAATACTGATCAAGAAATGCTGAGCATGTTGGATGCTAGAACAAAATAATGGGAGGTATTTTGGTAAGAAAAATTGAAAGAAACATAAACGGGAGACGTAGAATGACATCGAGGAAGGAAAAAACATCATCTAATTCGAACTTGGCGGCGGGGTACGCAAAAAGTACTCCAGGTGTTTGCGGAACTTTTTGGCGCGTATTTGAATTTGATTGGCAAGAAAGATACCAGCGAAGAACGGTATCAGCGAAGGACTTTTTTTGCCTATGAGAGAATTGTTTCCTTTGAGATTTTTTTCAATGTTTTCTGAAATATTGAATGTTTGTGAGCGTTATTTATCTTTATTACAACAGTGAGAAAGTTTATGAAATAAAAATGAATGATATGCATAAACAATTACGGGGTCTTTTTGAAATAATGGGGGGGGGGGGGACTGAAATTTAAAAACATGGGAAAAGTTGGGAGACGAGCAGCGTCAGACACCTCAGAAGCACTTGCGGTGAACAATGGAAGGACCAGCCTCGTCGTATTCTTCCTTTGAAATCCACATCTCTTGAAAGCTGTCGAGAGATGCGAGAATAGATCCGCCCATCCAAACGGAATACTTGCGCTCCGGTGGCGCGATGATCTTGATCTTCATGGCTCTGAAAAAAATCCGTTCAGTAATGTTCAAGAGGCAACTAATGAGAACTTACGATGGGGCAAGAGCGGCGATTTCCTTCTGCATACGATCAGCAATTCCTGGGTACATCGTGGTTCCTCCGGAGAGAACGGTGTTGGCGAACAAGTCCTTGCGGATATCGATGTCACACTTCATGATAGAGTTGTAAGAAGTCTGATGGATTCCGGCGGACTCCATACCCAAGAAGGATGGCTGTAAAAATATCGATTGTCTGATGCTTGGGATATTGAATAAGCTTACCTGGAAGAGAGCCTCTGGGCAACGGAAGCGTTCGTTTCCGACAGTGATGACTTGTCCGTCAGGAAGCTCATAAGTCTGCTCAAGAGAGGAGGAAGAAGCAGCGGTTACCATCTCCTGCTCGAAGTCGAGGGCGATGTAGCAGAGCTTCTCCTTGATGTCACGGACGATCTCACGCTCAGCCGTGGTGGTGAACGAGTAACCGCGTTCGGTGAGGATCTTCATGAGGTAATCTGTGAGGTCACGTCCGGCCAAATCGAGACGAAGAATGGCGTGTGGGAGAGCGTATCCCTCGTAGATTGGTACAGTGTGGCTGACGCCATCTCCAGAATCGAGAACGATACCGGTGGTACGTCCGGAAGAGTAGAGGGAGAGGACAGCTTGAATGGCAACGTACATGGCTGGAGTATTGAACGTTTCGAACATGATCTCGGTCATCTTTTCACGGTTGGCCTTTGGGTTGAGTGGTGCTTCGGTGAGAAGGACTGGATGCTCTTCTGGGGCAACACGAAGCTCGTTGTAGAAGGTGTGATGCCAGATCTTCTCCATATCATCCCAGTTGGTGACGATTCCGTGCTCAATCGGGTACTTGAGAGTGAGGATTCCTGAAAGTCAATGAATGAGAATAACATATTCGATTATAAACAATTACCTCTCTTGGATTGGGCCTCGTCTCCAACGTATGAGTCTTTCTTTCCCATCCCCACCATGATCCCACAATATTTCGGAGAACCGACGACGGATGGAAGCACTCCGCTCGGTGCATCGTCTCCACCGAAGCCGGCCTGAAAGTTCATTGGTATCATTTCTCAGAATTTCTAAGTAGTTGGATAACGAAAAACCTGTATTAGAAAGGCCGGCCCATATAGTGTTCCGAGACATTTCCGAAAGGCCCTTCTATTGCAGGGGGTTTTCAATTACAGGATCCGTTCTATTTTTCCAAACCACTATATTAAAGAAGACCCTTCTGATACAGGTCTCACGATATACAGCTTCAGATTTGGAAAATTTCTAAAAGTTCCAAACGCACCTTAGTCATCCCGCTTCCATTATCGATGACCACAGCTGCAATCATTGTAGATTTCGTTTCCTTTTGCTGAAATCCAACTTTTGAAAGAAATATTAGGAACGGGGTGATGGAAAATGGAAAAAGAGATATAAGAGCAGAGAAAAACATGTGACAGCAAGCGGAAATACAGGGCCGAATGACTAACTGTCTTTCAGCTATCCACAATCACATGCCTCACTGTTATGCTTGCCCCGCCCATTTTGAGGAGCGGGAGAGTGAGAAATGCCAGAAAAATCCATCGAATTCATTGAGTCATCAGAAATGGTCTCGAAGAGATTTTTTGTTGTTTACGGAATAACTGATCGAAAATCAAATCGTTATGAATCAATCAACAAATTACAGTATACCTAGAGCAAAAAAATGCAAATTTTCGGGATATATCCTGATGCTTGGGCGTATCAAAAAGGGATCTCAGTTACTGTTATCAACCATGAATCGATTTCCAGAGGCCATTCCAGATGCTGATTGCGAATCTGCTTTTATATTTAGGAAAATTGTAGCTTAGAAAAGTTACGACTTGTCTTTGGAGTGGCCTCATACTATTGTTACGTATTGCAGGAAGGGGATGGTGGAAATGCGAAAGGACAAATTCTGAGCAGAGAAAAACTGACGACAACAAGCGACGATACAGGACCGAATGAATAACTGCCTCTCGGCTATCTGCAATCACATGCTTTACTGTTAAGCACGGACCGCCCAATGATAGAGGACGCAAGTGTGAGAGACGCAGAGAAAGCTTTTTTTCTTTTTGAGTCATCAGAAATGGTCTCGAAGAGAATTTTCGTTGTTTACGAAATAGCCGATCAAAAATCAAACCGTTCTGAATCAAACTACAAGTTACAGTACAGCTACAGCAAGAAGTAATGCACCCTGTAAACAAACTATCGGTCATTTGTCATGGGAAGTGAATGATAACTAGTAAATGTATTCGATAAATTTCAGCTACCATTTCCAGGAACAACCGTTTTTGATGAAGACCACAGAGGGAGATGCTGGCAAATTGCTTGAAAACTCCGCTTCTGTTTGGATTGGTTGGATGATGCTGAAACAGTGTTTTCGAATTGAACAAATCAACGATTGCTCGGACAACCGTATTCCATTGATCGCACCTTTTGGTTTCCTTCTGGGTTCCGGATTTTTGAAATTACCATCACTCGAAAACAGGATATTCGGGAAAGATCAAATTTTATGAGCAGCGCAGAACAAGAATGCTAGGAATGACGTTCAATAGGAATATTTAACATTTCTAATGAAAGGGAGAAATGACAAATGCCGTTCAAAACAATAATTTATCTGAAACTTTTTATTTTGGATTGTCAAAATTTGCATCGCTCGGTCTTTGGTACTTTTTATGTTTAAGAAGTTTATAGTTGCATTTCCTTTTGGTTCCGGTGAAAAATGTAAATATTAAGAACTTGCTCAAGACCTGCGTGTTTTCAATTTCTGAACTTACAGAACCTCGAGCATTTGATTTGCCTGGACAACGGAACTGAAATTGCTTTAGAACTCCGTCTCTCTACGAACTTCCACGCCACTGAGAAGATCTGAAGAAGTCGGTCGATTTTTCGATGTGAAGAACCTACAATTCACACATGCGGAGATAGCTTTGTTCCAATTTCACAGCAAATTTATGGCTACTCCTGGAAATCTGCGTCTCAGGTAGTCCAGTTTTCCAACATATCTGGTAGACATCATATTTTTACAGAAACTGGAAAAATTCAACTTGAAATATTGACCGGAGCTGCTACCGCCACTGTCTCGAATCCGGGATAAATAAGGACAGATCGAAGAATATAACTTTAACTGGTTCAAGGTGTACTTCTTCACACTACCCACAACCGCATTCGTCTGGAACATGGGACAGTTAAATCAGATTTTGGACAGCAAAAATAGTTTTCAAATCTGCGGAAACTCATCAACCTTCAGTGAGTTTTTGTTTCAAATTCGTGTCAGGAGAGTTTGATTGGCTCAAAATGTTCCCGCTTTTCAGCTTCTAAAATATGTTTCATGTCTTTTAAATTGTACTATTAAAAACACGGAACAGGATACATCCCAAAATGTTGCATTTTTGATCTAGATATACTGTAATTCGTAGTTTGATTCAGAAAACATTGATTTTTGATCAGCTATTTCGTAAACAGCCAAAATTCTTCTCAAGTCTATTTCTGATGACTCAAAAATCGAACAAAAAAGATTTCTCTGGCGTCTCTCATCCTTACGATGTCTTCTATTGGGCGGGGCATGCATAAAAGTGAGGCATGTGATTATGGATAGCTGATAGACAGTTAGTCATTCGGTCCTGTATTTTCACTCTCCTTCCCCTGTTTTCTCTGCTCAAAATTGTTTCTTTTTCTTATGTTCCCCATCCACTTCCTACCGTATGTAAAAAATTAGTATGAGACCTCTCCAAAAACTAGTTGTAACTTTTTTGAACTACAACTATTTAGAAATCCAAACCTATTATAGAATTGCAAATGATTATCTTAGCGGACTGTTACCATTTTTGTCATAACTTCCCAAAATTAGTTTGTCTTGGTGCGTTGGCTATGCTCTGAAAGAGTTTTAGGCCAGTTTTTGTTGAACAGTATTTTTGCCAGCTCGAGGATAGGTGGGTCCTATCGGAAAATTTCTAGTGTCTTGAAATCAATCCAGCAAACATTCACTACATTTTCGCGCCGTTACAAGGTATCCAACAGTGCTTCAGCAAACCTAAAACCCCCCAGATGTTCGCGAGTATTTGGTTTGGTATTCTTGGTAGTTTTGGTAGTCAAGAGCCCCGACATCATTGTTGATAGCAGACATTATGGTTGATAGCTGAAACTAACAGAGATCTCATTTTGATACACCAACGAACCAGGATATATCCCAAAATTTTGCAGTTTTTTTGCTCTAGGTATACTGTAGTTTGGAGCTCCATTCAGAACGGTTTGATTTTCGATCAGCTATTTCGTAAACAACGAAAATTCTCTTCGAGACCATTTCTGATGACTCAAAAAATGATTTATCTGCGTCTCTCACCCTTGCGCTCTCTATCGTTCGGTAGGCCGTGCATAACAGTGAGGCATGGGATTGTAGATAGCTGATAACCAGTTAGTCAATCGGTCCTGCATGTTCGCTCGTCCACGCCTGTTTTTTTCTTTTTGCTCTAAATTTTTTCCCATTTCTGCCAGCCCTATCCCTACAGTGCGTTGCATTAGTATAAAGCCACCTCAAAAACTAGTTGCCACTTTCTTCAACTAGAACTTTTCGAAAATCTGAAAACAAAACCATTAGGTATCTGAAATGACGCCTTTTCGGTTTTCCAGAGGACCATCTATATGAGGACTAATTCAACGCGCTCCAGATAGCGTTTTGAATTAGTCCTCATATAGATGGTCCTCTGGAAAACCGAAAGCTTTCATCAAAGGGGTTAAACTGTTTTGATCAACCCAGTAAACAATTCCTGTGTTCCCTAACTTTTATCGCCCTTATGAAGTATCCAAAAGTGCTTCTGCCATCTTAAAAACCTAGAGGTTTGGTTTTTTTTTGGTATTTTTGGTAGTCAAGAGCCCCAGATATCATGGGTGATCGCTGAAACTGAGATACCTTTTTGATATAACGCACCAAGATATATCTCAAAATATTGCATTTTTGCTCTATGTGTACTGTAACTTGTAGTTTGATTCAGAACGGTTTGATTTTTGATCAGCTATTTCGTAAACAACGAAAATTCTCTTCGAGATCATTTCTGATGACTCAATAAGAAAAAAAAAGATTTATCTGCGTCTCTCACACTTGCGTCCTCTATCATTGGGCGGTCCGTGCATAACAGTAAAGCATGTGATTGCAGATAGCCGAGAGGCAGTTATTCATTCGGTCCTGTATCGTCGCTTGTTGTCGTCAGTTTTTCTCTGCTAGAATTTGTCCTTTCGCATTTCCACCATCCCCTTCCTGCCATACGTAACATTAGTATGAGGCCACTCCAAAGACAAGTCGTAACTTTTCTAAGCTACAATTTTCTTAAATATAAAAGCAGATTCGCAATCAGCATCTGGAATGGCCTCTGGAAATCGATTCATGGTTGATAACAGTAACTGAGATCCCTTTTTGATACGCCCAAGCATCAGGATATATCCCGAAAATTTGCATTTTTTTGCTCTAGGTATACTGTAATTTGTTGATTGATTCAGAACGATTTGATTTTCGATCAGTTATTCCGTAAACAACAAAAAATCTCTTCGAGACCATTTCTGATGACTCAATAAATTCGATGGATTTTTCTGGCGTCTCTTACTCTCCCGCTCCTCAAAAGGGGCGGGCCATGCATAACAGTGAGGCATGTGATTGTAGATAGATGATAGCCAGTTAGTCATTCGGTCCTTTATTGTCGCTCGTTGTCGTCAGTTTCTCTCTGCTCATATTTCTCTTTTTCCAATTTCCATCACCCCGACCCTAATTTTTTCAAAAGTGAATTTCAGCAAAAGGAAACGAAATCTACAATGATTGCAGCTGTGGTCATCGATAATGGAAGCGGGATGACTAAGGTGCGTTTGGAACTTTTAGAAATTTTCCAAATCTGAAGCTGTATATCGTGAGACCTGTATCAGAAGGGTCTTCTTTAATATGGTGGTTTGGAAAAATAGAACGGATCCTGTAATTGAAAACCCCTGCAATAGAAGGGCCTTTCGGAAATGTCTCGGAACACTATATGGGCCGGCCTTTCTAATACAGGTTTTTCGTTATCCAACTACTTAGAAATTCTGAGAAATGATACCAATGAACTTTCAGGCCGGCTTTGGAGGAGACGATGCACCGAGCGGAGTGCTTCCATCCGTCGTCGGTTCTCCGAAATATTGTGGGATCATGGTGGGGATGGGAAAGAAAGACTCATACGTTGGAGACGAGGCCCAATCCAAGAGAGGTAATTGTTTATAATCGAATATGTTATTCTCATTCGTTGACTTTCAGGAATCCTCACTCTCAAGTACCCGATTGAGCACGGAATCGTCACCAACTGGGATGATATGGAGAAGATCTGGCATCACACCTTCTACAACGAGCTTCGTGTTGCCCCAGAAGAGCATCCAGTCCTTCTCACCGAAGCACCACTCAACCCAAAGGCCAACCGTGAAAAGATGACCGAGATCATGTTCGAAACGTTCAATACTCCAGCCATGTACGTTGCCATTCAAGCTGTCCTCTCCCTCTACTCTTCCGGACGTACCACCGGTATCGTTCTCGATTCTGGAGATGGCGTCAGCCACACTGTACCAATCTACGAGGGATACGCTCTCCCACACGCCATTCTTCGTCTCGATTTGGCCGGACGTGACCTCACAGATTACCTCATGAAGATCCTCACCGAACGCGGTTACTCGTTCACCACCACCGCTGAGCGTGAGATCGTCCGTGACATCAAGGAGAAGCTCTGCTACATCGCCCTCGACTTCGAGCAGGAGATGGCCACCGCTGCTTCTTCCTCCTCTCTTGAGCAGACTTATGAGCTTCCTGACGGACAAGTCATCACTGTCGGAAACGAACGCTTCCGTTGCCCAGAGGCTCTCTTCCAGGTAAGCTTATTCAATATCCCAAGAATCAGACAATCGATATTTTTACAGCCATCCTTCTTGGGTATGGAGTCCGCCGGAATCCATCAGACTTCTTACAACTCGATCATGAAGTGTGACATCGATATCCGCAAGGACTTGTTCGCCAACACCGTTCTCTCCGGAGGAACCACGATGTACCCAGGAATTGCTGATCGTATGCAAAAGGAAATCGCCGCTCTTGCCCCATCGTAAGTTCTCATTAGTTGCCTCTTGAACATTACTGAACGGATTTTTTTCAGAGCCATGAAGATCAAGATCATCGCGCCACCGGAGCGCAAGTATTCCGTTTGGATGGGCGGATCTATTCTCGCATCTCTCGACAGCTTTCAAGAGATGTGGATTTCAAAGGAAGAATACGACGAGGCTGGTCCTTCCATTGTTCACCGCAAGTGCTTCTGAGGTGTCTGACGCTGCTCGTCTCCCAACTTTTCCCATTTTTTTAAATTTCAGTCCCCCCCCCCATTATTTCAAAAAGACCCCGTAATTGTTTATGCATTTCATTCATTTTTATTTCATAAACTTTCTCACTGTTGTAATAAAGATGAATAAATCTCGCAAAGATTTGATATTTCAAAAGAGATATTTAAAAAGATCTCATATACAAAAAAATTGAATAGACTGATTGAAATCAGTTTCTACAAAGTATTTATTTTGAAAGTCAGAAACGAGTTTATAGTACATGGTTTGGTATTTTTGGTAGTCAAGAGCCCCAGACATCATGGTTAATAGCTGAAACGGATATCCCTTTTAGATAAGAAAACACGCCAGGAGATGCCCAAAAATTAATGTTTTTTTGCTTTGGTTATACTGTAGGTTCGAACTCCATTTAGAACGGTTTTATGTTTGATCAGCTATTTCGTAAACAATAAAAAATTCTTTTGGAGACCATTTCTGATGACTCAAAAAAAAAGGATTTCTCTGCGTCTCTTACCCTTGCGATCTCTATCGTTGTGCGGAGCGTGCATAACAGTGAGGCATGTGATTGTAGATAACTGAAAGCCTATCAGTCATTCGGTCCTGTATTGTCGCTTGTTGTCGTCAGTTTCTTTCTGCTCTTATTTTTTCGATTTCCATTACCCGTCTCCTAATTATTTTTTAAAAAGTTGGATTTCAGCATTACTTCGTCCACAACAGCCAGCAGCATCACAAATGATGACAGCCATTGTCATTGACAATGGCTCAAGCGCTATCACAGTGAGTTTTAAATTTTTTGAAATGTCCCAAATCGGAAGCTATAAGAAGAGGTATAAGTACAAAAATTAGGCTCCCGAGGTATTTTTGAATTTAAAATGGCGCTTACAAATTTTTGATATCTCTCACCGTTTTCTCAGAACCGTGACAATAGAGGGGGGTCCTAAAGATATTGAACTCCTCGGTTTGAATGGGCCTTTTGGAAGAACAATGAATGGGCTTTTTGAAAGTGCCTCGAAACAATATATGGGCAGGCTTTTCTAATACAAGCTTTTCGGTATCCAACTACTCGGCAATACTGGGAAATCAAACCTATGAACTTTCAGGCCGGATTCGGAGGATACGATGCCCCAGGACCGTTTTCCCCTCCATGTTGGGAAGCCCCAAATATAATGGGGTCATGACTCTGATGATGACCCAATACTTCTACGTCGGAGACGAGGCTCAATCCAAGAGAGGTCATTGTTCATAATCGAATACGTCTTTTCATTTTTTTTTCTTTCAGGCATTCTCAACATCAAGTACCCCATTGAGCACGGAACCGTCACCAACTGGGATGACATGGAGAAGATCTGGCATCACACTATCTACAACGAGCTTCGTGTCGCCCCAGAAGAGCATCCTGTCCTCCTCACCGAAGCACCACTCAATCCGAAGGCCAACCGTGGAAGTGCTTCTGAGGTGTCTCATGCCGCTCGTCTCCAAACCTTTTCCATATTTTTTTATTTCACATTTTTTCCTCTCCGGTTCTTTCAAAAAGCACCAGTAATTTTCTACGGATTTCTTTTCATTTTTATTTATTTGATTTTCTCGCTTTTGTAATAAAGATGAATAAGGCTCACAAACATTCGATATTTGAAAAAAATGAAAAAAAAAACTTATATTCTAAATCGAACGCTAAGAGCTTTGCTAATCCCTGTCTTTGTCAATATCTGTCTTTCCATGAAAATTCAAATAAGCGCCAAAAAGTTCCGCAAACACCTTTAGCACTTCTTGCGTACACTGCCGCCAAGTTCTATATGGATGATGTTCTTGCCTTCTTCGCAGCTCGATGTCATCCTACGTTTATTTTTTCTCCACATTTTCTCACCAAAATACCTCCCATTATTTTGTTCTAGCATCCAACATGCTCAGCGTCCCTTGATCAATTTTCATTTTCACTAAAATTGCTAGGTATTTTAAGATTCCACCGAAAATTCCTTCTTTTTTTCGAGTTTGGGTTAAAATTTACATCATAAGTTCTTAGATTTTTTTGTAAACAACAATTCCATGCTATTTCTCTTCTTTGTTTTATGAATAAAGCTGAGAAACCTACGACGCCTTCTGTGCCGCACACCCCAGAAACCATGCGAGGCGTTGCAAACTCCGCCCGTTCAAGCCCCGCCCTCGTGGCCGAACTTTATTTCTCGTGTTCCGCGTGACGTCGCTTCTTGTCCAATAGAGCGCGTTTGTTTTACCAGTGGTATTAACGTGAATTAATTTGAATTTTGAGACTTTATCAGGACCTATTGCTGGAAGAGTCCGATTTTTGTCAAAAAATTAAGTATTTCATTTTTCTGACGTTTAGAATGTCCTGCTTTCTGGTATATATAGGAGACCTCAGAACCTCCACCGATCTTTTCCTACGTGTTTGTTATTTCATTGATTGTTATGTCACTTTGCCCTCCGCTAGTCTTCTTTTGCAACACTCCCTCCTCTTTTTGTCTCCTTCTTGCACACACTATCTGATTCTTCTTCAATCATCATTCTGTGCGTGCGTGTGTGTGCGTAGTAGGCCCCAGACGCTGTCCTGCCAGGCGATTTCTCGGGCATTTCTTATTGTTCTCTTGCTCTTATTGATTTTGTCTACAGATCCATATTCTCATTTAGTTCGTTCCATCCTTTCTCGCTCTAGATTTTCGAAAATAAAGTGCAAATTTGCGATTTCATCACCTCATCGTTCTATTTTAATTTTTTTCAATTTCAGAAAATGTCTTACACTTCCTATGAAGATCACATGGACCTTTTCCTGCTCAAACATTACACAATTGCGAATCAAATTCGTGCGGATCAGTTTGAAATCAATCGACTCGACCAGGAAGTTAATGCTATCACTCAAGATATCAACGATATCGAACTTGTCTTCATGGCGAATGTCAAATCGCTCTCTCAAGAGCAAAAAGTCGCCACAATGCAACTCCTGGAGGTAAATTTTCCTTTTCAAAACCAATAATGGCCAAGCTAACAAAACTTTGTACTGAAAAAAACTTCAACTAAACAAAACCTTTTTTCCAGACCGAACAGAAGAAAATCTTGGATATTTCTCGCACGAAATTTGCTCTTGTGAGCAGGATGACTCAAGCGATGTCGCGAAATCAGGCAAAAGGAAGAGCATTGTATGAATCGTTTGAAAGTTATCGTCAAGGCTCAAACTTCAATGAAGAGTCTCAGGGATGGAAAGCACGACAGACTTTGAAAACAAAGAAGACTCTGAAAAGACAGCAGACTGCAGAAGCACCGCAAACTTCTAGAGCCTTGAAGAATCCGAAAGCTCCACAAGCTTCAGCCGCTGATGTTGCTGTTCAACCCGCTGCCGGAAACGCTCCCGAAGTTGTAAAGCAGTATTGCATCTGTCAAGACGTGAGTTTTTAGTGATCACTCTGAAACAAGGAAATTCATACTTGCTAAATCCCGGCCCGGCTCGGCCCGTGTTTCGAATATTTCGAAAATTTTCTGTTGATTTTTGATACATTTTTCCCAAAATGATCATTTTAAAGCACTAAATTCGTGCCAGGACCCTTCTTAAAGCTAAAATCAAAGAAACATTGATAAAATGTTCCCAAGAATCCAAGAATTCAGATTTCTCTTAAAAATAACTCTTAACAATTTTTGCCTCAAAACCGAGCCAGGCCAGTGTAAATTCTTCCACCGGCCCGGCCTGGCCCGCGACAAGTATGAGAAAATCTAATATAAGAAATAATAAGTAACAGAAAATATACGAACCGACGAACATCAGTTTGCCTTTATAATATAACTTTTTGTCGAGAAATCATTTTGGCCGAAAAGGAATATAATTTTTAAGACGAAATAAAAAATTATTGGAATTTTTCTCAAAAGAAAACTCTATGGTCAGACTAACAAGGAACCTCAACATCTCGTAAACCCAGATTTTTGATTAAAATCTCAGGATAGGTTAATAATAGCTATCCGCTCGTCAGTTTCAGCCAAGTTATATTAGTTTCAGTACCAAAAGTAGTAATTTCAGTGCAGAATAGTCGATTTTCTCAACTTCTAGGAGGGTTGAGAAAATGTCTGAAATATAAAATTTCTTTAGTTTTTTACTGTGACCCAATAAAATTCATCTTCTGGAATCTCCTAAAAGTTGAGAAAATCGTCTTCGAAAATCGCTGTTTCGCACTTAATAACCGAAACTGATAAAAATCGACTGAAACTGGAGCGGATTCTGAAATTATAAGAAGTGTCTATATAGCCGATTGTTGACCTATTCTGAATTTTTCATCAAAAACCGGGTTAACGCGGTGTTGCGGTTCCCTTCTAAGTGGGACCGCTCTGATGGTTGTAGTGATTCTGCGAGCATGGGTAGCTTCCTTCATATAGCTTCCTTCATATAATATTGTAGTTCGTTTCCAACAAATTCCTTTTTCAGACAAAGACGGATACAATGATATTCTGCGAGAACCCGAGATGCAAGTACGAATGGTATCACTTCTCGTGTATTGGAATGGAGACAGCCCCGGAAGGAGAATGGTTCTGCGAGGGATGCACAAAGAAGAAAAATGATAAACAATCTGGAAAAGAGAATCAGCACCGCTAAACTACGATAATTTCGCTCTTTTTAAATTTAAAACCCTTTTTTAATAACTGTTTTGATGTACATAACTTCAGTACTGTTCAAAAAGATAATCCCAAGTTACCACTTTTGCCTGAATGAGTACAGAAACTATTAAGGCAATTATTTAAGACTTCTCCGTTGACTATTACTATACGAATTTGTTTTCGCTGCGTTACATTTTCATTTTTGTATCTCAAATGTATCTCACTGTTACATTTTTGTATCTCAAGAATTATCATTTCTTCCACAAGCAATTGAAATATTTTACTTGTTTTTTAAATGGCTTCCATCCGAATAAACTAATTAAGACATTATGAGATTTGGAGCACAATTTCCGTAGTTTTCAGAAAAAATAGCTGGTATTGTCATTGAAATACTGTAGACAGTCCTAATCATCAGCTGTCAGGAAGATTCAACCCGCGTGAATTTATACTTTTTTATGAATTTATACTTTTGTTAGTCAGGCGAGGACGAGAGCCATATATTGTTTGGGACTACATTGGTTGTATTGATCGGCAATTTATAATACTGTGTGTGTTGTGTGGTCCTTCCTCTCAACAGACAAGACGGACATCGTCTGTTGAGAGCTCGAGGCATAATGCGTGTAGATTAGCACAAAGGTCAAACACGTGTCTTCTTACTGCCTGCGTTGATCCCTTTCCAATGGACTCACTCTTCTCCTTGTTAGCTTTTTTATCATCCACCAGCCTGTTTGCCGCGCCTCCGGCGCTTCAAACTTTTGGCTGGTGCTCCTTCGGCGCAAGTTTGTCACTTCGCTCCTAACTTTTTTCGGGCGCTATTCCAAAACTTAATTGAAATCTCTTCTCGTTGTTCTTTTGACCTACCAACACCAAAATTTTCACGATACATCAAATTTGTCTGGCGGGTACTTCCTGTGGGAAACTTCCCTTCTGGGAAAAAACGGAATGACAAACAAAGAAGAGGATGGACACCAGTTCATATATTTATTATAAGAATGATATCCACGGTTTTTCTCATTTTAATTTTCTACAGCAACCTTAAATTTTTCATATAAAAACGCGTTTTTTCCAATTTTTTCAATGCTCAATGCTATAGATACGATCTGTCATGCTCAAAATTCAAATTTCCCGCCAGTTATGACACCTTCTAGGCGATTTCGCAATATTCCCTGTATCCCGTGATTCAACAGTACCTATGCAAAGGTGCCCTATTACAAAGTGCCGCACTTCAACATCACGTGTTTTTTAGGCCAATAATTTATGCTAATTTTGGGACTAATTTTCTCTTGATTGTCATTTTTTCTGGGTTTTTTTGCCAACTTTTGATTTTCATTTGTACCGTAACCCAGTAGTGGTTCAAATACGTAAACTTACAATGTTTCCGACGGCTTCTTCCAATTAAAATCCTAAAATTTACTGGGATTTTTCTATTTTCTCACAGAGTTATTTAATATAAGAATGATATCCACGGTTTTTCTCATTTTAATTTTCTACAGCAACCTTAAAGTTTTCATATAAAAACGCGTTTTTTCCAATTTTTTCAATGCTCAATGCTATAGATACGATCTGTCATACTCAAAATTCAAATTTCCCGCTTACAACCTCTAAGGCGGTTTCGCAATAACCCATGTGTCCTGCGATTTGACAATCCCTATGTCCTGTTACAGAGTGCGGCATGTGTTCGTTTTTTAGGCCACCGATCCGTTTTTTAGGCCACCGATCTCTTTTAATTTTGGGACTTTTTATCACCAGACCGCCATTTTTTCAGAAACAGCTCTTATTTTATTAAAAACTATCTAAAAATAATATTAGACTGATATTTGATACTTCCAAAAAATTTTCTCATGAAAGCTATCACTGGAACATCGAAAAATCCGGGTGTCTTAAAAATATTGACTCTGTGAATCAAATGGCGTTTACACTTTTTTCTTGTCTTGTTTTTTTTCTGTGCCCTCAAAATCAAGGGGGGGGGGGTCTTAAAGATATCGACCGCACTGTATTTTCCAAACAAATCAACCTTTTTTAGATTTATCGAAATTCCCTTTTTTTTTTCTCCTCAAAATACATTAGATTGTTCTTTACCAATGAAACTTTTTTATTACAGACCAAAACATGGAGCATTCAGCTCCAGCACGAAACCCGGATCCACCCGCTCAAAATGAGCCACAGGAAGAAGTGGAGGAGTACGAACCGATCATTATGACTTTCTATGCTCCAGACACCAGTGATGAGCCCCCAGAAGGTCCACCGATCCCGGTGCGACTCACACCGGTTCCATCCGCTCCAGTTGCAACACCGGAGCCTCAACATGTAGGTGTTAAAAACTGGCAATTTTGAAAAAGAATTAGTGTTTGGGGGCGAGAGAACCAAAAATGAAAACTTGCTTATGATACATATGTAGCCAAAATTTCGTCAAAAAATCATGTTTGCTAAAAAATAATACTTAGACCAAATAAAATATCACTTCGACCAAGTTGTGATGATTTTTGATCCTCTATGCTTAGTCGGTTCTTGTGCTGAAACCTTACTCATTTCGGCACAAGAAAAGCTTCTATAGGCAGAGGGGCTTCCATGCCTGCTAAAAATGTAGTTTTTCTTAGCGTATTACGAAAATAAACGATTTTGTGAAAAAAAATGCCCAAATTTTATAGATACCAGCTTTAATTTTTCTTTTTGCAGCCAGTTCATCTAATCCCGTCGTCCTCAGACGAATCTACTGATTCGTCTTCGGACTCGTCATCCTCGGACTCGTCGTCTTCTTCGGACTCGCCGCCACCAGCAAGAGTAAGTAAATTTTATACTGAATAACTGTTCAGATTTACTTATAAAAACTTGTACATGTCTGAAAATAATCAGTTAGAACGAAAAATCAAACTTCAGCCAATTTCGCAATATCTCTGGCAGATATTGCTTTCTTATTTGAATTTACTCCCAAAACAACTTTAAATTTTACAGCGTCGTCGAATTATCCCACCACAAATGTATCAAGTTTCGTCTTCCTCGGAATCGTCATCTGATTCGTCTTCAGATTCAGATGTTGTTGTACCAGAAATAATGAATGGTCCACCTGGAATAGTAAGTCAGATTTTTGATGAGTAATTATCCAGATTTACCCACGAAATTAAATTTGCCAGAAAATAATAAAGTTAAAACAAAAAGTTTAACTTCTACCAATTTTGCAATATTGTTGGCAGATTTTGCCTTCTTGTTTGAATGGACCCCCAGAATAACTCTAATTTTTACAGAGCCGCAATGCCCGAATTGGTCCTCTACCCCGAGATGCTCCACAAGGAAGAGCTCCTGAGGCAGAAGCTCAGCACCAAGAAGTTCCACAAGACTAGGACAAGGAAACAGAGGACGACACAGAGAGTAAAGTAAGTTTTTGTTTTTTTGAAAGAGAGTTCAAATGACAATGCTTAATGACAACAATGAATTTCAAAGTTACCTCCAAAAATTTTTCAGGTCTCGCACTGATATTTCCAGAGCGGTCCGCCGGTTTTCCTACAGTTTCTTTTTGATGTTGCCATTTTAGAACCATGAGTTGTTGTTTAATTTTGAATTTAAACCCCCCCCCTTCTCTAAATTATTATTTGCCACTGTTTTTCCATTGTTGCATTGTTTTGTGGTTTTTGTGTTTCAAATTTTGCGAAAATTTAGTTTGAAAAAATAAAGTTTGTTGCTGTTGATGATTTTCGTTGTGTATTTTATTCCTATGAGTTTAATGACACTATTTTAATATCTTCAATATTATTTCTCATTTTCATGTAACGATATTTCAGGTTATGAGCAAAACTGAAACGACCACAATGAGATCCGACACGAGATCATGTCAACGCTGAAAGCTGACAAGAAAAAACTGAAGCTGAAAGCTCAATTTTGAATGTCGGAAGCTCACTTTTGAAGCTGTACGAACAGTGAGTATTTCTTCTAATAATAGCCCACGCAAATCAAGCTCAATTATCACGATTTCTGTAAAATATATCAATCATTTGCCAAGTGATAAATTATTGGTCGTATTAGTATAAATATTTTACCAGTTGATAAAAATTTCATATCTTTCACAAAAATCGAGATAATTGAGCTCAAAGATGACGCTTGGGTTTCCATTAGAGAAAATACGGTATTTCGAAACAGATAGTTTTTTTCAGGATCGCCTTTCCGTTGGTATTGAACTTAAACATAGAGCTTCAAATTCATGAGCCACCAAATTGCAATAATAATAAAGCAATGCAAATCGAGTGCCAATGCAGACGGAATTTTATTCACCTCGGGACCTCGACATTTATAAATCTGGATAATTGTATTAATTTTTATAGTTCTGCATTACTCTTTTTGTAAATTCAGCAAAACAATTTCCACTTTACGTTCATTAATCCATTGTCTTATTCATTCGAGGGTCAATCCGAACCGTTCGTCCGAGAGGACGTTTGGTATTTTAGTCCGCGGGCCGAAAGGCCACCGTAAATTCACACAAAACTAATTTTTTTCACTGTCATCTCAAACCTCGTAATTAAAGAAAAAAACTTCAAAAAATGTTCGAAAAGTAACCTGAAAATCTTTGAAATCGTGCGAATTTATCAAAAAAATTCCAATCCTTCGTTTATGAACCCATCCAAAGTGGTCCTATCCACCCGAGACGTTTGTCCGAGTGGACTACACGACGTTTGGGTTTTCAGTCCCCCGGCCGAACGGCCACCGTTAATCCACACAAAACGAATTTTTTTCTACCATCTGAAACCTCGTAATTAAAAAAAGCTTTTAAAAAAATGATACTTGGAAAAGTAGCCTGAAAACCTTTGAAATAGCGCGAATTCATCAACAAATTCCAATCGTGAATTTTTTCCGAAATTGCTTCGACCATCCGATGTCAAGAAATCAATCCGAGATGTTCGTCCGAGAGGACTACACGACGTTTGGTATTCTTGTCCCCCGGCCGAACGGCCACCGTTAATCCACACAGAACTTTTTTGGAAATCTTCTTTATTAATTCTTTGAAAGAAAAAAATAACTATTTGTTTAAAAAAAGTCTAAAAAATTGAAATACAAAAATCGCAAAATTTTAAAAATATCAGATTCCAGTTTTATCCACTTCCGAAGATTCAAGGACAGTGAGCTCTGTTCTCAATCCAGCCGAAGTTGCCATCCATCTAGACAAGAAGTATTGCAAATGAAATTGCGCGTTTTGGCACTTCAGGTGATCCGTCAATATTCCTTACTTTTAACTCCCCTCTGCAAATTTATATTTAAGCAAAAGCTCTCAAAGAAGCGAGCTCCGATTATCCGAGTGTGGATTTTAGCGATGTCACTTACATATACTATGAGCCTGAAACACAATTATGTTGGTCAGGATGTGCACTTTTAGCTAGTTTATCTCATCTCCTGTAAAAGCTATGGCGAAGTCGTCAACTGACAAAATATTTTTGATATTATAATAAATATTTTATCATTTGACCACTTTTTGATATCTTTTCCAGGAACCGAGTTAATTGAGCTCAAAGTGGCCTTTTTAGAGGGCTTATGGTATATTGAATTTGTTGGCATTCCGATGAAGATGGGGAGATTGGAGACAACCAATGTGGAGACAACCTGGAAATATTGTATTTACGTTAGATATTTAGAAAATCTTTGAAGTGCATTGAAAGCCATGAAATGTTTGAATTTCGAATTTCTGGAAAAGCACAAAAGTCTGTCAATGTGGAGAAAAGGGTAAAGTACATAGCTGACTGATTAATTAGTACATTTGATGTGTACCTCTATCCTAAATTTGATAGCAACTCCGAGTCAAAAATTTCATTAAACTTTCCTATCTTCTTCCGCTTCTCAAAATTTTCTCTTACGAAATTAAATTGAAAAATTAGAAACAAGAAAGGAAAAAGACGATTAGACGAATTTATTTCATGACCTACTGATAACGAATTTCGGCATGGGAGGGGTAACATCATGCTGTAACTCTAATTTATATTAATATTCTTTGACTCACAGTGTTGCTGTATAATTTCCATCCATTTATTGAACTGCTAGAAAACCTATAAACCTTTTATAATTAATAAGCGTGTTTAAGGATTTCAAAATTCAGCCGGAATAAAAAAATGCAAGGTAAGTTTCTCTTTTTTTTAATACGGTGACATCTGCGGTACAGTATTTTCGAAAATTTTGGCCATTTTCAGAAGTCTGGAGTTCGGCTGTCAAGTTTTTGTCAAATGTGAGAATTTCGGAGGGTGTAAGACAAATCTAGATTGAAAACTTTGCATTCACAGCATTTTTTGAGAATCCTCAGTTTTTAGCTATAAGACCCTTTTAGGACTGAAAATATGGAAAGAGGGTGTAGTTCAGAAATCGGGAAATAGTTTGGAATTTTCGAAAAAATTCTGTGAATTCAAATCATACCCTCTAGGCCTGTTTTACACGCTCCAGAATTTTCAAAGCGATCAGAAACTTAACAACCGAACTCCAGACTCTTGAAAATAATCAAAATGTTAAAAATCAATGAAAAAGACTTTTTTTGTATATTTTATTGTCCGACACTGGAAGTTTGGTATTTTTCAACGAGCACAAAGTTTCAGAAGTTGCTGGATATGAAATTACTATAAATGACTTGTTCAATTCACCGCCAAAAACAGAAAACGTCCATAATGATAATTTCAATAGCTCGGCTGGATATGACTATATTTCATTTGAAAGAAACGACCAAGAAGGAATTTATGAAAATGTTGATGAGTTCTCGAAGCCCAAAGAATTTTCCAAAAAATACTGTTGCATATTTCTTGCAGTTTTAGCTTTAGCAATTCTTGTTGCAGTTTCTATAATTTTGTTGCTAGTCTTGCCGAAACATTCTCATCGTACAGGTAACATTTTTTTGATACCTCCCAAAATCAGAGTCATTTGAGTTTTCAGAGGTCCTCTGGCCATTAAAAAGCAAAAGCTTATGTCTGAAAAATAAAGTTATCACTCTGAAATTCGCTCTCAAATTCTGAAATTCTGCTTGCACTATAGCAGTTTTGAAGGTAGATCAAAAGAAAATTAAAGACATTTAAATGGAATAACTTATTTCTTTGTGATATTCTCATTCAATCAAAGAAAAATATTTTCAGTTTGGGCCACTACATCTAGAACTGCATCGGATTCTACTTCTACTTTTACAACTACTAAAATTCCAATAACTACAACTATTGAAACATCTAGAACTGCACCGGATTCTACTCATACTTCTACTACTACTAAAATTCCAATAACCACAACTACCCAAATTTTTACCCAGACTTCAGAAAAAACATCTAGGAATTTTGAAGAAACTACTGTAGCCCGTACTACTGTAGCCAGTAGCACAAGTATCAAAACAACCTACACCACAGCTCAATTTCCGACAACAACCTCTACTAGTGAGTTATTTTTGCACTGAATTCTCAAAATCAGGCTATTCTTTGGATTATTATTCTTCGAAAATTTCGTCTTCAATTCAAAGAATTTACTTGAAACCTTCATTTACTTCCAATTAATTTTTCTATGAACCAGGCCTGTGCGGCAACAAATTGTCGATTGCCGAAATTGCCGAAATTGCCGAATTTTTGTTGCCGATTTGCCGTTGCCAAAATCGGTAACGAAGAAAAAGTTGCCGAATTGCCGTTGCCGATTTCGGCAAAAATGATTTCGAAGTTCGAAAAATCAAATGTTGAACACCATCATCCCTCAGAGTGAATTTTAGAGGAAATGTGTCCCAATAATCATCAAAAATACTTGCATCGGATCTAAAAATGGGCTTCAATTTTGTGAGCATAGGAGAAAAATAGATATCATGAGTCACAACTCATCAAAAAATTATCCAATCTGTCTCAAATCTCTAGGGAACGTGTGTCGTGAGTTACCTAACAAGTTGAGCGCACTATTTTCAAAACTCACAATCGGAACAAATATTTTCAACCATTGGAATACCCTCTATTGCTAAAGAGAAATAGTTTGCATAAAAAATGTGGTCTTGAGTTGCCAATTTTTGTAATTACTTCTTTAAGGAACTTATGAAACACATTTTCTGTAGTTCTGAGCCTGATAGAAGCATTTTCAGGTGAGTTACGTATCGATTTTACTAAAAAAAGACGCAAAACTTTTGTTGCCAAAAATTGCCGAAAGTTGCCGAAATTTTTTTCGGCAATTGCCAAGTTGCCGAACGTTGCCGAAAAGTATTCGGCAAATTGCCGAGTTGCCGAATTGCCAAGAAAATTTTGTTGCCGCACAGGCCTGCTATGAACTGATAAGAAGTACCTCTTCCAGAAAAGGAGAAGAACTGTTATTATAACTTGAAATTAAGAAATTTAATACCAAAAACGAAGAGAACTAATTTGGAAATGAAAGAAAAAACTCAGTTTTATGGAAATCAAAACCATGGGGGTATTTTCTCAGAGTCGAAAGTTACAATTTTCAGGCGACACATCCTGCAATTCTACAACTTTTCCATCAACGTTTCTATTTGCCTATTCTAATGATTTATTGTCGGAAACAGTTTTGGACACATTTAATAAGTTTTCAAGTTACTTGAAACATTATTCCTGGTTTGGGAGTGTACGATTTGATATTGAAACCATAGATATTCAGTTTCATAAAGGGTATGTTGTTTTAATTTGCAAGGAAAAATTTACTTTTTGGAACTTTAGATTTTCGAATTTTCAGAATAAAAAAGTAATCGGATGCGCATAATATAAAACTTCATTTCAGAGATGCCAACCCAACTATTGCAAACAATCTACCGGATCCAAACCAAGGGTTTCAGAATTCCAAAATTGGTAGTAATGTATTCGACGTTATTGAGGTGAAGACAAGTTTTCAAAGTGTTGAATTTGGGAAGTGAGCCGTAACATTTAATGATATATAAACAAATTTTATTAGGTGAATTCCGCTTAACTACCGTAAAATCTGTATTAATATTGCATGCAAGTCTATTGTTCAAGTCACCTCAAGAGTGCAACTCTATTAGAGGGGCAATTTAAATAGAGGCTGCAATTCTGTTTTTCAAACTACAATTTGAAGTTAAAATTTTGAAAAAAAACAGTTTTATTATGAAAATCAACAAAAAAAGTAACAAATTGAACAAAACAAAAAGAAAAGTATCGCATATTTAAAAAAAAATCAAAAAATCGAGGCGTCACTGTCATAGTTATTGTCTTCTTTTTCGGTATGGTTCACTTCTCCATCGTCTTCCTCAATATCAATATCTCCCAAAATCTCCTGAATTTCTTCCATTTCTCGTTCTGTTCGTCTTGTCTTCAATAACTGTACGCCTTCTGGAATTTCTCCATCTTTCTTGAAACAATGAGTCTTCCACGTCATCCAATTTTTTCACGTCTTCCACGTTATCCACGTCTTCCACGTGTTCCACGTCATCCAATTTTTCCACGTCGAACACGTTTTCCACGTCTACTAGGTCTTCTTCAGAACTCATTGCTTGTTTTGCTCGCTTCAATAAATGGAAAATGTTGTTAAAAAACAAAGAAAAATAAAAATAAACCAGAAATTAGGCAGGTAGCTAAAAAAAAGAAATTCGAAAAACAACTGTGCAATAGTTCGCCACGGTGTAACAGACTAAAAATTGTACAATACTGCCGGCGGAGCCGCAATGCTGCTGCAGATGCAATTGTATTACGGGGCAATTCAATTAAAGACTGCAAGTCTATTTTTCAAGTGCCCTCAAGTGGTGCAAGTCTATTAGAGGGGCAATTCAAATAAAGGCGCAATATTAATACAGATTTTACGGTATATTTTTTTAAATTTCAAAACACAAGTACGCTATTCCAGAAATTCTTCTCCAATACTCAAGCACCAGTTTGTGGATCCATCATCTGTATTCTTTTGAAACGTTATCCCAACGAATCAGACATTTCCCGTTTAGTTTCTTTAATCCGTTATCATCATGCTATCGTTCATGTAATGACATCAGCAACTCCGTCAGGAGGATCCCAATCAAAAGCAATGTATTCTGTGGCATCGAAGACTAATGGAATGGGAATGGTCGAATATGATGAGAATTTTCCGGATGTGTGTTTTTTCATATCATCAGATAGAAATATTAGTATTGAAAAGTTTCGTGCCTGATGCAAGCAAGTAGCAACTCGCTTTAAAATCAATTCTTTAGAATTATTTGACTCTTAAGTTATAGACATCAAATAAGCACTATTTTTGTGGTTTTCGCTTAGTTGTTTGAATTTGGTTCTACCATCTCAAAGACCCGGTGTTAAAAACCCAAAACTGAAGGTACTAACGACAAGAAATTCAATTTTCTAGGCCATCGACTGGCTTCCACTCTTTAATGCTCCCTATCCGATTTATGCTGCAACTATTCAAGTATCTGGAAGCGGGACGAAAACTTTTCCAGATTTTTATTCTCCCTCAGCACGTATGTATTGGGTTGGAATCACTTATCAGGATCATGGTGGGTCAAACATGCTTTGAATCTTCGAGCATTCTTAAAACATTCTATTTTATTTTCAGTACCTATCGACTCATTCCAATATCTTAAATTTTGCTTAACCAATCATCAAGGTAACGCAAGTGTCTCAGTTAGTTCGAGAGATGTTTCTTATTGGGTAATTTTTTAATAAACATTATATTCGACTATCAATGTTTTTACAGGACGACGGAAACTATTTAGGTCAGCCTTCTTGGTTGATTAATGTCGATTACAGGGTTACACTGGATTATAATTATTTGGGTGGGGATATGCAGCATCTCCAGTTTCGGATCTACACTATCACGTAAGAATTCATCTTCAGATTTTTCCATTATTTATAAATTGAGAATTTCAGCCCAAACAGCAATTGGCTGCCATACAGTGATTGATTTATGCAAGATCGATTGATCCTATTTCATGTTTTTGTATAAATAAATAAATTTATTGATTCCCATTTAATCCATTTTATTAATCCGTTTTCTTATTCATTTGAGGGTCAATCCGAGACGTTCGTCCGAGAGGACTATGCGGCGTTTGGTAATCTAATCCCCCCGGCCGAACGGCCACCGTAAATCCACATAAAACTATTTTTTTTCTCTTTCATCTCGAACTTCGTAATTTAAAAAACCTTTGAAAAATGATATTTGAAAAAACAACCGAAACATCAAATTCATCAACAAATTCCGAACGTTCGTTTATTAATCCGGTGGTACGACGGATTGGAGATTTCCCAAAAAAGTAGCAAAATAAAATGTTCCTGAATCGAAACACTCCCAAATTAAAACAGTTCCGGAATGAAAACTGTCCGAAATCAGAAAAGGCGGAAGGGCAATTGTCCTGAAGTATTAGGTTGTTCGGAAAGTCCTTTCCACGTTTGATATGTTGTTTTCAAACTTCGTTTTCTTGAAGGGGATAAAAGCAAGGAAAATGTCGTTTTATCAGTATGCTGGTGAGGTCTAATAGTGTCTACACCCCAACGGAGATCATTCTCCTCTTTTCGTGCAGTGAGATATGCCCACCGTTTTCGCCTCTAATAATTTCCATTTTTGGACTACCATTTTATTTGTATTTCTATCTGACCTCAGATCAACTGAAATCAATCACCAATTTGTGGAGGTTAACAACGAAGATGCACCCTTTCGAACAAACTTCACAACCTGGATTCATCAATTTGAAAAATGAAAATTCTCGTTGGACGAAAGTCCCCCTCCAAAAAAAAGCATACGGGCTCAGATGTGGACGCATTAAAAACGGGGATTGAAAGGGACCCGTCTCAAACTGTGCGGGATATATCAAGTACATCAGTGGCAAGCCTTTCGTCAAAAAGCCATAAATTGGGAACTCTCGGCAAAGTAAAAAAAGTGGGAAGATATGGATCACACCTTTTCAATCAAAGCAACTATGTTTCATGTGTGGGCACCTGTTTGAATCTTCTCATCCTGCGTTGCACACATGAATGTTGAAGAATACCAAAATAGAACACCAAACGCAGTGCAGTCCTCTCGGACAACGGCTTCGAATGGGTAAAGCAATTATGGATGGACTCACAAACAAAGAGTAAGAATTTTTTCAATAAAAAATCACACGATTCCAAAGATGTTTAGGATGATTTATAAGAATTTTCGGGCGAATCCGTAAAAGAAAGAAAACTCATGAGTCCTAGCCAAATCAAATTTTAAAAATAATTCATTTCGGAAAAAGTGCTGTTCGAATGTTTATGTCGATTCTTATGCTGAACGAGCTGAACAAAGCAGCAGCAGGTATTCCCAGGTAGAAGTCATCGACGCCAAAATTCTTCATGATGACCATTAACTTCATGAGTGGTTGAATCGTGAGTCCGAGGGCTTTGTAGTTTCTGAACATTACGTAAGAGAAATTTCAACACAAATGCAATCTGATAAACCTCACATCGTAGACGACTTGTCTGTCTGATGGTAATCATCTTCTGCTTAAAGTCGACGGTGATGGCATCATGGAAATCGCAATCTTCTTCACTTCCAGGCACACGCGTTCAGTAGACAAGACTCCTAGCAATACACAATTGCTGTTTTGGCCGACTAGTTGCATTTCTTCGAACAGGTCCAAAGTCCTTATCGAGTCGAGTCGTGCAAGAGCAATTAAGATGTCATTCATCTGCAGATGAAATTTTTGCTCTTCTCCTTGACGATTGTCATCATTTCTGAAAAATTAATGTTGTTTAATTTTATGTTGAACTGTTCATAATTCTGAATGTCATATCAAAAAGGCGAAAACCTCACCACAAAGCAAGGGTCAGCTCTGGGGTTATCCACATGCGGCTTCAACGTCCTACTTAAAAATCCACATTGCTGCGAAAACCTGGACAACGATCCATCAATGAAAACTGAAGGTTTTTGATATTCCGATGCTGTAGTGATGTACCTGCAATATTATAGATCAATAGATTGCCATTGTGTGCGTGGTCCGCCCTCTCCACAGACAAGAAGGAAATCGTCTATTGCAAGCTCGAGATACAATGTGTGTGGATTAGCACAAAGGTCAAACACGTGACTCTTTACTGTCTGCATTCACCCCTTTGCAACAGACTCACTCTCCTACCGGACAACTGATGATGAGAGCCTTCTCTGATCCTTCAGTCGCAAAGTGGACACAATTTCTCCGAGAACTGCTCATCGGATTGTGGAAAGGTGTGATAGTGGCAAGATTGGATCATCACTGAATTGCTGGAACCTGAATTTGTCTTCAACGGACGCAAATGAACAAGATGGGCGGAAGAGGTGACCATTTATCACGACACGTGGGGATATTGATGTGCGTACCTGAAATTCGATGTTTTGCATCTGAAAAGAAGTTCAAAGATATTTTCAGAGAGCACAAGCAACCTCAAATGAGTATGCGACAAAACAAAAAAAATTTCAACAAAACATTTATTCATAACCAACTCAGAATGCTGTTTTTGAGAATCAAAAAAACATAGAAAAATTGAAGAATTGCAGAGGATATATAAGATATTGTGGAGGGCCAGTTAATTGAGAATCATTAATTCGGATAATCATAGCCGTTGAAATTTTTTTAGGTTTCAAAGGGGGGGGAGGGGACAGGTTGGATACTTCAATTCATGAAGTACCAGACAACAACCAGAACAAACATAGCGACGGAGACGATGATTTGGTTGCGGGCCGACTTCTCCTTTGGTTCAACCATTCCCACTTCGTATTCTTCCTCAATTGTTTCATCCAATTCCTCATTCAGAGTTTGATCCATTTCGGCATCGACGTGGCGGACAAGTCCAAACTTTTGGAAGAAGTTCGGTGAGACGCTTCTGCGCCCTTCTGATCCCTGGAACCAAAAAATATGTTTGCTCGCCAGCTTAATTTTTTTCACTCACCCATTCGGTGCCAACTGCGTCCATGTAGTCTATTGCTTCTTGAATGGCGGTTTCATAGTAGCCAACAGTTTCTCCTTGGGGACATGGGACGTAGTCTCCAATGTGGAAAGCCACAATATTCTGTGAATTTGTGAATTGGAGTTTGAAATGAGTGAAATTTGAGAATTTCTTTCAAAAATAATCTATGCTTTAAACTCACTTGAGTCTTCTCCGAACCAACTTGGTGCGAGAAGCCGAAGAACTCGATGACCCATCTATTCGAGTTCTTCTTACGGACAAGAAGGCCGGGGTACGCGCCTGCCCAGACGACGTCCCCGGCCTTCAAACCACGACGAATGCGATTCATCTGAAAAACACAAGTCTTGAAAAATATACCAATTTGAAGAAAATTTTAGACCGTTGAATAGAATTCTAAGCAGATAAGAAAAATACCAGAGCGAAAAAATTTTTTTTGAAAATTTTTTCGAATTTTATTGAAAAATGTTCACAATAACTATTGGGTTACTCTAGGTGGTTTGCGAAAACTCGAAAAAGTTTCAAAATGATTAAAAAAGGACTTTCGTGAGAAAATTGAAAAATCCCAAAAAATTTTAGGTTTTTATTGGAAAAATCCGTCAAAAACCCTGAAAATTTACGTATTTGAACCATTGCTGGGTTACGGTACAAATGAAAATCAAAAGTTGGCAAAAAAAACCAGAAAAAATGACAATCAAGAGAAAATTAGTCCCAAAATTAGCATAAATTATTGGCCTAAAAAACACGTGATGTTGAAGTGCGGCACTTTGTAATAGGGCACCTTTGCATAGGTACTGTTGAATCACGGGATACAGGGAATATTGCGAAATCGCCTAGAAGGTGTCATAACTGGCGGGAAATTTGAATTTTGAGCCTGACAGGCTGTATCTATGGCATTGAGGACAAAAAAAAATTGACAAAAAGCCTTCATATAAGAATCCTGGGGTTACTGAAATTTCAAAAAAAGAACTGAAATTTCAAAAAAACTGTGGACATGGAGAATATAATGTGAAATTTTGGGAAATAGCGTTTAAGTTTGTTGAAACATGATAAATTGACGAAAATCCCAGAGATTAAGAGTCCCAGTTTTTAGGAAACTTTGGGTTACGGTAGGTTATAGAAAAAACCGATATGTCTACAGAACCTCTTTATGGTCCGATGAGCGGTTTTCAGAGAAAGGTAATCATCTTTGCGATTTAGGTATTGGAGAGTTCACACCATTAGTTGCCAAAGAGGAGAGTGAGTCCATTACAAAGGGATCAACACAGATAGTAAGGAGGCGTGTGTTTGACCTTTGTGCTAATCTATACGCATTATATTGCAGCTCGCAACAGATGATGTCTGAGGATGGACATATAGAAGAAAAGATTTCATATGAGAACCCTGGGGTTACTGTAGAAACTTGAAATCAAGAAAAATCTGTAAAAATGGAACATAACAGGTAAAATTCTAGTGTTCAAGTTTGATGAAAAATGGAAAACTGAAGAAAACCTCGATAGAGATTTTCAAATTAGTTTTCATAAAATTTTAGGTTACCGTAGGTATTGTAAGCATTCTATCTATCGAACCTGTCCACGGTTTTATGAGCAGTTTTTTGAGAAAATTAGAAACTGTACGATAGAAGTATTGGATAATTCTTATCATTAGCTTTCAAGGCGGCGAGCGTGTCCATTACAAGGGTGTCAATGCAGACAGTAAGGAGACGCGTGTTTGACCTTCGTGCTCATCAACACACATTAGCTCGCGAGCTCGCAACAAATGATGTTCGTCTCACCTGTTGAAAGGAAGGGCCACACAACGCACAAAGAGTTATATAGAAATACAACCTATGGCTTTTGTCTGGCACTAACTAACAGAAACAGGAGTAAATTTATGAATCTTGATTGAGAAACTGATTTTCAGGTTCATCATGGATCATTTTACGAAGCTCAAGAACTCCCCGCTTCAACTTCACGTTTTCAGCACTATTCTCTTGGTACAGAATGCATCCGCGCTCTGGAGTCGCTTTGAATTCAATCAGACGACTCGAAGTGGATATTCAGAAGAATCAAAATATGTTGAACTCTATAATTTTGCAATTCATTCTTTCAGATAACACATTATTGGTATGAAAAATAATTCTACAGCAGCACCATCCGCTTCTTCTTTTCCCATGGGCCCCTCTTGTCATAAAGTGCCAAATTTTTTTAACTGTGGTAGACAAGGCAACCCGAATTAAGGAAATTCATAATTCAGCCCGACCCGTTACAAGTATAGTTCCCCAAAAAACTGAAAAAAAAACCAAAAGCACAATCAATTTAGCAAGTTAGCCAGAAAACAAAACTATGCCTCCTTTCCTGATCAAGGATGATCGAATATTCGACTGGCTGTTAAAAACTATAGGAGTCAAATAAATCAAGGTAACGGAAGTTTTTCCGTTAGTTCGAGTATCAGTATTATTCAATATCAATGTTTTTACAGGACGACAAAAACTATTTAGGTCAGCCTTCTTGGTTTATGAATGTGTATTACAAGATCACACTGGATTATAATTATTTGGGTCGGGATGTGCAGCATCTCCAGTTTCGAATCTACACTATCATGTAAGAATTCATCCTCAGAGTGTTCGATTTTTCAAAAATTGAGAATTTCAGCGCAAACAGTATTTGGCTGCTATACAGTGATTGATTTCTGCAAGATCGATAAATCTTTTTTCATGTTTTTGTGTATATGAGAAGACGGCTGACCTAAATATTAGGTTGGAAGGAAAATAACTGTCCATTTTTTAATTCGTGAATACCGTAAAACCTCTAATAGAACGACACCCGGATCGTCCACTTTGAGCCTACAGTACCGGTCAAAAGGTTGTAAACGCAAGGTTTTTTGAGCATAACTACTTTTTGAGAGCAGATATCGAGCCAAAATTTTCACCAGATATTTCTGTAAAGGTTTGCCAAATCGTGGCCAAGTTTCATACAAAAATTTGAAAAAATAACGTTTTTTAGAGAAAAAATTGAATTTTCGAAAAAAAATCAAATTTTGACCTAAATTTTTCAAAAAAGCATAATTTCCGAAAACCACTTTTATTCAACACAAAACATATAAAAAATAACAAATTGAATCTAATATTTTGTTGCAACGCCACGAGAGTCAATGACAGCCTGACATCTGCGCTGCATGGAGTCGAGCAAATTGTCGATTACTGTCTGTGGGATCTTCTTCCATTCCTCTTCCAGTTGCTGGTACTTTTCGTCCACATTTTTGGCTTTTTTCCCTGCCAATCTTCTCTCCAGCTCATCCCATAGATTCTCGATCGGATTGAGGTCCGGGGACTGGCTTGGCCAATCCATAACGCGAACTCTGCGGCTGGAGAACCAATCCTAAAATCGAAAATATTTTGAGACATCAGAATCTTTTGTACCTTGACGAATTTGGAAGTGTGTTTCGGATCGTTATCCTGTTGGAAAACGATCTCACGACCCATGGCTTTGTAATGTTGCAGCATTTTGGATTCTAGGATATCCTTGTAGACGTAGCGATCCATGATAGTTGTGATGCGATGAATCGGTCCGATGCCTTTTCCGGAAAAGACACCCCAGACCATACAGCTGCCTCCACCGTGCTTGACGGTTGGTAATTGGTATCTGGGATCATACCGAGAGCCAACTGGACGCCGCATCCATTGAATCCCGTCGCTTCCGAAAAGCATGAACTTGATTTCGTATGACCACAAAACCTGGTTCCAATCTTGACGTGTCCAATTGAGGTGTTGCTTCGCCCAGGCAACTCTGGCTTTTCTGTTCTTCTCCGAAATGAACGGCTTCTTAACTGGACGTCTTCCCATGATTCCAGCTGCTCTCAAACGACGTTTGACGGTCGAGGTCGATGGGGAAACCGGACTAATCAAAAATACCTCCCGTCCAATCGCAGGCGCAGTCAATCTTGGATTGCTTCTTCGGAGACACGGGCAATGTTGATATCATCCAGATGAGAAGTGACACGTGGGCTAGAAATGCATGGTTTTCCTACGTCAAATTGAGAAGCTAGATCTCCAAGAGATGCTCCATTTTGGTGTCCCCGAAAAATGGCTTTTTGCTCCTCCACGGTCAAGTTACGCTTTTTCCCAGCTCTTGGCATACCTGAAAACTAAAAGCTACTAAAAAAACATTGAAAACATTGATAAATTTTGAAAAAAAATAGGTCTGAAAAAAAGGGCGAAAAACCCGATTTTTTCGAAAAACTGAAAAATCTGCAGAATCGCGTCAGCGTGTTTGCGTACAACTCGCTGACCGTAGTCATACCTTTTGACTTGCCCCTGTAGTTACCAGAAAAAAATCACGGAATTTGGTTGGTATTCGTTGAGTTATGCTCGAAAAACCCTGCGTTTACAACCTTTTGACCGGTACTGTATATATCTCATTTCTTTTGAAAGATATCAAAAAGTGGTTAACTAGTAAAATGTTTATCAGGATATCAGCAATATTTTACTAGTTAGCCACTTTTTGATATCTTTCACAGAAAATGAGATATATAGGCTCAAAGTGGACGATCCGGGTGTCGTTCTATTAGAGGTTTTACGGTAACACAAAAACAAGAATTATCCAAGATTAGCAGTATGGTCCAGGACATGTTGACAACATTCAGATAACTTGTGGATACCATACCTCCTAAAGCCTGCTGGCCGCGACTCAAAGTATTTTTTCAGTCCAGATCTTATCTCATCTACAGTGTTGAACTATTTCACTCCAGATGACGCATATCTCCTAATTATTGAAAATAAAAGACCCAAATCAGTAGATTGAGGGGACGTAAAGAAAAACCGTCCAGCTAAAGCGGCCTATGTCTTACTTGACTTTCCGTGGAACATAGGATCTCGATTTATTTAAGGAAAGTCACTTAAGTCATAAGCCGCTTTGGATGAACGGCTGTCTATGCTCCTTGAATTCCAGACGTGACCCATTTATTATTGGTTATTCGAAGATGTGCAACGTCATCTGGAGCAAAAAAATTTTACACTGTCGATGAGATAAAAACGACTTTTTGGGAATACTTTGACTCGCGGTCAGCTGGCTTTTGGAGGGACGGTATCCACAAGTTTCCTGAATGTTTGTGTTATTCACGGTATAAAAAATGGACAGTTACTTTCCTTCCAACCTAATAGTTTCCGTCGTCCTGTAAAAAACTTGATAGTGGAGTGGAATGATTTTTAAACTTGCAAAATTGATGGTGCTTTTGGTTGTTTTCAGTTTTTTGTGGAACTATACTTGTACCGGGCCGGGCTGAATGATGAATTTCCTCGATTCGGGTTGGCTCGTCTACCACAGTTGAAAAATTTGGCATTTTATGACAAGAGGAGCCCATGGGAGAAGGAGGAACGGATGGTGCTGATGTAGAAATCGTTTTTTATACCAATAATGTGTTACCTAAAAGAATGAATTGCAAAATGATAAAGTTCGCCATATTTTGGTTTTTCTGAACATCCGCTTCGAATCGTCTGATTGAATTCAAAGCGACTGCAGAGCGCGGACGCATTCTGTACCAAGAGAATAGTGTTTTTTTTTCATGTATGTGAATGAATGAAATTGTTTCCCATAGTTTTCCAACAGTCAGTCAAATATTCAAGCATCCTTGAATCAGGAAAAGAGACACAGTTTTGTTTTCTGGCTAAATCTCTCAATTGACTGTGCTTTTGGTTTTCTCAATTTTTTAGGAAAACTACACTCGCAACGGGCCGAAACGAATCATGAATTTTTTGCTCGGCCCGGCTCGTCTACTACAGTTAAAATAATTTGGCGCTTTATGACAAGGTGGGCCATGGGAAAAAAAGTAGCGGATGGTGCTGCTGTAGAAATCTTATTCATACCTATAACGCGTTATCTGATAGGATGAATTGCAAAATTAAGGATTTCGACATTTTTGTATTTTGTCGAATATCCACTTTCCATCCCCTGGTTCAATTCAAAGCGATTTCAAAGCGCGAACGTATTCTGTATCACGAGAATAGTGCTGATGACGTATAAGTGAAGCGGGGAGGTCTTGAGAATTTTAAAATAATCCCTTGAGTTTGAAAATCAGTTTCTCTGTCAGAGAGCCATAGGTTGAATCGATCGACAATATATGTCACTTTGTATGAGTTCCGTGGTTCGTCTGCTTACCAGATGAGACGGACATCATCTGTTGCGAGATCGCGACCTAAGGCGTGTAGATGAGCACAAAGGTCAAACATGCGTCTCCTTACTCTCTGCATTTATCTCTATGTAATGGACTCCTTCTCCTTCTTGACAACTAATGATGAGAACTCTCCAATGCCACTTCGTGTGCTGCGTGGTCCTTCTGCTCACCAGATGAGACTGCTCATCGGACCGTGAAAAGGTTTGATAGATATGTATATCGTTTTTTTCTAAAACCCCCGAAATTTTCTGAACACTAATTTGGGAATCTTAATTTTGGAGTTTTACTCAATCATTCACTTTTCTCATATTAGAGCACGATTTTCCAAAATTTCAATCTTTATTCTCCGTGTCGACGGTTTCTAAAAGTTTTACTTTCTACAGTAACCCCAATGTTTTCATATGAAATCTTTTTTTCTATATGTTCATCCTCAATGCCATAGATACAACCTGTCAGGTTCTGAATTCAAATTTCCCGCTTGTAATAACACCTTTGAGAGGATGCCGTTTCCGTCTGTCCAGGCAAGAAGAGAGCCATAAGTTGCATCGATCGACAATATATGATACTATGTGTGTTGCGTGGTCCTTCCGCTCAACAGATGAGACGGACATCATCTGTTGCGAGCTGCAATATAATGCGTATAGATTAGCACAAAGGTCAAACACACGCCTCCTTACTATCTGTGTTGATCCCTTTGTAATGGACTCACTCTCCTCTTTGGCAACTAATGGTGTGAAGTCTCCAATACCTAAATCGCAAAGATGATTACCTTTCTCTGAAAACCGCTCATCGGACCATAAAGAGGTTCTGTAGACATATCGGTTTTTTCTATAACCTACCGTAACCCAAAGTTTCCTAAACACTGGGACTCTTAATCTCTGGGGTTTTCGTCAATTTATCATTTTTCAACAAACTTGAACGCTATTTTCCGAAAATTCACATTATATTCTCCAAGTCCACATTTTTTTGAAATTTAAGTTCTTACAGTAACCCCAGGATTCTTAGATGAAGTCTTTTTGTCAATTTTTTTATCCTCAATGCCATAGATACAGCCTGTCAGGCTCAAAATTCGAATTTCCCGCCAGTTATGACACCTTCTAGGCGATTTCGCAATATTCCCTGTATCCCGTGATTCAACAGTACCTATGCAAAGGTGCCCTATTACAAAGTGCCGCACTTCAACATCACGTGTTTTTTAGGCCAATAATTTATGCTAATTTTGAGACTAATTTTCTCTTGATTGTCATTTTTTTCTGGGTTTTTTTTGTCAACTTTTGATTTTCACTTGTACCGTAACCCAGCAATGGTTCAAATGCGTAAACTTACAATGTTTCCGACGGCTTCTTCCAATTAAAATCCTAAAATTTACTGGGATTTTTCTATTTTCTCACAGAAGTCATGTAAATGCTTGGTAAAAACCATTCTAGACCCATTTCGAGTTTTTGCCAACCACCTACAGTAACCCGATAGTAATTGTGATTTTTTTTTGTGAAATTCAAAAAAATTTCGAAAACATTCTTTTGCTCGGGTATTTTTCATTTCTGCTTAAAATTCTCTTCAACTTTTCTTCAAATTGTTATATTTTTCAAGACTTGTGTTTTTCAGATGATTCGCAATCGCCGTGGTTTGAAGGCCGGGGACGTCGTCTGGGCAGGCGCGTACCCCGGCCTTCTTGTCCGTAAGAAGAACTCGAATAGATGGGTCATCGAGTTCTTCGGCTTCTCGCACCAAGTTGGTTCGGAGAAGACTCAAGTGAGTTTAAAGCATAGATTATTTTTGAAAGAAATTCTCAAATTTCACTCATTCAAATTCCATTTCACAAATTTACAGAATATTGTGGCTCTCCACATTGGAGACTACGTCCCATGTCCCCAAGGTGAAACTGTTGGCTACTATGAAATCGCCATTCAAGAAGCAATGGACTTAATGGAGATGCTCCAACAAGATTGGGTGAGTGAAAAAAAAACTAGCAACTCAACTAATTTTGACGTTTCAGGGATCAGAAGGGCGCAGAAGCGTCTCACCAAACTTCTTCCAAAAGTTTGGACTCGTCCGCCACGTCGATGTCGCAATGGATCAAACTCTCGATGTGGACGAAACCATTGAGGAAGAGTACGAAGTGGGAGTCGTTGAACCAGACGAGAAGTCGGCCCAAAACCAAATTCTCTTTTCCGTCGTTATCTTCATTGTGGTTATCTTCATTCTCTGGAACTTTATGAATTGAAGTACCCAACCTGTTCCCTCCTCCTTCCCCCCGTTGAAAAACCCAAAAAAAAAAATCTGTGAACTACTTTTCAGATGCAAAAATAAAATTTCAGATGTGCACTCCAAGATCCCGAAGGGTCGTGACAATGGTCACCTCTTCCGCCCATCTTGTTCGTTTGCGTCCGTTGAAGACAAACTCAGGTTCCAACAATTCAGTGATGATCCAATCTTGCCACTATCACACCTTTCCACAATCCGATGAGCAGTTCTCGGAGAAATTGTGTCCACTTTGCGACTGAAGGATCAGAGAAGGCTCTCATCATAAGTTGTCCGGTAGGAGAGTGAGTCTGTTGCAAAGGGGTGAATGCAGACAGTAAAGAGTCACGTGTTTGATCTTTGTGCTAATCCACACACACACATTGTGTCTCGAACTCGCAATAGACGACGCCTTTCTTGTCTGTTGAGAGGGCGGACCACACAGCACACACAATGGCATGCTATTGATCGATAATATTGCAGGTACATCACTACAGCATCGGAATATCAAAAACCCTTTAGTTTTCATTGATGAATCGTTGCTCACTTCGATCCAGGCTTTCGCGGATTTTCAAGTAGGACGTCGAAGCCGCAAGTGGCAGTCGCATGTGGTTAACCCCAAATGCTTCTAGAAACATAGCAGACTCTTGCTTCGTGGTGAGGTTTTTGTCGTTTTGATATGACATTCAGAACTACATATGAACAGTTCAACATAAGTTAAAAATAACTAATCCTAATTTTTCAGAAATAATGACAACAGCCATGAAGAAGAGCGAAAAATTCTTTGTGTATTGCCAGGAGTCTTGTCTACTGAACTGAACAACTGAACGCCTGGAAGTGAAGAAGATTGCGATTTCCATGATGCCATCACCGTCGACTTCAAGCAGAAGATAACTACGATCACTTGATTGTCTACCATCACTTCACAAACATTTCGTCCACGATGTGAGTTTTATTATATTGCACTCATGCTGAAATTTTCCTTACGTGATATTCGGAAACTACAAACGAATCGAAATATTCCTGTTTCAGGCACCATCTCCCAGCCAACATTATCGCCCAATTTCAATAAAAGAGCTCATGGATGGAGACGGATCAGCTCAAAAAGGATAATCTTCAACTTCCAGTATGAAGCGAGAGGTCGTTCAAGAGACTACACGGCGCTTGGTATTCTAGTCCCCCGACCTCACGCCCACCCGCACAATGCTCGATTTTTCCTTTTTTTTTCGGCTGATGATTCGCTGTTTTGGGGGGATTTTTCTTAATATTGAACCGTTTTCAGCCATCCCTGATTACAAGTAATGGTTTGAATTTATTGAAAAGTTGTATCCTTCGGTTTTCAATCCATTCCATAGCTATCTTATTTATTCGAGGTTTTTGTCCGAGAGGAGTACACGATGTTTGGTATTCTAGTCTCCCGGCCTAACGGCCACCGTAAATCCACACAATTGTTTTCTTTTTTCCCTATTTTTCCCCGAATTTTAACATTCTACGTTCTTTTAGTGTAATTTTGTCATAATACCGAAACGTTCTCAGCAATCTCTGATCGGAAGACATGCTGTGGAAATTCAAAACGTCTCCTTCAACGCCGTCTTTAGGGGCAACAAGAATTTGCTCAATATTTTGAATTATCTTTTTAGGCGTATTTGAAAACGTGTGAATTCATTGAAAAATTTTTAATTTTCGTTCGTGAATCAAGATCCCAAGAAAAAATGCTATATCCAACCTAGGTCTTTGTTCGAGAGGACTACACGACGTTTGGTATTCCAGTCCCCCGGCCTAACGGCCACCGTAAATCCACCCAATACTCGATTTTTTTCTACCTCTTTTTTGTGCAAATCTTCCGATTAGTTGTTCTTCGGAGGTGAGCTTATCCTAATATTGAAATGTTTTCAGCCATCTCTAATTGGAAGATAAGTTGTGGAGTCGTGTCGCCTTCAGCGCCGTCTGGAGTGGCAATATCAAAACCATGAAGGCCCCAATAAAAAATTCGTAGTGAAAAAAGTGAGTAAAAATTTTACAGCTTCTAAAACAAGTCAAATCACCATGATCTAAAAATATTATTAAGTCATACAAATTTGGTATGTATTGCAGGTCCCTAAAGAATAATGTGTTCGCATAAAAATTGAAAACCTATCGTGAGGAATTGCTGCTCGCTTCTCATGCTCTCTTCCGAATGGTGAGCAAGAAAGAACAAATGCTGTAATCTATGCTCGCTAGGACACCAAAAAAGTATACATTAGTGTGTGTCACCAATGGACCGAACGAGAGCGGACGATTTGATTTGGATAAATTATATTTCCGTCGAAGAAAAGGCAAAACCCAAACTAGGAATCCTCTCGATACCGTAACCGATTGAGGAGGGATTGCTGTAAACTGAGATAATATGGAGAAGTGCTCTTCCATTACATCTACAACGTCCTCCGATAGACTTTCAGCAACCGAACCATGTGCGTTACGATCCAGGGTGATCTGTCTGTTTAGATTTTACATCGCAGCAATGATAATAGATTCTCGATAGGCCACTCCTTCACTATAATAGACTTTTCTGTTTTTTTTTTTGAAAAAGAGTCATGTTTTGTAATAATAAACGAATTTATCTGAATGCATGTCGTTACGAGAATTTCTTCGAATTGCCAAATTCTGCATGAGCTCGAAAATCTTTTGGTTTATCCCTGGTCTTCAGACATCCAGATTTATCCTGCCTGGATCTTTGCACGAGATGGAATTTTGGTTTAAAACGGAACCTGCAAGATCGCAAAGCTCTACAGCCAGCAGCGCCACAAGGAATGGCTCGAGGACGAACTATCATAGAACGAGCACGAGGTCCACATCGCCACAATCCACCTCGAGGAAATCGACAAAGAGGAGCTCCTCAGCAGGATGCTCCACGCCAAGAAGCTTCGCAAGCCCGAGGACGATGCGCTTCTGTTCCTGGACCAACTGAGCGGGTCCTGCGTCCTCGAAACCCTAGAGAGTAATGTGTAAGTTCAAATAATTGGGAAAGGCGGCTTCAATAACATTATAACATGACAAAAAAATTATTTCAAAATTACCCCATTTTTCAGGTCTTGTCGGTTCCAGAGCGGTCAGAATAAATGTATCGAGATATTTTGTGTTTTGTTGCCCTGGTTATTCTTGTTTTGGCAGGATAGATTATCTATTAGGCGAAGTCTTTTTTATACAGGCGCAGCAGACACGTAAGTTATTCGTAAAGCTTGAACGAACCGATGCATAAACACTATTTTCAGACTCCTCCGCCAACCACTAATATTCCGATGAGTGTGGACCATCTTGTAAAGAGATTGGAGAAAGAAATCGTAACGATCATTCAACGACCACCTACACCGATACGTTAGATGGATGTTCGATGGAAGGAGTTCCGTGCTTAGGTTTTGGTCAATTGCTCCTTCTCAAGTTTTCCAGGTATAGCTTCCTGGTGAAGATTGCTGTGGGTTTTCGATTTGGATGATCAAGAAAAGTTTTGAAATTAAGGTTTACTGCCCGGAAACTCTGAAGAATGATATGCATCAAGTTTCAAAACGGCTTCGCTGGAGGAAGTAGGGTTATGGTCGGAATGGGAGCGAGAAACTAGTCCGTCGAAAACAAGTCACAATTCCAGCAAGGAATTCTCTTGATGCCGTACCCGATTGAGAAGAGAAGTGATGAACTAGGATCATATGGAAATATTGTTCCGCCACACCATTTCCAAAAAACGTTCTGTTGCATCCGTTCCACTTCGTCATGAAAATTCGGATATCTTTTGAAAGAAGCAAGATGAACCTTGTTTTTTTGAAAAGAATTTTGTAATAATAAAATAATTTATCTGCATGCCATTACGAAAATTTCTACAATTTGGCAAGCTCTTCATGACTTGAAATGTGTATGGTTTATCTCTAATTTTCAGACATTCAGATTTCTCGTGTCAGAATTTTTGGACGACATATTAAGAAACATGGAAAACAGATGTCTTCATTCGTTTTTCAAAAATTCCTTCTATGCCTTAAAGTCCTCTAGAAAACCAATGCAAATTTTTCAATTTTCGTGAAATGCTTTCATGAAGAGGTACTGATGATATAATTAGATTTTGAAAAATTTCTCAGAACATTTAGGAGGATTACGGTAGTTTTGGAATTTAATAAGAACGAAAAAAGGAAGCTGATTTTTAATTTTCAAGAAATATCACCAAGTTTTTGCAAAAAAAAATGTTTTCGCAACAAAAAAAACCAAAAATTTTCAGCTTAATTTTTGCTAATTATACCAGTTGTTTCTGCATACTCAAACACCCATATTCTAGAATTTTTATATAATTAATTCTCCTTTTCATGGACTTTTTCTTTTTTATTTGCTTTTTCAGTAACCCCATGATTTTTCAAAACACATCCTTTCAAGGATTTCGCAATCGTCTCTGTATCCCGTGCTTCGACAGTCCCTATGCAAATGCGCCCTATTACAAATTCAAGACATTCTCATGTGTTATGTCAATGTTATTGTTTTAGGACCAATGATTCATTTACACATATGTTTTCTGAGTTGCCCAATCCTTTAGAATTTTTTGCTAATCTCGATTCTTCTTTTCCACCGTAACCCAAAAGGAATTTATATAGGTTTTCAACGTTATTTGAAGATTTTCTCCAGATAATTTTGCTAGAAATCCTGAATTTTTCAAGGTTCTATTGATTTTTTCGCATAAGATTTCCCAAAAATTTCTGAAATAATGTTCAGCTTCCCTCTGAGTTTTTGAAGAAGTTTTAAAAGAAAATCCCTCTTTCCCCACCGTAACCTTACCAAAATATTTGCCATCTAAAACTTAAGAATCCCTAAATGCTCATTAGTTTTACAGAATCAAACTTATAATTTAAGTTTTAATAGTTTCTTGATTTTTGAAGACAAAAATGTTGAAAGCCACTACAAAAAAGAATCTTAGAACTAGCTTCTTCCATTTTCAGAATGTCCCAGGAAAAGCAACTGACTGAAGGGGACGTCGTCTGGGCAAAACGCTACGTTGGCGTGCTTCTTCATCGTCTCGGCGATGGAATCTGGAAGGTAAAGTGGCTTGCGCTTTTGGCGACCACCACATTTGGGGAATGCGATGAAGTGAGTTGTTAGACAAAGAGACAGAGTTTGAATAATCTTTTTTTTTCGAAAATTTCAGAACATTTTCGCTTTCCACAAAGATGACGAGATGCCCCAACCGGTTGGGCTACCCGAGCACTACCATCGAAATGCTGTGGGGATTGCTCGAGAATATCTCCGTCTTCGGAATACGGAATGGGTGAGGCACTTGAGAAACAGTTTAAATATAAACAAAAGATTTAATTTCAGGGTTCCGAAGGGTAAGCGAATCGTTTCTCCGGAGTTTGTGGAGATGACCGGGCTTGTACGCCATTACGATCCAAATGTATATTACGACGCACTGGAGTCGCTCGAGTCATTGGATGCTTACGAGTTCGTGGATGCGCATAGAGTTTGCAATTGCTACGAGCTTAAAAAGGAATCGATTGTGGCAAGAATGGCAAGCTGGACCTCGTCCTGGCTTCAATAAATTTCTTATTGTTTCTCTTGCATCGAACATTTCAATAACGATGATTGAATGAAGTATAAAGCGCTTAATTTGTTTTTGGGACAGTTTTCAAAGGCAATGTAAGGAGCAGAAATTGAAAATAACTCGGAAAGAAATGGGTCGAATTTGGGGAGGGGATCTTGAATTTCGAAGACCGGTACATTGAAATTGTTTGAAGAAATTGTGAGGAATCGAACAACTGTAAGGGGTTGAAGAGAATTAAGGCTCTTGAGTTGTTTCTGTGAGAATTTTCTGAGGCAATGCTTGGAACGAAATCTGAAAAGAAACTCGGGAAGAAATGAGAGTTGTTTGAGGGGATCATGAGTTGGTAAGACCGGTGTCTTGAGAAAATGATTTGGAAATTCACATGGAAGACAAAAAAATGGGAAGGAAACGTATTATTGCGAGGGATTCGAAAAAATCAAAGCAATTTTTTTTCTTTGATAATTTCCAGAGGCAGTATGAGGAGTGAAATTTGAAAAAGACTCGGAAAGAAAAGGGTGGGATTTGGAGAGGGGATGATGATTTAGAAGACCGGTGAGTTGAGAAGTTGGATGATTTGGAAATTCACAGGAAATACAAAAAAGGGTAGAAGAAAGAATATTGTGGGAGATTGAACCAAATTAAAGCACTTGATTGTTTCTGTGAAATTTTTCAGATGCAATGTGAGGAGAAAAGACTGAAAAAAAAATCAAAAAAAGGTCAGAGGGGTTTCGGGGAATCATGAGTCTCGGAGACCGGTGAATGGGAAAAGCGGAAAAGATGAGGAGATAAACAGGGAAGACGCAACAAAAGACATATAAATTGTGAGAGGTTGAAAAACTTCAGCACGACAAGAAATTGTGAGTATATCAATGTGCTTTGAAAAAATCGCTAAAAATGAAACGTGGAATAGTACTAAAAATGAAATTTTCAGGAGAAACTAGCCGGTTTCGAATGGTCTAGTGGTCTAGAAAAAAAAATAAGAGATGCAATTGAGATAAATCGATTGAAAGGATTCGGAGATTCACAGAAAAAACATAAATACGGAAAAAAACGGAACACTGCAAAGGATTGAAGAATTTTTCAGTTAGAGATTGTTGGAGGAATTTAGAAAGAACCAGAAGGGAACTTATTATCTTTGAAGAAGAAAAATCGTTGCTTTTGAGAGAAATGGGTAGAGAAGAAGATAAGAAGCTGAGAGTGAATGGCCGTGCTCATTAATGCTGTAAGAAAAATTATACTCCAAGATTTCACTTTGAAAAGTTACCTTTCTCTTTTTATGGGGACTTGATGGCCCGGAATGGTCTGACGGTCTTCGTTTGCGGGAAGTAGATGGCCCAGCTTGGCTGGTTGACGAGGATGGTCCCGGTTGGTTGTATGATGAGGTGGATGGTCCCGCGATGTTTCTCAGAACCTTCTCTCTTGCCTTCCCAGTACTTGATACGTACTCCATGTGATCACTTCTGTAATAAATTTTTAATGCTTTTTATCTCCTCAGACTGGTTTACCTGTCCTCCGGTTTCGTCGAGAATAAAAACTTCAGATCCTTTTCCGGGTATCCGTATGGGAAGAACACTTCTTCGTCCTTCTTGATATCTTGATCAGCAACAAATGCCACTCGTGGCTCTCCTTTTGACGTTCGGAAGATAGTGGTGAGATTTGGCGTGTCCGAGTGATTGATGAAGCGTGTCTCATTTCCGGCTTTAGCGGAATCAAGTGCCCCGATGGAATACGGCAGATCTGAAAATTATTTGTTAAAATGGTCAATTGCTAACGATAGAAACTGACGATAGACATAGCTGATGCCAAAATGATACACCTTTCCTCTTCTCTCAACTTCATCTTCATTTATCTGCTCTCCAGTATATTCTCCAACGATCTCGCCCTTTTTGATGTCCCTCTTCGCGACCGCTCCAAATCCAGCTCCCAGAACTTTGGACTTTGTGACTTTCAAAAGAGTTTCTACTGGACGCTGGAACACGAAATTGCCACATTTCCGATCCATGGGCACGTTTCCTAAAATTTGAGAATTACGAAAACATATGATTTGGGACAACTCACTATCATCCTCGTGGTCCAAGCATCTGTAGCATAGGCCCTTTTCGCATTCGTTCCTTTGTCGGATACATTGACAGTCTTCAGTTTGACACTGACCAGGTGGACAGTCGCATCCTGGGAACCGACGAGGGCAGTCGATGTCGCATTCACATCGGAGGGAACAAAAGTCCTTGCAGTCACAATCCTCGGCAAACGGTCCGCATCGGCCGAAATGGGAGCACGGACCAGATAACGACTCATGGTCCACTTCCTTTTTAAGCTCGGCCTTGAGAGCCTCGATTTCTTCAGGTGTTTTACCATTTTCACTTGCAGTTCGAATCTTTCTGTAGTGGCGAAAATACCTCTTTTTATCCTTTTTCGCATAATGCTCTTGTCCATCCCTGATGAATTTCTTGAATCGCTCTTTGAAGGGTCTGAAAACAACTTTTTTTAAAAATTGAGGGTTTCTTGGTTCTAACCCAAAATAAAAGCCCTTTAGAAAAACGGACTGTCAATTAAAATAATGCTACCGTAAAACCTCTAATAGAACGACACCCGGAACGTCCACTTTGAGCCTATATATCTCACTTCTTTTGAAAGATATCAAAAAGTGGTTAACTAGTAAAATGTTTATCAGGATATCAGCAACATTTTACTAGTTAGCCACTTTTTGATATCTTTTGCAGAAAATGAGATATATAGGCTCAAAGTGGACGATCCGGGTGTCGTTCTATTAGTGGTTTTACGGTAATTGGATCGTGAAAAAAGTTTTTTGAGAAAAAAGCTCATTTGAAAATTAAAAAAAACTCGAGCTTTGTTTTAGGCGCTTCAATTGGACATTTATTTTGGACTAGAGCTGATTCTTTCAATTCCAATTGAAAAATAAATCATTCAGCAAACTAAAACTCACTTGGTGGGTTGAACTAGACTTGGTGGTGCTTGGAAGGTGCAAGATTGAAGAAGATGCTTGTATACTTCCTTGCAAGACAAAATCCCATTTCCATGTCTTCTGATTACTTCGCACATATTCACCGCCTGTGTTGTCTTGAAGAGAATTGGCAAGAAAGCTTTCAGGGATCCAGTGCCCGGAAGTCCATTTTTTCTGTAATAGACATTCAAATGATCAGTTGTATTCTGGAGATCGGCCGGCAAGGTTTCGTTATGATAACAGTTTTCGCATTGATCGGAAGTATTTGGAATGGGAAGTAAGATCTTGAAGAAGTTCCCACGTGACACGAATTTCTGTGTAAGCTGCATTCCCTCATCTTTTTTCCATGGCTCCAAGGCAAGTCTATCGAGCCCTGGCTCGTATTTGGCCACGAGAATTGGAAAGCTAAAACACAAAACTAGATACAAGTTAGGAAACAAAGACAGCTTACAGCTCAGACATTGTTTTTTGAGATCCTTTGTTTGGGAATTGAGTGTAGAGGGCATAATAGAAAATGTCCTGATTGAGCTTCTTCTCGTTGACCTTTTTCAGGCAATTTTTGAAAAGCTTGAAGAACATCTCCTCGGACATGTTGAATCTGTCTTCAAACTGACCGTGGATGTGAACGTAGCCCTGAAAAACTTGTATTAACAAATTTTGCTCACAAAACGATTGATGGTAATGTACAAGCGAAACTTTTCGACATATTACAAAGTCTAGTTTATCGACCTGAATTTTGCTAATTTTCATTAAAAATAAGCTACATTAAAGTTTTTAAAATATAGTAGATTTTATTGAAATTTCCTGAAAACTTGCATGTCTTTTAAACAATAATATACTATATTTCCTCTAATAGAAGCCCATCCAAACCATCAACTCTGAGCTCAATTATCTCGGTTTTTGTAAAAGATGCCAAAAATGTGTCAACTGAAAAATTATTAAACATAAAATCACCCATATTTTATCAGTTGTCACATTTTCGACATCTGTCACATAAATTGAGATAATTGAGCTCAAAGTTGAGGGCTTGGACGGGCTTCTATTAGAGGAAATACGGTAGGTTAAAATTAACAGTTGACAACTTTTTCGTAAAAATTCCTCTGAATCAGATATACTCCTTGAAACGAACCAAGTGTCAAAACATTCAGAAATATCACTGAATTCAAAATGTTGATACTCTATAAAGATATATTTCATTTAAGTGAATTTTTACGAACAAAGTCGTCAACTGCAAAATAGAAGATTTATTTTTGTTCACTGGACATAAGTATTCTCAGATTCGTTCGACAAAAGTTAATATTTATTTTTAGACATTCAACATTTTTGATTTTCTAACGAAAATAGACAAAGTAGGTCATTTTTGGTATTTTTAGTATTGATTGAATTTGAAATTTGTGAAGTATTTACAATTTTGTAAATTTTCTCACCTCGCGTAGCTTGTGGTTCACAATTCTATCATCAGCTTCCTCTTTTAGCAAAATTGTGCCATAGTGGATGTCACAATTCTTCGTTATTACGTTTTGATCCAGGTGCTGGTAGAATTTGGGAACCTCAATCACTCGATCCTGAAAATAATAATCGAAAGTTTGAATCTTTAAAAGTTTCTATGAAGTTATCACTTACTGGAACATTGCGAACCAATCTGTTTTTGAGACTGGTCAAGTTTCTGGAGAAGGTGTCGGTCTGTGTTTGCTGGAATAGTTAGTTCGTTAAAGAAATAAAAAAAATTATCATGTTACAACTCACGAGATTGGTTGAGATCTGTTGTCCAGTCCCAGCAGAAATTTCCCTCATCAATTCCTCGGCATCCAACTCTTCCTGCTCCATTATTGGCTGAGCTTCCTTCTGAATCAACAGGTTGATTTCCAAAATCTGACTGTCGACGCCATCCGGAACCTCTTCCTAAAAAGCATTATATTTGGAAAATTGATTGAAACGCTTACCATATATAACGGATTGTATTCCAACCGCTCCCAAGAGTTATGTGGAATGCAGATGTACTCATCGTGAGTTTTTTGGAACTCTTCTTCAGTGGAAAACTCGAAGACGTGATATTCCAAATTCATTGGTTCTGAAAAAAACAGACATTTTTTACCTTTCAAATTCAGGAGGTTAGTTGGAGAAAGTCTTGAAGAACGGTACTTTAATGTTTATACTGGTTAAAAAATAAGAGCTGTAAAGAAATTTCTTTTGAGTTTCCCACAACAACAACTACAGTAATCAAAAACTATATTTATTTTCAGGTTTTTTTTCTCGTTTACCGCATATTTTTGTCAATTTTTTTTGTTCCATATAAAAGTTGAAAAATTAAAATGTTCGATGGCGAAAAAAAACATCGAGAAAAATTCTGAAATTGAAATTTATTTGAGTTAGGTAGTCGTCGTTTAGGGACCTTCCAAAAAATTGTCTTTTTATTCCGAGATCTTTGTCCGAGAGGACTACACGGCGTTTGGTATTCTAGTACCCCGGCCACACGGCCACCGAGTCCCCTCGCACGTCCACACAAAATTCGGGTTTTCCCCCTTTTTTCTGCTAATCTTATGATTATGTTTTCGTTTGAGGTGATTTATCCAAGTATTGAAACATTTTCAGCTATATTTGATCAGAAAACCGCCGTGGAAATGCGCAATGACACCTTAAACGCAGTCTTCAGTGGCAATATTGAAATCAAAGAGAACCTAAGTGAAGGTTCTAGGTCAAAGAAAGGTAAACAGAAATCTACCAACTCTGGAGAAGGGCTTCATCGGAAAATCAAAAAAAAAGTTGATCCAAAAGATATTAGCATGAAACAATTTTCATGATTCTGAAAATTATAAATTTTGAATTCAATTCATTTCAATTTTTGAGATTTTATCAATTTAAAAAAAACAAATCCAAGCTCTAGCAAATCAGAAATAATCTCCTATCTGGGAAAAAAGTATCACAGGTCTCCGAAAATCCAAGTGTTGGCATCAAAACATTGAAAACCACCCGTGGTCTTGAGGAATCGCTTCTCGCTTCTCGTGGCGCTTTCTCCCTGATGATTTCGAAGCAAGGAAGAATACCATTACTTCCCAATCAATCTCGTGATACTAATACCCTTGCAGTTCTACAACAAAAACGGCTGAAAATATAAAAACCCAGTACAAAGCAAATTTCCAAATAAATAAGTTTTATAGCCTCAAATTGATAATTCTCAGAAACATGATATATGAAATGCGCTTCCACAAGAAGCGTTCACAAAATCACGACGGTGACAAATGAAAAAAGTTCGAAATGACAAATAAATTAATAATGCGGGAGGTTCGATGATGGCAACAGTGTCGGTTTGATGAGATTCAAAAGGCGCATCCAAGCATTTCAATGATTTCTTGAGATCGGCGAGCTTTGCGAAGACTAAGAGAGATGTCGTCAAGAGTTTTCTGAAAATTGAAAAATGGTTGGGAATGAATCGTCATGGGTGCATTTTAACATTCTTGCAACACGGCGGCCTGGGCTTTTTTCAGCAATTTCTTGGCCTTTCAAGTATGGAGAACAAAAAGTGGGATTAAAGTGACAACTCAGACGAACGGATTAGTTTTTGGCTCACAATCTGAAAGTGATTTCAAAGTTTTCAAATAAATATTTCTCTGATTGAATACAGTTCGAATATCAATTAACAATTGGAATTTGTTTTTTTCGTATTTCTCAACTTTCAAATCCGTTGAAAATGGCGTTGAAAATTGTTTTACACTCGTTTCGGCTACAATGAACTTTGCCTCCGATGAATGAGGCGCATCGTAGGTCCGGTCGCAAAAATAGCAGGATCTTCTTGAATAAGTGCACGCGCATTCGATACCATATCACAGAATCACTTTATTTTTGCTTATTTCTCATAGGCATTAGCTACATAATAGATTTCATTCTGATTCTTATGAATACTCCGATAAATTTCCTTCTAAAGTAGACGAACAGCCAAAACGGGGTACGGTATCAAAGACGCATGCAAATTTCTCGTAACCTTTTCCTGTTTTTGCTGATGGACCGACGAAGCGCTTTTGAACCAATTTTTAGAGGTAAAATGCATCACCGCCGGACAAGAATGGTGGCTTGAAATCTTCCATACATATGTATTATCAAGGTGGCCATAAGTCCAGCGGTAACGATTTCCCAAATTTTCAAAATTCACAAATCTTACCTGCAACTCCTCCTTGTTGCGTCCAGTGTTGACTCTCTTGCGATAATTATCGATGAGATCCACGAACCAGTTGTGTTTCTTTGTCAAAATGGCCTGTACATAACTAGAAGTCTCTGGAGCGTTGGCTTTGGTCATCAGATTCAAGTCGTCGAGGAATTTTGTGAAGGATCGGAGGGTGCCCTGGAAAATTAGAAATTTAGATTGGAAGGTGAAATCACAACTAATAAGAATCGACCAGCGATCAGTAGCCGGGTGTGAGCCAACACTTAATATGGACGGGCAAAAATTGTCGGTCCGGACCATAATACCCCTTTTTGGCTGGTCAAGCCTTATTGCTTTTCTTGGAATCGGCCAGCCGACAAGACAAGCATTGAATTAATCAAACGCCAAAATCCCAAGATGTAAAAAATAAAAACTCACGTCAGCTTCCATTTTGACAAGATTCGCTGCATGCTCCAGCACGATTGGCTCCTGTGGTGGCTCCTCTGATTTCATGCGTTTTGCTGATGGCTCTCCAGAAGTTCCTGGTTGATCCTTGTCGTCAACCTCCATTGGCTCAGGAGCTTCTCTTTTCTTGTTTTCGGATAATTTGGCATTTTTCTCCTCAGCAGCCTCTTCGATTTTCTTATCCTGTTCATCCTTGTTTTCCTCGGATTTGACCTCATCTGTTTTTTTGGTGTCATCACCTTGGTATCATCCTTGACATCAACTTTAGCTCCCTCCTCCGTCTTGGTCTCTGCTACTTCAGATTTCTTCTCGTCGGTTTCAACGTCCTCTTTCTTTTCCTGCTCGACATCTTTCTTTCCATCAGCATTCACCTCTTTAACGGGCTTCTCATCAGTCTCCATGGCTTCTACTTCCTCCGTGTTAGCATCCTCAACTTCTTGGTCCTTCTTTTCTGCTTCAGCCTCCTCGCCAGCTTTGTCGACGTCTGTGTCCTTTTCAACAACATCTCCTTCCTTGACTTCATCAGTTTTCTCAGCTTCAACAGTCTTTTCATCAGTCTCCATTTGCTTTGCTTCTTCCTTCTTATCACTTTCAGTCTCATCCTTCTCATCCTTCTTCTCCACCTCTTTTGGCTCTTCAACCGGTTTGTCTTCATCAGTTTCGACGACATCTTCGGTATTTTCAGTCTTCTTATCAGCATCCACCTTCTCATCTGCTGCCACGCCATCAACTTTCTCCTGCTCAACATTCGCCACGTCTTCAGGCTGTTCATCATCCTTCTTCTCTTCAACTTCTTCATCTTTCTTAGCCTCTTCAACCTTATCCTCCTCAGCCTTCTCATTCTCAACCGGCTCATTTTTCTTCTCCTCATTTGCATCAGCTTTCACAACGTCTTCAGCATCTCCCATGGCTTCATCAGGCTTATCCTCTTCTGGTTTCTCCTCAGGTTTCTCCTCTGCCTTATCCTCCGATTCCGCAGACTCAACAACTTCTAGCTCTTTTACCGCTACTTCATCAGCGTTGGTTTCTTCAGTAGCGTCTCCAGCATCAGATTCTTTTTTTTCAACGACACTTTCTTCTGGAGCATCTAGCGACGTCTTCGCAGAAAACGGGTCATCTGGATGTTCAGGTTGAGCGAATTCCACCGCAGTTGTATCAGAAATAGGTGGTGGCGACGACATTTTACCTGAAAATCCAAAAGTTTAGATTTTGAGAAAGAAAGAAATTTACGAAAAGGTAAGCTTGAAAAAAAGGAAAGAATTTTTAGGGAATTTGGTGGAACTATAAAAAAGTGAGTGCCCAAAAACAAAAATGGGCATGTAGATGACCCTAGTGCAGCTACGGATGAGCACTGGGGGGAAAATTTGCGCGGGATAGAGAGGAGAACAGACAAAGTCCGGAGATGTGGATGAGGAAGAGAGTGCTGAAGAGAAAAAGAGTGGTATGATGGATAAGAATGCATATTAGCCGGACTGCAAAACAAATTCCATTGTACTAGAGCCTCTAGTCTAATGGCGCTCACTCAAAATGGGTTAAATCTCTCGAGATTAGATTAAAAATATTATCCATAACATACTACAAATTAGTTTTACTCGTTGGAGCTAAACGACTGCTAAAAATCTAAAGAAATTACGAGGAAAGTTCTAGAGAGAAGAAAAATATATAACTAAGCCTATGGGATGTATGTGAGAGGAATAATCAATCACTTTCGCTTTTTACGAGTGGCGACGACATCTACATTTCTTCTTCGTTGGAGTTTCGTAGGGAGAATAAGAAGACTATGGCTAAGCTGAGAATTGTAGCTAGCTCGAATATAGAAAAATCATAATTGAGAGCTACAGAGAGGGCTGGATAGTTGTTTGATATTGTTTTACGACTCTATTGACTTCAAATACAGGTGGGACAACTTTTTTTCTTTTGGGAAGGTCATGGAAATTACTCTATGCCGAAGTTCCTGGGTTTTACAACCCTCTTTTTCTGGGAAGGTCTAGGAAGGAAGTTTTATGTGGCTAATGTTCTAGATTTTTCTGTGTTTTTAGGTCAAGAAGGTCTGAAAACACAAAAAAAATCAAAAAGTTGAAAATAACAAACAGCTAAATGTCTTTCTAACTCTCTCTCTACTGTTTTTGTGATAAAACGAAAAAAATTAGAAACCTCCAATGAAACTGCCGTAAATCACACTGGTCAAGGTCTAGAGTAATGGCAAGGTTTGGTAAAACAGAAAAATGGTAAGAAGTAAAAAAAAGGTTTGATAACAGAGACGCCGAGTAAATACAACATTCACTGTCTGTGTAACAAAAACTGTTGTGGGGCTGGAGCTAGAGAGGAAGAGAGTGCAAAATCGATTGAATGGGAACGAATGGGGGGACGCTCTTTTGGCCGAACGACTGGGACAACATGCGGACTTGGTGCGTACGGGGGGGGGGGCGTTTGTTATGAGGACGGGGGGGGGGGGGGCAAAAGAAGACAGAGAGAGAGAGCGAGAGAGTGAAGGTTGTAAGGACAGAGAGAGGAGGCAAATGGTGCATGTGTCACTTCTACTCCCAGTACTGGTCCAGATGGCTGTGCGTCTTCTTCGTGTGTGTGTGTACTTATGCGTATCTTACCGTCCTTGGGCTAAGAGATGTGGGCGGTAGAAGAGATAGAGAGGAAAACGACTAGTTGATGGATCGGTGAAGGAGACGAAGACCGTAGGCGATTATCCCTGGGTGCTATAAGGTTTGGAGAGAATGAACAACGAAAAAAAGAAGATAACTTGGCTGATTTCAAAACCAAGTCTGAAGGTGGCAATGCTTATAAAATTCGTCAGTGACACTCACAGAGCAGGTCAACAAGATTTGAATGTTTACACAACATTTTCTAAGAAACACGCTATGAAAAAGACCAGAAGTGTGAATTCTGATAAACAAATACACTCGCGCTGAGAAATATCAAGCTAGAATGTTTTCATATTTTCCGTCTGGTCAGTATACTGTAAAAACACATTAAAAAACAACAGAAGGAGTCTGAATCAAGTTGCACGCTTCAAATTGCTGAAATTTGAGATTTTTTTCCTTTCCGAAACATATTAATTTTTCTAAAATTGTACCAAGCTTTTCAAATTGTATAAGTTGCAGAATAAAGTCGATTTGGACAGCTATGTGTGTCAAAAAGGGGTTCTCACCGCTTGAAATTAGCACTGGAATCTTTAAAGAGAATATTTCCCTGGCTCCTAGCGATTCTGGGGAAAAAATCAGATTTTCCAATTTAAGATTAAATTTTTAAAAATGAAAATTTTTCTTGAAAAACTAGATTTATAGCAATTGAAGCTCTATGGGCAGAGTCACGGCTGATCATTGGAGCATATAAAAAGTTGTGTGGCTCTATGAGTATGTAATTTTTTTCGTTGATAAAACTAGATCATACACCACAATGAAACGGGATCAACTGAGCCGTTAAAACTGATGCTGTACTTTTTGGTTGATAGTGATAAGCGAATTTATACCTTTCAGAGTGTTCTAGATAAACTTTTAAGAAAATGAATATAAAATTATTTTGAAGAGACAAGTCAGATACCGTATCGTCATTCTGGAAGGAGACTAGGGAGATTTTGGTTAAACCACCGTATCAGGCAGTTGTTTCAGGAATGATTTCAGGGTTCCGAAAACCTCAAGTCGTCTAGGCTGCCGTCATCAACTCATCTTAGAATGCCTTAATCGAGAAGCGGTAGTCTTAAATTTGACATATAGTACCCCTTACATGTTCACTTTGAGCTCAATTATCTCGGCTCCTTTAAGATATATAAACAAATCTGCTAACTGATGAATTAAAGTGATACTGCGATAACAATTTTTGAGTTGAATTTTTTTGATGCTTTTTGAAGGAAATGAGATGAATGGATTCGTTTTTGTCTTGATTGAAGTCCACTCTATACGTGTACTCTAAACTAAATTATCTACTTTGTTTTGAGAAGTATCGGAAAATTGTCAACCTGAACTATTCTTTATCATAGTATCACCAATATTATATCAGTTGATAGATTTTTCATATCTCTCATAGAATCCGAAATACTTAAGCTAAAAGTTCACGTATAGAGCAGGCTACTTTTCGAGCAAATACGGTATCAAAAAATGGTCCACTGACCAAATTCATCGTAACTTCATAATAATTGTATGTTGGTTCATTTTGCCAGGAACAGAGATACAGTATGCTAAAATTGACAGCGTCAATCTCTTTTTATTACAGATGTGACGCTACATCACCTGCCTCCCATAAAATTTATGGTTTCAACTGTCAACTCACATACAGTACTGGCCATAAAGAATGCGACAACTTGTTTTTTGACGATAACTTTTTGAAAACTCAACTTTTCAACTCGAATTTTTTACTGTAGACACATTGGAAAGTTACGAAAACTTGCGTACTTGGAAATTGCATCATCTTGCAAACAAAATTTTTTTTCAATTGTTTTCTTTTTTTTTTTCATTTTGCATATTTTTCATGATTTTTGGTTTTTTTAAATAAAGTTGAAAGACAACTAATTGGAATTAGTTTTAGTTATTGTTTTATTGTTTTTCAGATATGGTTAGACCATTCGGGAAAAAATCCTTCTCTGTGGACGAGCGAAAAAGCATTGTGCGTGGTCATGAACTCGGCGCGCATCCAAAGATACTTGCAACTCAGTTTAGTTGTTCTTCCAGCCAAAATTACCGTATTCTGAAGAAAAATCGAGATGATGTGAGGTTTCAATCAGCTTTCTCAACTAAATTTAACAATTTAGAATGGCGTTGTTCATCGCCAATCTCCAGGAAGACCCCGAACCACTTCCAGAAATATGGATCGGAACATTTTGCGCGCATGCCGAGAAGATCCTAGACGCACATCTACGGATATTCAACTTTCTGTGACGTCTCCAAATGAACCGGTACCATCGAGAAGAACTATTAGAAGACGTTTGCAAGTTGCTGGACTGCACGGACGAAGACCAGTCAAAAAACCACTCGTCAGTTTGAAAAACCGAAAAGCTCGCGTTGAATGGGCTAAACAGCACTTGTCCTGGGGCCCCCGTGAGTGGGCAAATCACATCTGGAGCGATGAATCGAAGTTCAATATGTTCGGAACTGATGGTATTCAGTGGATTCGACGTCCCATTGGCTCCAGGTATGCTCCACAGTACCAATGTCCAACTGTGAAACATGGAGGTGGATCTGTGATGGTTTGGGGATGCTTCTCCGACACTTCTATGGGACCATTGAAGAGAACCGTTGGAACCATGGATCGATATGTGTACGAAGACATCTTGGAGAACACAATGAGACCATGGGCAAGAGCAAATTTGGGCCGATCGTGGGTGTTCCAACAGGATAATGACCCGAGCATACTTCGGGTCATGTCGCCAATTGGTTCAGACGTCACCGTGTGAACCTCCTAGAATGGCCAAGTCAATCTCCAGACTTGAATCCCATCGAGCATATGTGGGAGGAGCTGGAACGCCGCCTCAAAGGAGTCAGAGCATCCAATGCCAATCAAAAGTTTGCCCAACTCGAAGCTGCTTGGAAGAGTATCCCGATGACGGTGGTTCAGACGCTCCTGGAGTCGATGCCACGTAGATGCAAGGCTGTTATCGATGCGAAAGGATACCCAACGAAATATTAAATCACTTTTTATGTTACCTTTATTTTGTTTTTGACCTCCGGTGTTTCTTGAGCTTCTTTGTATAGATCTCCAAAAATGTCATTTTCATGAATTTTCGAAAAAAATTAATTTTCAAAAAAATTGTAGCAGAATATTAAAACCAACTTAGCCTAAAAGTTTTTGATAGTGCTGAAAAAATCTTACCAAAAATTCGGATTGAAAAGTTGAGTTTTCAAAAAGTTATCTTCAAAAAACAAGTTGTCGCATTCTTTATGGCCAGTACTGTAAGTCATATCAGGAATACGGTACATACAGTAACTTAATTGTAAAAATATTTTTGTCAAGGGCAGATTACAGTAATATTGCAGTTTCCACCGTGATTTTTATTTTTTAGTGTTCTAATAGAAGCCCACCCCCACCCGTGCACTTTGAGCTTACCGTAAAAACTCTATTAGATAGCCATGGCACTCTATTGTTCGAAGGTGGTCTGGGGTGACACTGTATTAGGGGGTGACATTCAATTAGAGGCTAGCACTTTATTGTTCGGAGCTAATTTATACTGAAACTTATCTCAAAAGTGCTCGATTTTTAATTCTTTCATAAAATGACTTCCGAGGTTTCTTTGATTTTTCTACTTATTTTTTAGAAATTTTCTGAATTTGATATTATCCTCACACATTTTTTACAAATACAGTACCTCTTTTAAGCTTGAAAAAGCTACAAAACCAGAAAATGATTTTTTGTGTTTTTCTTCAACTTTTACCACAGTGATATCAAATCCGCAGTGGCATTATATTGGGGGCTGGCACTCTATTGTTCGGAGGTGCACTAATGGCACTATATTAGAGGCTACCATTCAATTAGGGGTGGCTATCTAATAGAGTTTTTACGGTAATTGTATTGGTATCTTCAAAAGATATCAAAAAATTTGTCAACTGATCAAATATTGGTGATAATACAATAGATATTTTACCAGTTGACAAGTTTTCTATACCCCTAATGAGAACCAAGATTATCGAGCTGCACGTACAGGGTGGGCTTCTTTCTGAGCAAATGCGGTAATTAATATGGGTGGAATAATGACATCTATAGATTTGACCTTTTGGTTGACAGTGATACCCAAATGCCGAATAAAACTGAAATGAACTTTTCATACACTCGAAGGATGCATTTTAATTTTTTCTTGAATAAACCGCTCCGAAATCTTGTGATGACCTTTTGAACAGTCATTGATAAGATCCCTGCTGAAAGCAGAATTCCTAAATACCTGAAATAAGCATTGGGGTTTTAACAAGAAAAGATTTCACTTATGAAAGCAAAAATCTCCTTGAAGTCAACTCTTATTCTTAAAGAAACTTTACCAACATAACCGATCAGACTCGATGAGCGTTATCCGAGCACGTGTACTCGACAACCAAGCTTGAATACAACGGAAGGATAGCGCTTATCGTGAATATCAGTTTGCAATAAAAAAAAAAAAAGTCTAGAAAAGTACATTGAACGAGTGATAGAAAGTTTGGAGCGGCGGCGGTGGTGGCCTGTTTTTATCACAATCTGCTGCCTGGTGGTGTCTGTCTCGGAGCATTTAAAGAGGTGGAGAGACGACGCAAAGTAGATGAGAATGAATGATAACGTTCTGATGGTCTCGTGGCCAAGAGATACACGACGTTATTACCCGCCATAAGAATTAGCAGTGTGTGCTCAATGATTCCTTTGATTTACTCCTCTTTTGTGCAGCAATCATCATCAATGAAACCCAATATGTTTTATATTTATAAACTTTGGAAAGAGAAGTCTGGAAGCATCACAAAGGAATAATATAAACAAAACAGTTGAAAACATATTTTTATTACTAAAATTGCAATACTTTAAACATTCAACCTGTTCAATAGGCTTCTTAGAAGCTTACTGCAGCACCCGAGACATACTAAACGGATTATTGACATCATAAAAATGAGCTATATACAGTTTTTTTTTTTCAGATATCGAGGATTTAGAACATCAGATGTGTTTTGCTCTTTCCGGATGCAATCTTGATGGATCCACTCTTCTGCACTCCAATCTTCCTTCTCACCACATACCACTCAACAAGAAGTGCTGTTACAACAAGTGCCAAGCAGATCAGAAATAGGTTTCTGGCCCATCTAGAAATTGAGAAAATTAAGTGACTATTTTAAAATTGAATGAATGATTGTTGAAGTCTTACAATGGCACTGAATGATCTCTCTGCTCTCCGTTCAATTCGTAGTACTCCTTCAGTGCGTACCCCACATCATCCACCAAATCTTCAATCACTTTTGCTAGTGGCCAACCTGAAACACCAACTTGCAGTTTTTGAATTCCTAATTTATGCGCCGAACCTTGCACCAACGCATTGTTCACCTCGCTTTGTATATTTGGCAGTAGGACTCGAAGACGTGGAGAACCTGGAATATTTGAGGTGAGCAGAGATATTTGTGTTCTGGTTTTCTGCCTAGATTTGTACCTGTGTGAAGTCTGACGTATGGGATTTTTCTGGCGTCGTTGACGACTCCATCGATAACAACGAGCTGAAAATTGGAATTTTTGAAAGGGGTTGAAAGAGTTAAAGTTACCGCTAAAAGGTTGGTCTTCGAGCAGGATTCAGAAGCGCCAAACCATCGTTCGTAGACTTTCCAGGAATAAACCTGAAAACTCAAAATATGCACACCGGAGAAAATTCGACATCATACTTTCCAAAGTAGTCAACTTCAAAGTGAAACACAGCTAAAGTTTGACTTTTGTATTGACAAAAGCGAGTTAATCGGTTAAAAATTTCACAACTCTCAGTTTAATTTTGATTGAGCCATTTTCGGATCTCCAGTTTTCGAAGCAACAAAATAATTCTGGAATACTTATTCACAACTCAAAATCGACGATTTTTCATTCGAAAATGCCAAAATATGAAATGTTTTTTTCAGGTAATCTCATTGAATATTACAATTCTATTTGAATTTGAAAATTATATGAGTCTTCAAAATTTCAAAAAGTAATTTGCCTTGCGGCTTTTCTTTTTTTTTTGGACATTATTCTCAAACTTGGCGTCTCGGCTCACAGGCCGATCTATACGCCGCCTACCCTGGCTATCCGCGACAGCCAGCCAGGCCCCGAAAACGGTGAGAAACGACGACGATTATATAGAGTCCCCCTAGCAAGCGGCCGACATTTCCCGGGTTACGCCGCCCACTATGTATAACGTGGTCCTCGAGAGATACGGCGACTGGAGGAGACGCAGCGTAAAGGGGAGCAGTCTAAAGGAAAAACGTCTAAAACGGCCGTTTGAGACGGGAAAGAATGACTTTTATAGGTAACTGAGGGTAAAAACACAAATTTGATAACTGTTTTCTTAAAAAATCAAAAGATTTTGAACGAAAAGTGCGAAAAGCATGTTGAAACTGTCCAAAAATGTTTGTGATCATAAATACCATGCATTGTAAAAGCTTGACGATTTTTGGAAACTTTCTTTTTCAAGAACCGTTAATTATTCTTGATCATTTTGGTTTTAACGTTGAGTTGAGTCGAAAATACATATGCAGGCAAAACTTTCAAATATTATATTTTTCATATCCCTCCCCAAACCTTTAGCACCCTCAGATCTTTCCTAGCACACGTCATGCATACAATAATCGCCCTCTTTTGACAAAAAAGATTCTCAAATGGTTTCGTAATAACCGAGTTCCTCTTCCTGTTCCACTTTGGCACACATATTGGACCAATTTGTTTTCCCCCATGCTACATTTTTTTCTTCACCAGCCCATACCTTCAAGAACTTTCGCACGTTTCCGACAATGCCAGTAATCATGTCCCCATCAATCTGGTCGCATTCATTATCGAAAATGCACGCGTACTCGGATTTCTTCATGACATCATTTGCAGAAGCCGGCTGCTCAAGTTGTTTAGCTAGAAAATTGGGTTTTGGTTGGCTGGGAGGTATTGTCCAGGTGTGGGAGAGAGACTTACTGATTATCACGGCTAGCGTCGACGCGTTGCCATTGGTGAACAAAGAGCGATATCTGGAAAATTAGGTTTTGAAGGGTGAGACATTGAAAGTGGAATTACTTATTATACGCCTTCTCGATTCCATGGACATTTGTGTAGGCTAGTTGATGATGGAGGTCACAAACAAAGGGGAGTCGTGGGATGGTGTAACAGACGGATCGGTGCTAGAAAAATGAATTTTGAAACAAAAACTGTATTAGAAGGACCCCACACTGGGAACTTTCCCAGTGGGCCCTTCTAATACAGGTATCAATATTCCGTAAGCACTTCAAAAGAGTGCCACCATAACGTCAATTTTAAGCCTATACATATATCTCATTTTCTGTGAAAGATCGAAAAATGGTCAATGAATAAAATGTGTATCACAATGTTTTTGTTAGTTGACCACTTTTTGATATCTATTACAGAAAATGAGATATATGAGCTGAAAGATTAAAAATTGGATGACATTTTATTAAAGTGCCAGAAATCAAGGTGAATTATCTAAAAATTGGCTGTGTTAATCCTTTTTTATTACACTTATTACGCTATCCACATCAATTTAACATATAGTTCCCATAAATTTTATGACATCTACAATTTTGACTGTAGTACGGTACCTCAATTAATATTATTGTAACAGTTTATTTTCTGAAGTCTATTACAGTAAAACTATAGTAACCACCATAATTCTGTTTTTCTGTAGGTTGCTTTTATTTGGTCTACCGTATTTGCTCTAACCGGAGCCTATTCTAACCGTCGTCTCAGTTTCTTAAAAAGATATCAAAAAACTGTCCACTGTAAATTTGTTAATGTTATCATCAAAATGTTATTTGCTTACAGATTTTTGATATCTCTCATAGAAATTGAGATAATCAAGCCAAGGTAACACCCGTTTAAGTTCAAAGTGTCACCCTAATAGTTTTCTTGTTTCACCTCACACATTTCTCAGAAATATGACTCATGACTAGCTACTCGTGTTGTTCTCTCTTCCTTTTTTCTATTTTTATTCACGACTCATCATGTTTCCAATTAGTTCTTCCTCCTTTTCCCTTGTTTTTTGCCTCTCCCCATCCCATTAACTCGGTCCCGTCTTCACTATTTCATATGCATATAAAATTTCGGGTAGTACACTACCACCATAGTGACTTTTCCCATGCATATCTCTCCTTCTTTTAGTCTTTCACGTGTTTGCTTTGTCTCGTGGCGGACCCCTCTGTGTTGATTTGGTGGTCCTGGTTTTTTTCTGGTTCTGGAGGGCTCGTTTCCGTTGCAGGAAACAGAAAGATGGGAGACATCAAATGAATACATATATATATATATCATTTTTTGTGAGGAGTTGCGTGTCTCTTTCTCTGTCTCAGAATCCCTTCCGAAGGAGAAGAAAAAAGCGAAACATTACCCATATATGACAAAGAAATGAATTCATTCACTGTTTTTGTTTACAACTTATATATAATGTTCAGGAAGCATAGAATAGAAAGACCAAGGGAAAGATATATCAAGTGCAATAACCCAAACTTTTTTATTGCATTTTTCTATTTTTTCTTTTGTATGCTTATCTAGAAAAAATGAGCATGATTTATCTACTCTATGGGAAGTTCCGAAAAAATGGGTTCCAAAAAAACTCGTTGCTCTTTTCCTCCCCTTCCGATTCTCATCTTAAAAGAACATTTTTGAACTTTTTTCTCTCTATGTAAAAAACTTTACAAGGGTCCTCAAGAAACCTGCCAAAAGAGGAAGGAAGCATATGAGGGGAAAAAAAGATTTCTTTTTGTTGTCGAGGAATTTTCAATACAATAGACAGGAAAAGGAAAAAGAATAAACTAGGGTTTTTTTCGGGAGGAGAGGAGCACAAATTGCGTTTACGGCGGTCCCACCTCATGTGTGGCGGTTTCCAAAGGAGACCTTGAATGACTAATGCTTTTGACACATCCATTTTTTGGAATTCCAGGTTTTTAGAGGTTTTTGAAGGGTTTCTCAGTTCAAGTTAGTTTAAATTTCAAATCAAAATTTCGTAGGGATTCCTCCCTCTCCAAGAAGTGCAAAAATTTGCCTTTCCCATTTTTTTTAATCCAGAGAAATTCGTAATATGAAATCTGTAGAATCTCTAGCTGTGCGACTTTCGCTTCCGCGACGTAGTAAAAACAGAAAGAAAGCATCGCCGATTGTCTTTCACTTGATTGGTTTCATAAAGATGAGCCAAACGCTAAATATGCAAATAGAAAAAAGCACGGCGTCGGTCGTCGACGTCGTCTATTTTTCCACGAAGCTTTCCTTTCTTATTCTTCTCCACTCCCGACATTGACTTTTTGAGATGGCCGTTCAAAAGTTTTGGGCACAAAGTATACTTAAGAAGAAAAAAAAATTTTTTTTGGGGATTCTGGAGGAAGAAAATAGAAAGGAAGAGAAGAAAAGACGAAGAAGCCGGCACTGGAGAGTTTGAAAAAAAATAATTGGGTTTCTAATTGCGGGTTCAAGAACGCTTGAGTGATTTGTGAGACAGGAAAAACGCGAGCTAGGAGGCAGAAGCCAAAACAAAGAGAATAAATAATTCGACACGTATTTTCAAAACAAAAAAGAACCTCTATTTCTCTGTTACCTACAACTCTTGACTATAGTTTTTTTTACTCAGCACCAAATAAAGAAAAAAAGAGTACTTACAAAACTTGGCTCGGTGATCGGAGATGGGAAGTTGCACGGAGAGAATATGGGAGGCACAGGAATCTGACTCCCTTGGGTATAGACCGTTAGCAGGCAGATGGCGAGTAGCAGGCGCATCATTTTTGGCGAAAACTTAGGACATTTTGTGTGTATCTGTGTGCGAGTCGCCTCCAAATAATATGCTGACCAAGAAAATATGTCGACTGATTCACTAAAACCGGAGTTGCTCTGGTGAGGCCCCAGCGACGGTAGGAGGAGAGCCTCGAAGACGCACAAAGGGGCGCGCCAATGCGCTCCGCCCACTTTGCCGCGAAGGAGGGCTCTGTCCGTAGTGAGACATTGGGCAATAGGAAAAAAAAAAGGAAAAACGGGGCTTATAGTAGTGAACACTGGACTTGAAAACATTTTTTCCCTAGTAAGAAGTGGAAGATGAGGTCCTCACACTAAGAGAATTCTACTCTTAATACCCTTTTGTTCAAACTCCAGATTGCCTGATTGAGTTTGTTTCGCTGGAGTGTGCTTACCAAACTTTGTACTTTTTTATAGCACTAAAAAAGAACAAGGACGGAGACCAAGTTACGAATTCCAAGTTTCACGAGGATCATCGATGGAAATCAAATATTCATGAATATTCTGATGAGGACGATGATGGTGTATAAATTAAGAAGTTTTGAAGTTTCTGAATGAAATTTTTAGAATGAAAATGATGTCGAAAACGGAACTGGTTTGTTGAGGAAATTTGGCTAAAAATGATTCTGAAAAAATATAAAACAAAAATATTGAGAGCCTGAGTTCTCCACATTGGTAAAAATTGAAATTTCCAAAAATTGAAAATAACTTTCTTATGACATCCCACTTTTCGTGAATATGTATATTATTGGGCAATAATATCGCTTTTTTTTCTAAACTGACCTAGAACACGTTTTTGAATGACATTTTGAAAAAATTACTAAAAACCCGGGCGGACACGGACCGGGCCGGGTCTTGGAAGTCATAAAAAAACCTGGTCTGTTGCAACTTTTTAAAGCAATTTTTTGAATTGATCTTTTGAATTTTTCTACAGTTTCTATCAAATTTGATCTACCCCATCCAGAAAGGTGCACCATTTTGTAAAAGAAGATGCCCGTGCTGAAATATTCACTCGAATTTCGTGCCCAATGTGGCACATTTTGAATAATTCACCAGTGTGTACTCAAACTTCTTTTTCGTTTTCCCATCCTCCCCCCCAAAAATGTTTCAGAAGTTTCGTGCAAAACTTCAAAAAATTCTCCCTTTTATGAATATTTGATCTGTATCAAATTTTATTGGGTTCATCTATTCAGCAATGCCTCATAAAAAAGATGGACAAACTCACTTGGCAACACTATACGTCATTCGCTTTCAAGACGGGAGTGCCTACTCCTCCCGAGGGAGATCTAGGGGATGAAGAGAGTGCTTTCTAAAATATTGTGACTTCAAAAATCTATCCAAGGGCATTTTTTGATTAAAGATCTTTTTTAAGAGCACTTTTCTAGTGTAATTCGATCCGATTTTGGAGGTAAAGGTTCTCCATGTCATTTCAAAGCACACTCCAAGAAGCGCTTACTACAAACCACAGAACAACGAAATATAATAGCATATGAAAGTTGTATTCATATATTTTCCTACGGTCTAAAAAGCTATAACCGCGTCATTCTGTTCTCTTTTTCCAGTTCCCATTACCAATACATCCTACTTTCAGACATTTCAGCAAACTTTTTTTCCCTGCCATTCATTTTCCAGTTACTTCCAGCTCGTGGGATCTCACTCTAGAAAAGCTATTCGAAGGAAAAGAACCCGAAAAATAATTTCCGTTAAGGAGAGAAAAAGAGTCGGCTAAAGGGAAGCAATTTTCTTCAAGAAATGGGGTGGAAAGAAGTGGTGATGAAAAAAAGACGAAGAAGGCACAATGAACCAAACCATTTATTGCTTTTGTAACTGCCTGCAAATTGACTTTACGATAACACAATCCTGAATTGAGGCTAAGAAAAATGGAGCGGGAGATACGCAAAATAGGCATTTCCAAGAAAGTGGATTTGATTGGAAAAACGAATGGAGGAAAAGATTGGGGGTAATAATGCGCATTCTGTGGAAAAAGCAGCACATACAATATCGTCACTTCTTGGAAAGTTGGAATGAAAGAGTGGGGATTTTCATGGGAAACTCTAACGGACTATAATCAATTTTGAGAAAAAAGTAAGCAGACAAAGTTGAAAGCTTGGAAAAGTATGATATTAGTCGAGAAGAAATGGAATTTTAAATTAAAACTTTGTCCTGATTAATTGAGCTCTGTTCTCATGACATAAACTGATTGGACTCTTATGGTGACAAGTGACAAAGTATGGTTTGGTGTGTTTTTAGCAGCAAAAAAAGAGGAAAAACGAAAAAAGAAGACGAAAAACGAAAAAAGAAGAAAGACAGTAATTTGAAAAAGATACTGGAAAGCTGAATGCGGAACATTTTTTCAACTACTAGAGACTTCAAAATAATGATTTTTCGCGAAAATCATCATCAAATAATTAAAAAAAATTCGTTCCGAAATTTGTGGTAGAAGTGAATGTTGCAGCTTCTCTGAACTGAGAATCTTCATAGTTCACACACAAAAAAAAATCAATACAGAAATATAAAAATTAATTTCATCAGAACCTTTTTTCAGAACTTTGAACACATTTTCTGTCTCACTGTTTTCCTGAAGTCAAACTTTCTTATTCCAACCCGAAAATTTTCAAAACAAAATTTACGTCGCTCGGTTCATCCGTTTCGTATTTTAACTCTGTAAAATAATCAAAACCTGATTTTTCACTAGCCCTCATCCATATCACTTTTTCTTTCAGATCTTCCGTCTTTTTGATTTCTAATCGAGCTGTTTTCCAACTTTATCGAACTTTTTTACAATACTCTCTTCATTTTTAGGAGGACAGGTCCTCCTTCAGCGAGGGCTTCCGAAAATTGGAACACTATAAGTTAAATCAAGTTTGAAATCTCTTTTAAAACTAATTTAAGTCATGTTAATTTATCTTTTTTCCTGTTCCTAGACGAACATAATTTCTAACTCATTTGTTTAATTTGTAACACATTGATTTTATAAGATTTTATAGTCAAAATTTTTTTGTTTCTGACACAGTCGTCAAAATCTCTTTTTTAATCCTGTAAGTCATTGCTCTGTCGAGGAAAACAGAAAACAGAAGGGAGAAAAGTCCATTCAAAAATTTTTCCGTATTTTCTCTAACAGTATCCCATTTCTAATTGAAGCCCACCTTCAATAGTAGTTCACACTTCGATGTCCTTAAAAACATAAAACCGCACACTGTAACAGAAATTCGTGAAGCTAATTTAGTGCCGTTCTTACAGTACACTCCATCTATTCGGATGCTGCAGACATTTTCTTTCTTTTTTGAAAATGTTCCGGTGACTTCAAATTTTGGTAAATTCCTGAGAATAGGGTTGAAAAATAAGCATGGGCTACAGTTAGGAAAAATACGGTGATGGAATAATCGCCGAAAATTGAATTGTTGGGAAGCCGGAAACATGAATTATCTGGGAAGTTTTGAAAAATAGGAAAATTAGAATATTCTCGAACTACAAAACTTGACTAGCGATTTCTCCATATTCAAGATTTATGAAGTCATGTTTTATTTTTCGATTTTTGTAGGTTCCAAGGTTCCACTCATTTATTATTGAGTTAAAAATCCATTTCCATACTTGTTCCAGATCTATGTGACAAATGAGCTCATCTCGATGACTACACTTGCTTATTCATCAGACATTATCCCGAACTGCACGTCTGAAATCTAATGATGGATGACTATGTCTACAGAATGATGCATAACTTGTACGAAATGGCCAAACACACTTGTCACTTTTTTCATAATTTATTCGCATATAGACCATTTATGTTTTTACACGTTATCAAATTTCAAAGGAACGTCTTTTTGGGGGATAGGAGATCGGAAGAAAAAATGTCATCAAATACAACCAAGAGAAATGCAGTGGAAAATACAAGTAGAAGTTGGAAAGGAAAACAAGAAATAAATGGTAAAAAAATCCGTATATCAGTACCTAGTGCAATGATTCTGAACTACAAAAAAAAACAAAAAACCAAAAATTAGCTTTCTTAAGCTTCCTCCTCGGAAATACATCTAGAAACATGGCGATTGCTGCTGGAAATCACTGTGTTTCTGGGCGATCCGCTAGTTTCATAGATCGATGTAGCCAAGTAGAACGCGTTGCAAGCGAATTGAGAGAAATACATCATTTGAGCGATCGCTGGAAAAAAAAGTACATGAGGGGTTAAATCGGATCATCGTATCATCATCAATAACGTTTTCTGTGTGTGTGATTTTGACCCAACGTATTTTTTCTTGTCAAAAAGCCCCAAAAAAAAGGATTATCTAAAGAAAGGAAGAGGAGAAGTTTCAAAATTGAGTTTTCCCAGAAAAAAGATGAACATTTTTCCTTCTTCTTTTTTTGGGTTTCCTTTTTTCCTTATTCTCACTTTTTTGGGGGAAAATCCGGAAGAGCACAACACACACAACTTACGTTCTAGGACTTGCACGAATTCATGCTCCAAACTTCGTTCGTCATATGAAGCCCAGGCACGAAGGATGTGGGAGGGAAGGTTTAGGAAAAGATTGAGCACGGAGATCAAAATCGAACGCATCACCATTGCCGTCTTCTTTTTTGGATTACCGTAATGGACGCGTTTCACACTCTGTAATTTGGAAAAATTAAATTATATTTTAAAAGATTTTGGGACCCACCGAAGTGTTAGCAGTGATAGAAATAGCTAGAGCCACATGAGCTTTGTTATCCAAGCTCTCCGTTTCACCGGGTGTGGAAAATCGTTTGGTTGTTGTTCCACTGATGGCATATCTTCGATCTACAGTAACCCGATCTAAGCCATCCATTGAGAATGGAGAGTAACAATGAATAAGGACCAAGAAGTCCAAAGTTATCCGTAATAACGAAGGCACCGCGTAGAACAAAAAGATATCTACCAAATGAATATGTTTCCAAGCACTTTCGTGGAACACATCATATTCTCCACACATTTTCTCCTTATCCCGATAAGTTACAATAGCGAGTGTGTAGATTTGAAACACGCTTACTGCTCCAGCCAAAATTCTGAAAAAAAAGTTTTTTTTAGTGAAAATATTGCTCATGTTCTCACTTCAATGCATTCCTTGGCTGCCTCCAAATAGTTCGATATTTGAATGGATGGAAAACTGCAACGTATCGGAGAACAGACAAAAAGAACCAACACCAAACAGAAAATGCTGATGTTGAGTGAATTAGGTAGATGCCAAACTGAAATTCGCCAAGTTAGGAGAGCCGTATATAAAAAAGGTTACCTTGCAAGTTGTGCTTAGGACCACGGTTGGAACTTCTCCTTTTGGTGTGATGTGGAAAATTGCTTGCATAAGAAGAGCGCATAGTGTGATGGAATCTCCGATCTAGAATTGAAAAATTGAATTTGTGAAGTTAAGAATTTCGACAATTTTCTATAAAAAAGATATGGTATCAGCTCTATTAGAATCTTATCTTATACGTGCACTGTGAGCTCAATCATCTCGATTTTTGTGAACGATATTAGATTGGTTTCAACTGATAAAACATTTATCATAAATTCACCAAGATTTAATCAGTTGACAAATTTTCGATATCTCTTAATGGAACCGAGATAATTGAGTTCAAAGTGTACGAAAAAGGTGGGCTCCGATTGAAGCGAATACCGCGTTACATGCTTCAAATGTTATTTTTTTTTTTTGTAATATTCTTTCAATTTCCCGATCCATATTCATTTTTTAGTCTCTCGCCTATTGCCTGTTTTACAATTCTTCTATCTTCACTTTCCTTAGTCTTCACATTTATTTTCAGCGCTTTCCTTCATACTGATTTTTCATCTATTCATCAGATTCCCACGTTCGACACACCACCACATCGCCTCTGTCTCACACTTCCTTCATTCATTTGATTCAATTCTCAGCAACCACTAATTACACACATTGCTCACCACTAAACTTTGCTCCAAGTTGGAGGACCTATTCTCAGAATATTTGTTTTCGTGTTTTACTCGTTCAGAAAAAAAAAAACAAAACTTACCGACATGGCAGCCAGCGGTAATCCCGACGTGGTTTCGAAGCGAACAACGCTTTTCCTGAAGAAGCAAAAACATGATGGAAATCAAAGATCGTCGACAAACAGATTAAAATCAGCAGCCACATGATCAATAAAGTCAACTCACCTTGCAAGTCGTATCAGCTTCCGTAAGACATATGTGTTTAGGATGACCCCAGCTATCGGTACAGTGAAAACCATTATCATATACGCTTTTTGAAGGAGATACATTTTTGAAACACGTAAAATATCTCCAAAGTGATGTGATGGCCTGAAATAAAACTTGATTTGGTTCAATTTCCGGGAAGATACGTCAAGAGAAAAAAGGGAAAGGTCGAAGAATAGGTTCGGGTTGATTTGAGTTAAGATATCATAATTTCGGCAGAAAAACAGGAAAAATGAATTCTATTATTTTTCTAAAAAAATTTCAGACAGAAAAAAAAATAATTGTTCTAGCTTCCGTTTCAAATGTGTGGAACTAACATTATACATTGCGGAAATTGAGGGTTTTAAATAATTTTTAACTTTGCAAAATACAACTAAATTTTCTGCTTTTCAATTTAAACAGCATCAAAGAAATCAAGTTTTCGAAAGCAAAATAAGGTGCCAAAATAAAGCCCGATGCTTCCAGAACCCCAGAAACTGAGCGAAAACAAGGATTTCTAACTTTCACACGTCAGACAGAAAACCTCTGTCTCTGTGCAAAGTTAAGAATAGTCGACGAACGACGCATGAACCCCTTTGCGCCCCCTGAAAGTTTTGATTTAAACTTCGGATAATCTGGTCGTGTGCCGTCAGACCGCTCGTTTGGATAGGCGTTTAATATATTATAGCGGTCAAACCTTTTCTAGCGCATCTCAGCTGTCTAGGCAGGCCAAAAAAGTTCTCAAGTGTTTTTAAGAGCTAAAAATATGAGAAACACATGTTTTGAATTCGAGGAATGTTGTCAGAACTATTTGCTCCTCTTATGGAGATAGATTAGTACGTTTGGAGGAGCTAAAAATGACTTTGCGTGCGGCCATTCCCCCTATCCAAATTATTCTCATTAATCTAGTAAAGGTGAAAGTGAATCATTTCTCATCAAACTTCTTCTAGTGCCAATGAATGCAAAATGAATTATGTAAAAAAAATTGCCGAGGGTGTGTGTGTAGGTCTGTGTGTGTCAACAAGGATGAGGACATCTTCCTTCTTTTTTACGATACAAAATTATGGCGATGATACGGATTCTTCGAGGATCGAAGTACAATTATTGTTGATCTAAGACTTTGGAAACGGGATGGAGAAAGTGGAAAATGTGATTTTAACTACAAACATAATCTTATAAAAATTATGTCAAATGTGAATTTCGAAAAAACTACAAAAACTTGAAAAGGAGATTGGAAGGAACGATTCATCAACAGAGTTACTTTAATCTGACTCAGAAAAATTAATTCTCATTCAAAACGTTTTTCATGTGTTATTTCCAACGTCTGGGTTGCAACAAAGGATTTTCTAAGCCACAAGAAATATTCGTCACAAGAAAAAAAAAAATAATGATAGGAATGATTAGATTTCCGTTTCAAAGGAGCTTTGAATTAAAATTCTGGATACAAAAAAATGAGGTTTAGAAGAATCATGATTTCTTTAAAAAATCAGCTCTCTCAAAAAAAGGTCTTTAACAAAATTATGGTCCATAAAAACTCGGGTCATGAGAAAATGTTTATCCCTAAAAAGTTAAGGTACCTAAAAATGCAAGTCCTCAACAGAAAAAAACCAAATTACAGTACTGGCCAAAAAGAATGTGTCGACAGGTTAAATGCGTCGACAGGACTGTAACTTTCTTCAAAATAGAGCTAAAGTGTCAAACTTTTCTGTAAAATGTAGCAAATAACCCTCGACAAAATATTCTAAAACATGTTTACCCAGAAAACGAAAAACAACTTTTTTGGCAACAAAATTCACTTTTTGGAAAATTTCGGATTTTTGGATTTTTTTTTGTTTTCAAAAGTCTGACGATTATGAATGTTAAAAATTGATTTTGATCTTGATTTAAAAATTTATTCATCATCGTTTTCTATTTTTTCCAAATTTTTTGAAAAAAAACTTCCAAAAACCCGAAATTTTCCAAAAAGTGAATTTTGTCGCCAAAAAAGTTGTTTTCTGTTTTCTGGGTAAAAATGTTTTAGATTGTTTTTTCGATTGTTATTTGCTACATTTTACAAAAAAGTTTGACACTTTAGCTCTTTTTGAAGAAAGTTACAGTCAAAAAACCTGTTGAGTTAACAGTGTCGACGCATTCTTATTGGCCAGTACTGTATATTTTTAGAATCATCATATTTAAGGACCATAATTTCAATAATAAAGCCTTCGTTTTAAGCCAGTCCCCCACTAGAAGCCGTTGCGAATTCTGATGATGGCATGGATAGTATGCAGATTTGTGCACGAATATTCATTAGAAGGGCGGGACATCGGAAATGCGCATACCAAGCATTTCTTGCTCATCTCTCGTAGTTCTAGGGACTAACTCTTTCAGACATTTACAGTAGGACAACAGAAAAAAGAACTGAACAAATATGAAGGTTCCAATTTTTATATATCTCTTTTTTGGAGAAACATTTGCAATCGTTAGTTCCAAGAAGGAAGTATTTGCATATTAAACGGTTTGAGGATTTCCCTCTGGGACCTTTTCATTTTTAAAGAAGGCGTTCTTCATTTTTAAAGAATCCCATCTATGTATAAAAAAGGCATTTCAAGTAGGTTAGGCGGTCCGGCGATGAAACAAGTGTGACCTGAAGGAGTTCAGCTTCTTAGGGTCCTCCACTCAAGTCACAACGTCTTCAAATATTCGTCCTTGCTTAGCGATTTCACGTGGGATGGCTGCTGGTCCGACTACGCTATATTCCAACCTACTTGGTTAGAGTGTTGCAAAAAAAACATGGCACTTATTTCTAGAAAAAAACCAAGTCGACCAAAAAGAAGGAGTGGGTGTATCGAAGAAGATATATTGGAGAAGATAGCTCAAGAAGAAGAAGAAGAAGAAGTTCAAGACACGCACTGCTCAACTAATTAGAATGGAAGCGAAGATATGGAAGGCGTTGGGCGCCCTAAGAAGCGTTTTATTCAGAGGTTTTTCAGTGAGGGTACATTGAAAATTAAATGAAGGAGACCTGGCATCATTCAGTGGTGCACCAAGTTATTTCTAGAATTCAATTTGACTATACGCACGAATTTTATGCCGTTAAACCCTATTCATTTCCTTTTTTTCTGGATTCCAGAATTTTAGAACTTTGATAGGTTGTTCAGTGGAATGAGCTGAGCGCTATGCACAATGAAAAAACACTGGAAAAAAACAGGAGGTGTCTGCTTTCGAAAAAAATGATCGAGGTAATTGGTGTCTAGAGAAAGAAGTTTGGATTTTTGAACTAGAGGTTCTGGGAAATCTCGATTTTTGAAAAATAAAAAGTGCTGAAATAGAGGAACGTCATTTTCCGAGAAAAAAAAGTTCGAGGTGTTTTAGAACGCAAAAAAAATAATTTGGGTTAACGAGCATTTACAAAAATTGTGTCCAGAACAATTAAGGCTCATTTCAGAGATCCAGAAAGTAATGATTTTTATAAAAATGTACAGTACCGCCCAATAAGATATAAAAAACATTTTCGGTTGATTTTATGCCATTTTTATTATTTTCAGGAGTCTGGAGTTCGGCTTTTCAGTTGATTTTCTGTCATTTTGATCATTTTCGGGAGGCTGAATCCCGGCTGTCAAGTTTTCGATTACTTTGAAAGTTTAAAGGTGTGAAACAGACCTAGATTAGAAGTTATAGAAATTTTTGGAATTTTCTAAGGATCATTGTTTTTCAGCTTTTTGCCGATTTCTAAAAGATGCCTGTTTTTTTCTGATTTTCAGTCCAAAAATTAACCGAGAAGGGGTGTCTTTCAGAAATGAACATATAGCTGAAATACTAGGAATATTCATAAAGTTTCGTGACTTCGAAGTTTTCAATCTAGGTTTGTGTCACATTTTCTGAAATTTTCAAAATGATCGGAAACTTGACAGATAAGATAGAGAACTCTGAATATGGTCAAAATGGCAGAAAATCAAAAACAGTTTTTTGCAAATTATTCAGCAATACTTATGTTTTAAAATTTTAATCGAAATTCACGAATATAATACAAGTTGGATGTTCCCATAAAACAAATTCCATCGTCCGTGAAGCCTAAATTGATCAGAAGGACACGATGAAATAATTTCTTCCCCTACCCCCTGTTCGTGGTACACGAATAACTAATTATCATGCGTTCAGGAAAAAATGGCCCTCGCTCATTTCCAAGTAACAATCGGAAACAACACCTAAAAACACCCAAGGATTTCAGAGGAAAAAAAACACAAATGCAGGATGAAAAAACAGCGGAGAGAACTAGAAAAAAGTTGGCAGGAAAAAAACTCAAAACGTTCCGATTCTTGAAAAAATGATTGACAAGATCGCCCCACAGGAGGAGGAGGCAATTCAAACTTGTTTGAAGTAGAGAGTAGAAGATCACTACTACTACTCAAAAATCTCATGTTCTTATTTTTAGTCGACCATTCTTATTTCGAAAAACGAGAAGCTCCAATATTCCCACGCTTCTTCGGACGTTCTGATTCAATTGAAATGGGAAATGAGACAGAATGAAATAAAAATGAAGAGCTATTCGAACTTCCTGGATGTGACAAATGAATTACACTTGGTCTGGTAGCCTTGTTTCGGGGGTACATGTAAAAGGATACTTTTCTGCACGTGTTGGAGGGGTGGGGACACAGATAAAAAATGACTGACGCATTGACCGAATGTTGACCTAACATGATTGGAATGAAAACTAGAATAGAATAGGTTTGGCGGCTAGAAAGAGGACTAAACCAGAATATTGTTGCCATATATTCCACTAAAATTGAATTTTTCCATTCAAAAAGGTAGACAAGAGGAGGGTGGGTGGACACGGGGAAGTGTCTCTATCTCTTCTATTGCTAGTAAACTGTTGGTCGAGCAATATGAAAACGTGTCGGAGAGAGAAATGTTGAATATGTTTCCCTATTTGATCACTTCCTGAAACTTGGACCATCTCTTGTTTTTGGGAATGATCAGAGAAGGTGGTTGGGAAATAGCTAGATTAGCTGAAACATGTTTTTGCATCTCGATCATAGAGGATTTTTGGAATTGAATGTTTTCGAAAAGTGAAGAAAGATGTACGAAGACATCGAAAAACGAAAATCATCGTGGGACAGGACAAACAAATACATTTTGTGCTTTTTGGAACAATGAGGGGACGATGAAGAAGACGTCGTCGATGTTAAAACCCGAATTCTAATGAATGCCTCTTTCTGGGAAAGGGAAGGAATCCTAAATTTCGCGTTGACCTTATCAGAATTCATTTATGCTCTAAAAAAGAAACACTTTTTTGCGTGCCTTCCCCCTATGAATACATCAGTGTTTTCAAAAATCCAGAAATCATTGTCAAAATGATCATACATTCTGAAGGGTGCTACTATGTGACACCATCTTTAAAAAAAAGGAAAAACAACAAAAGTTGGAAACGTATGTGTGCACAACAAAACAAAGGAGAAACGTTTTGTTTCAAAAATCACTAAAAAATTTAGGAAACAGTGCAGAAAGATTAAAGGTTAAAAATTGTATTATACTGTCATTTTTTTGGTTTGAATGATCAGATTGTTTTTTGCGGTGTGAATAATAAGCGTATCAGATCAGAATAGGGTCGAGTGAATTCAAAAAATGTTTGTCTATCAAAAACAAAAATTGAATATTATATAGCAAACTAAAAGAATTAGCTCTTACATGATGTATATTTACCATAAACACTCTAATAGAACGCCACTCCCAACTTTTAGCGTTGATCCAATTTATCTCATTTCTTGTGAAAGATATCGAAAAGTGATCAACTGACAAAATATTGCTGATATTATGATAAACATTTGGTCGGTTTTCCACTTTTTATATCTCTCACAGAATTTGAGATAGATGGGCTCAAAGAAGTAGGGTACGGGACGTTCTATCAGAGAGTTCAAGGTAGTTTAAAGTACAGTAATTTTTAAAACTTGTATACTGTAAAAACTTTAATAGAATTCCCAAAAAACCGTCGAATTTGAGCTTATTTATCTCATTTACTGTGGGAGATATCAAAATGTGGTCAACTAATAAAATGTTTATTATATTATCAACAATGTTTTTTTTCAGTTGACCACTTTTTCATATCTTCCACAGAATACGAAATATTCGGGCTAAATATTAAAAGTAAAGAGTCATACTATTAGAATGCCTCAATAACCGTCAACTTTAAGCTCATTTATTTAGTTTTCTGTGTAAGATATAAAAAAGTGCTCAACTGATAAAATGTTTCTCATATTATCATCAATATTTTTTAGTTGATCATTTTTTGATATTTTCTAGAGGAACAGAGTAAAATTAGCTCAAAGTTAAACGCAAGTTTATGATGTAAGTGGTTGTTAGCTTTTTGAAGACTAAAAAATATTTATAACAGAGCTACAAAAAAGTCAAATTAGACCTGAAAGAACAAAAATCGCAAAAGTTAAAGAAAAAACTACAGTAATCCACGAACAAAATATTAAGAAACCCGTTTTTCCAAGCAGTGAAGCTATAAGCATTCGAAAATTTAAAATTTTCAGTGTTGATTTCTTTATTTTTCCAGAAATAACTGACAAAACATTCCGAGGCTTGATTATCAAAGTCCAGACAGGCATTGAAAAAAAAGAAGATTAAGAATAGAAAAAAAGTAGAAAAGGATATTTTGAGAAAATCACGTTTTTCACGAGTAGGTGGGTACAAATTTTGATTTTCTAGTTTTTTTTTCTATAACTACTATTTACCATAACTGGCTCAAAAATGGATTTTTTCTAGAGAAACCGTCATTTGGAATAACAACCTGAAAAAAAGGAGAAGCATAGACGTCAGGTGAAAATTGAATATTTCCGATATCCACGCCACCCTAGGGTGTTCGTTGTTTTTTGGCGAAAAAAGTTCATCAAAACTGAATAAAACCATAAAAATTTCAGTAATAGATGCAGCGAAGTTTAAGAAATCGTGTCTCATTACCTTTTGCTTCCTTTTTTGCAAACAAATTGCTCCAAGCTGAGGTCACGACAACTAAATCGGAAAAATGAAGGACAAATGGAAAAGGGGGTGTGTAAGGGTGGTGGTGTTGGGATTAGGGCTGAAAATAATTGGTTTCCGAATGAAAATAGCAGAAAAAAGGTTTTCCAGCTTCATTACAAAAGGCGTTGGAGGGAAAGAAATGGGATTGAGAACAAAGAATAATTCTTAAGAAACGGGAATCAGACTTCAAATTGAAAAAAAAAGGGGAAATAGGGAATCAGTGGTGGTGGCATCGTCACCAAACACTAAAAATAAATCTAAAGATTTTGTGTCTGATCACCTTCTAGAATATTAATAGTTCTCCATGAAGATACTTCGTGTATACATAGACGACCATGGACCAACAAGATCAATATTTTTAATCCAGAGATTTTTAAATTTCATGTCTGAAAACATTTTCACCTGGGCTATCTTTTCTGAATTTATTCGTTATCGAGTTTCTCAAAGTTCACCTTCTCTAGTTCTCAGATGAATCATTCATATTGTAAAAAAATGCTCGAAAAAAAAAGAAAAAACTACGCAGACTGCTCCAAGTTTCTGCCTTTTCCTCATGCCCTCATCGGCTCTTCAACGCGGTCAAAATTAGCTTGATTAGGTTAAAATCGAGTGTGCGTGATAAACCGACCGAGTCCTTCTCGGCCTACTTGGAAAGGATTCGGGTTTTCCAGAACAAGAAAAAAGGAAGAAAATGTTTGAGAAGGTTCGGGGGATGTGGCACTTCATGCTTGAGGACGAGGCTCCGGCCAACAATGATATTTCGAAGAAGAATGAAGGTTAGCCATTGGAGGGAGGCAATGATCGTGAGAGGCGAAAAATGTGCGCTAATGAAAACTCGGAATATATATGAAAAGTTGAACAATTGTAAATGTCACATGTCAATGGAGGAGGTTAAGCTCCGTGAAAAAAAGACGGCCTTTTGTCTTTTTATAGGACTTTTTACAAATTAAAATGGACACTTGAATGAGCAATTAGGAAACATTTAGTTTAATTTTGTATTCTAGAAAAGAGTTACTATTTTTTTCTGCCAAAATATGTAGTTTTATATATGCGGTAGGGGTTCGTTCAGTTTGAAAGCCTTCTGAAATATAAGTATATTGACTTGCTAGTCGATCGGTTGTAAAGCGAACCTATCTGACAGATCATGTTGGTGGGAGTCTATAATAAACAACTTACTTGATAACATAACATTTGTATTAAAGGGTCGACCATTTTATTGTTCCAAGGTATTTCCCAAAGGCCATTTCTATCAACTAGGCTCATGAAATTTTTGTACAAGTATAGTACATCGAAAAATTAAAATTTTCAGAATTTCTGCTATTAAATATATTTCTCGTTAATATGAATAGTTTTTAAGTTTTCCTTTATTTTTCACTTTTTTATACTTTTGCACACTTATAGCCCTTTGTTTCATTGACATTATCATGTTAGGGATATATTCCCATCAATCAATTCATGAAACTTTTACCGTATTTCCTGTAATAGAAGCCTATGGGCTTCTACTAAAAAAAATACGGTAATTCAAAATTTCAGAATTTTCGAAACTGTGATTTTAAAACTCGACAATTGTTCGATTTCCGAATTTACTGATTTCAAAACTCCGGAATTTCAGAATTTTAGAATTTTAAAATTTTTCGGGAATTTAAGATATCCTGGATTTTGAAATTTGAGATCCGGGAATCTCAGAATTTCATAATTTTGGAATTTTGGAATTTAGGATTGCAGAAGGAAAATTTCGAATTTTCAAAAAAATTGAATTTCAGAATTCATAACTTCCGAATTCTCAAATTTCTGAACTTTTAAAAATAACTCATTAAAAAATAGAAGCCCATTGGCTTCTATTAGAGGAAACACGAGAACTTGCTTTTTCAAAAACTTGGCACTAACAATCCACTTACCGTAAAATCTCACTCCCAAGCTTGAGTTTATTTTTCTTGGCTTCTATGCAAGGTAACAAAAACTTGATGGCCGATAAAAGAGGGACATTTTTTAGAACTTTTCAAACATTTTTTCAAAAAATTCCTTTCAAAAAAGTGATTTTTTAAAAAAAGTGACATTGTGATTTTTTTCCAAAAATTTCAAAAAAAAAAATTGTGAATTTGTTTAAAAACTATGTCAACAGATAGAGAAATGCTTAAAAATGAGTTTTGCACTTAAGAACATCTTGAAAAACGATTCTCCAAGGACCTTTTAAAAACGTTCTCTTGTTAGACAGGATCCAAGATAAACTGGCTCAAAGTTTACAATTAGAAGTCGATTCTATCACTGGTTTTATGTTTTGTTCAAGAAGTTAGTCATCGTTTTAAATCATTAATGGAGCGAATATGTTCCGAATTTTTTATTCAAATAATGTGCTAGCCATGAAAATGTATCCAAATATACAAAAATGAAGTTTCAGAATCTGAACAAATCTGAGCAGATGAAACTGAGCGAGAAATATAGACCCTAAAAATCTATTGCACACAACTTGTCGAAAGAAAACAAAGGCAAGAAGAATATACAATTAAGCTGCCACCTAATTTTCGTCGATTCTTGGTGGTGGTGGTCTCGAGACGTCTCGTCGATGAATTTCTCGATTCAAAACATTTCGCTTTTTTTCGTATCTGAAAATAACATTTTGCGTTTGTATTCCCCATCGCTCCTCACTTTTTGACAATATCGAACACTTCCTGTTTGTAAAGCTTCATCATCAAATGCTCGTACTCCGTCAGCTGCTCGAAATTGAACAGATCCCACTGCAATGCATTTTTTATTATTGTTTTTATATCTCTTGTCATCTTTTGCGACGGAATACCTCCAGCAGGTGGTCCAGAGAGGAGTCTGATTGAGCGTACATCAGTAGCCAGGGTGGAAGTTCTTTCTCTTCGATGATGTGAAGGTTCGCATTAAGATCCACTTGAGAACGGCTAGCGACATTTACAGATTCGGTTCGGAAGATTGGATTGGAAATTCCAGGATGCTCATATTGGGTTCTCTTCATCTCTTCGCTGGAAAATGTTGAAGTCTAAGGAAATGATTTGAAGAAAAACACTCACTTGTAATAGAACACTCCCTTCTGTGGATCAAAAATCTTCTTCCATCCTGGCTTCAGACTCTCATGGACCAGTGGGTGAACCCAATGAGTTCGCCGATTGGTATGGTCCACGTAGTATGGCTGGTTTTCAGTAGTATACTCGACAGCCCAGTTTTCTGGGAGCGGCAGGTGGTCACTTGAGCAATCTGAATGAAAATTTTCGAGAATTAAAAAATATATATGAGGAAAAGCTTACCACATGACGAGCGATACTGCTGGATTGTCATTAACTGTTCGCTGGGAAGCGTTTGAAGAGATTGGAACCTTGGAGGTTGGGAGGATGTTAGTCCCTTCTCGCTAAAAATTTTGAAGGCATATTTATTTTTGAAACGCGAGTTTACCGTCTATTAGCTATCTGACTAGTGCACGTTCACATGCTTCTAACATAATCGACTCAAATTACAAAAGACTCACCCGACACTGAGCTCTCGCATGCCTTGTTCCACATTCCCAATCGAGTGCGACGCGGTCAGCGACTTTCTTGGCACGTATCGAAGTGCTCCTCTGAAAAACGCGTTCATTATCATAAATATCATTGAGTTATCACCGTCGTTTCATCGAAAACCGATTAAACGGCACGACACGGCAATCTAAAGTCAAGGCGGCGACACTGGCGTCCTCCATGGCTCGTGTGCTTTCTTCTTCTTTAAATAAAAGTAACAACACTGAGTGTTTTTGAGGGATATATGTATCAGAAAGTTTTTCGGGGAAAATTCGTTTCTCTCCGTTTCAGATTGGGGTTTCTGCCATCACGAGTTTCACAAAAAAAATTCCGAAAAGTATTTCGATGGACTTTGGAACTGTATTGTTTCCCCCAGAAGCAAAACTAGAACTACAAATCGGGAATAAATGTAAACGTTATGTTACCTGTTGAAACTTCTCGACGAGAGAACATTATTATTTCGTACTCCGAATGAGGTGGACGGCTCATCCGATGGTTCTGTGTAGACATCATTTTCACTGAAACACAGTAATGTGAGTTTGATTGGAACTGATTTGTTATCACTACAGTAGCCTTGCTGGCGTCTGTAATTATCAGAAGCATTTAGTTAGAAAATTGTACTATTACCTCTCTTATCACTTTTTGAAACTGTACAGTTCCAGTTTTAGAAACAATGTTTTTTTGAAATTTCGAGTTTTGTTTTTTTTATGATTCATTGCTGATTCAAGCCTCAAAACCTCACCTGGCTGTAGATCTCGAATGTAACCTCTCGAATTCCATCTCCTTCAGATCATTGATATCGAAGGAGTCTTCTTGATGCTCCAAATCGTCTAGATCATCGGTTTCTTCAATACTGGGATTTCCAGAATGATACATCTCGGCTTCTGAAGGTGGTGTACTTGATGGTGGAGCTGATACGTTGTTCAGAATAAGCGTCGATGACGCGATTGGGTTTCGTTTTGTTCTGCTTACAGTAGTAGCTGAAAAATAATAAAATTTAGGAATCGATCTCTCAATAATTTCAGTACCTGCTAACGATGGAACGTTTGGTGGGCTCTCTCGTTTGACGTATTTGCCTTGTGTTCCTTCAACTGATGTCATTGGTTTCCTCCGGGTGAATAGCATACTGAAAAGAAATGAAACCGTTGGTTGGTATGAAACTGAGGATATAGGGATATATGCATATTAGATTGGAATCTTAAGAGTGAGGTCATATATGCATATTGCGCCAAAAAAAAAAAAGAAACCGGAAAAGAAGAAAGAACAATCTTTTGAATCTAAACTTCATCTGAAAGTGGCCGAAAAAGTAATAAAACAGGTGGTGGTGTCGGCGCTTTTTTTCCTCCTTTTTTTCTTAACGATTCTTGTGACCTAAATGAAGACATAAAATGGTGACCATGATACGAGTTTCAGGACACTGATGTTGCCATTTTGGCAGAAAGAGAGAGGAAGACAAGAATGTGTGACTAATAGGCAAACATTATAATAAGTTTTCGCCTGTGAGTCTCTCCTCCCCAAGAACTCGAGGAAGAAATGTAACAAAAAGTATCTTTTGCTCTTGGTGCCTCCAGGAGATGCGCTCCGGAGGATCGAGAAGCTCAACGTCAGGATAAGAAAGTTGGTCGGCCGCGGCGGGTGGGGCACAAAAATAGTGGAGTGATTCCGGAGAGTCAAAACAGCAACATGTGTTACTAGCCAACGACGTAATTCACTGTGCGTATTGTGAGTGTGTCTCTGGCCTGTGTGTGTGTCTGTGTTGTCTGTGTGCCGGTGTCAACCAACTCGGCGTTCTGAGACGTGATGAGAGAACCGAACCGAATTGAACAAGAAGGAGCGTAGGACATAGGAGGCAAAACTGTGCAAGAGAGTATTTAGATTAGAGACGCAGACACAGACAGGGAGAGATGAATAGCAGTACAGTACGGAAGGGTTCTCCAACGCTGGGCAACACTTTTGGCCCTAAAGCGAGATGCATTGACGAAATAATTTGGAGGAAATGCGGCGCAGAGTGGTATTCACATGTTATATGAATAAAAACAATCAACGAGAAACTAATTAAAAGAAGAACGAGAGTGGAACAATGCCGCCGTTGTAGGAACAGTGAAAATGTTGTGTTTTGGTGGAGGAGCTAAGCCTAAACTTTGCTTTTTGACGTGAATTTTTTTATCCTGTCTTACAAATGTTTGCGCTGAGCAAAGTTCTTAACGACAGAACAAGACATTAACTAGAATGGAGCATACAGACAAAATCAAAAAATGATGATTGGTGATAGGGAAAAAAATGCATTCCGGTTTGGTGAATCACATGTTTGTTTGTGCCTGATAGTATTATACTTTTCTCCAAATTTAGGAGTTCTCAAAAAAAAAAATGAAAAATAGAAAAACTCACAATTTTCCAACAGGATTCTTTGTATCTCAAGAAGGCCAACCAAATAAGTAGCCAAAGATAATTGAAATTGTTTTTCTAATCTCTGAGACCAACCAACCCCCAAATTTGCGACGACGATGGATGGCGAAGAACGAGAAGAATGTGCGAGATAAACACCGTATACAATATAAACATCTCCTTTCTCTCTTTCTCTCCTTTATCTCTTCTCTCTCTCTCTCTCTCTCTCTCTCTCTCTCTCTCTCTCTCTCTCCCCCTCTCTCTCTTTCTACCTAACACAACTATATCTCATCTACCCTCCCTACCCGCCTGACCCTACTTTTCGGACACTGTTCGTTAAATTTGCATACTGTTTTGGAGAATGGAGATTTTCGGAAGTAGGCGTCAAAGTGCAGGAGGAGGCAAAACATGACGAACATCATTAAGATTCTATCTTAATGTTTCTTCAGAGACACATCCGCCTCCGTTGCGCCCAAGGTAAAAGAAGGCAATTTGTTGCAAATTCATCGGAAACTCGAGAAAAAAAGTTTGGAAAAGAGGATCTGATTTTAATGACAATGGAGAGAAAATGTGGTAGGAGGATTTGGAAAGTGAATGGGATTTTTGCAGAGGGAGTGAATATAAAAAGTGAATCAAAAAATTTGTTTTTCGAATTATGTGATTTTTGGTGTTTTTCAAAGTTCCTTTTTTTGAAATGAATGTTTTCCCAATTTTTTTTACTTTTCCATCAAAATGTTTTACTCCGAATCGTTTTAAAACATTGATTTGTTAAAAAATACATTTTTAGAACTCGAGAATGAACTCCACCAAACTGTCAACTTCGATCCAATTTATCTCATTTCTCGAAAAATGAATCAAAAAATTGTCAACTGATAAAATGTTTTTCATAATTTGAAAAATATTTCGTCAGTTGACCAATTTTTGATATATCTAATAGAAACCTAGATAAATCAGCTTAAAATTTAAAGTTGGGATGCCATTCTATTAGAGTGTCCACGGTGACTTCAATTGAAGGTTCAAAGAAAAAAATCCTAAATGAATTTTTCCTTTAATTTTCGAAGTCAACAATTGTTATCATTTTCTAAAATTGAGATTGACGATGGAAAGTCATTAAAAATACAGTATTTTGTAGTTTTATTAAGAACATTTTGGCTACATTAAACACTTTACTAGAACGCCACCCGGACCGTCCACTTTAACCCTATATGTGTCACTTCTTTTGAAAGATATCAAAAAGTTGTTAATTAATAAAATTTTCATCATGTTTTCAGCAACATTTTATTGGATGATCACTTTTTGATATCTTTTACATGGGCTCAAATTTGACGATTCCGGTGGTGTTCTATTGGAGTGTACCGTAATTCAACTAATAATATATTTTCAAAATGTAATCACCCATGATACTAGTTTGAAAAATCGAATTTATGCGAATTTTTGCATTTTTTAAGACTAGTTGTAATACAAAAACTGGCCAAAAACCGACAAAAACAAAGACAGTCAATGTTTTCATGGATATAACAACTATAATCTTCTTCTTTCTCCCTCCACTTACCAGTTTTGTCATAATCCATTTGCAAAACTTCTTGATATGGAATATATATATATATATATATATATATATATATATATATATATATGTATCAGCAAATCTCTTCTTATAAATCAACACAATACAGATAATGACACAGGCGCGACAATCTTTGAAAAAAAAAGAATTAGATCAATTATATGTAATGAATCGGGCCGACAACGACGGCGGGGGTCGCCACACATACGGTTTCGCGTAAAAACATGAAATACGTCATTGTTTTCAACCTTGACCAAGTTTGACATATTTTTATTGGGAAGCAGCTTATCTGTGTCTTGTTCTGCAGTGCGGATTTTCTGATTCACCTGATTTGTGATTTCTTTTTCAACCCAAATGTGACCTTTATGGACTTCCGGTGGTCACCTTTTTGTGCATTTGTATTTACTGTCTGTGAGTCTTCAGGTCGGTCGGTATGCAAAGAACTGCCTATTTTTGGATTGCTGGATGACGCGAACTTTGTGTCTCACACCAAACAAATCTGAATGTTCAGGCCGGCTGACCCTGCAAAGAGTTGACCCCCCCCCCCCTCGATATTTTGTTCTGTTTGTGTTTTGGGGGCAATGGTATCAATCGAAAAGAATGAAGAAGCGTGCGCAAGTCAAGAGAGACATCGTTAACCCGTTCGGCATCTCCCATATTTGCACTATTTGTTCCCAAAAATGTTGTGTTTCATCCAAAAATTTTTCCACAACTTGACTCTGTTTTCTTTTGTGTTCTTTTCTGAAGGTTGCACTTTTAAAAGGCACATTCATATTGAAATAAAATTTTATTTGACCACTCATTTCAAATTCATTACCTTTTCCGGCTTTTCAAAGTTTAGAGCTTCTACCAAGAAAAAGACTAATTTGAACTTTTCTGTGATTTTCTAAAATTAAATGTGTCACCCAAGTTTTGAAAAGTACTCGTAAACGTCAAGCTAATTACGCTCCATTTCTGTGAAAAATATCAAAAAGTTGTCATCTGACAAAAGTTTTTTTTTCTAGTATCAAAAAAATTGAAAAATTCTGGAAAAATTTCAATTTCGAAAAAGTTCTGAAATTCATTCGAAAGAGCAACGATGAATCTGCCTTCGTGGGCCCTGCTATAGTTTCTTTTAGAATCAAAATTTTCAGACCAACTAAATTGGATATGATAGAGCTCGACGAGTACTACAAAAAGATGCTATGCGGAATACTGTATCTTGCCTGCGAACAAAGTTACAGGCCATGAAGTGACTTTTTTCAGACGTGCTGAGCCGGGCCGGGCCGGGCCTGCTTTTTTCGCTCTTTTTCGTCTGTAACTTTGTTCGCAAACAAGCTACAGTTCTTTGAATAGTATCATTTGGTAGTACTCGTCAAGCACTATCATATTTAATTTAGTTGGTCTAAGAATAATGATTTTGAAAGAAACAATGGCAAGGCCCGCGAAGGCTCGGGAAAGGCCCGGATTACAAGTATGACCCATTGTAAATTTTTAAAACTAAAAAAAATAGAGGGTTCTGAAGATTTAAAAAAAGTTTTTTGTAGTTTTAAAATTTGGAGAAACTAATGAAATATTTGTGATATTGTGGTTAACAATTTATCAGTTAACAACTTTTTCATACATTCAACAGGAACCGAGGTGAATTGGCTCAAAGTTGGAAGTTATAGGGCCCTTCTATCACAGGTTTTCGGTAATTTTGATGCTTGTGTTCGAAAACAGTTTTAATATTGTTCAAAAATACAAAAGTATATATTAAAGATTAGTTCAAATGGTAGCAGTACCTAACTCCCCTTCTTATTCCCATTTCTTATTTTTTTACTTGAAACTGTTGTTCGGTGTCTTTTGTACTTTTGTTCTGAAAAAGTCAAAACAACAAAAGAAACGCTGTAACCCATACCTAACAAAATCTTCAACGTTTCAGGAAGAATCGCATTCTCTAAAACACAAAAGAATGTCATCACACCCTAGAAAAAGTTCACACCCACTTCAAATGCTTTCTTCTTCTCCCCTCTTCTCTTGTCAGTACTCGAAAATGCTGTCTTTGGACTTCTACTTTTTTCTTCATCATCTCCCTCTCTGTTTTTTCTTTTCTCCAAAAAAAGGGATGCGCCTTGATTTTTGAGTTTTCGTGTCAGAGCGTGCCTGGAAAAGTTCGTGTGCTCAGGACTCTAAGGTCACCCCTTCTTTTTCTTCAGAGTAATGTGCCCGCGGCAAATTTGTTTATATATTCTAGTATCCTTTTCTCTCCATATGAATTGTTGATGTTTGCAATCAACAAAAAAGCATAGAACCAACTCTCCTTTCTCTCTTTTTTCTAAACCCAATGGTTTCCTGCTTCTCTTTTTGCTCTTTTTTTTTTAATGCCATCGTTTTTCTTTTTCTCTTCTCTGAGCTCCAATTAATTTGTTTGCCAATTCGATTTCCATTACGGCAAAATAATCAATTCCGGTTCTTGACCGATTCGACATCCCGAGACTACTCTCCTCCTCTCTATTTCCTTCTTCTATTCCCGAAAATATCGAAAATGCATACAAATTGTTATGGGATATGGAAAGTCGCAAGTTTTTTTTGGGTTTTTCCTTTCTGTCAAATGCTGCCCTTTTTCTATACCCTTTCCACAATTTTCTGTGGGTACTTCTTTTTACAGATTCATCATTTAGGCTTTCTATTTTGGCGTATTTTCTAAGGTTTGATTTTTGTATCATTTTCCAAGTTTTGATCGTTCTATGACCCTTATCTATTGTGTTAAGATGCAGGGTTTTTCTGTCAGATGACGAAGATGAACCTACCGTTGTAAAGTTCAACGACGATCTTCTATATCAATACCCTCTTTGGTGACTTCTCATTTTTTTCGTTTTTGTCTACTATCAGCGGTTATTCTGAAAGTGAATCAATTTAGGTTACTCACTAATAATAGTTTTCCTTAAAATTTGAAATATGAAAAGTTATAGTTGAAAAAGGTTATTTAATCTGAAGTAAATCTCAATTACTTGGTTTTTCAAAATTTTTAAATTAAAAAGATTTTCTCTCACAAAATATTTCTATTCCTATGATCTTTCTGGAGAGGCGCGTATCGGAGAAACCACTGTCATAAACTTTTGAAATATGAAAATATGACAAATGTAATTTTCTATAATTTTGTTTTTACTTATTTTTCCTAGCTACTGTGATTTTTGAGATATGCGCCTTTAAACAAAACTAGCGCTAGTAAAGTGAAGTAAAAGTGTTTCAATTTGAAGGCCCATGGCTCAAAACCTACTGGAGCTAGGTCAAAATTGCAAACTATGAAAATTTGTAAAACTCAGTTTCCTATATACCGTACCAGTCAATGAGGTATTTTCTCTTTTACAGCAACTTACCGTTTTCTGACAGTCACCTGGTTTTTTGAGTTTTCATTACAGAAACAGGTCAAAATGGGTGTCTTACAAAAACTGGCAAATATCTGAAAAACCAAGAATTTTTTTAAAAATTCGGTAAATGCAAAGTTTTCAATCTATTTCTGTTCCACATTCTCCAACATTCTCAAACCGGAAACTTGATAGCTGAGCTCCAGACTCCTGAAAATGGTGAAAATAACCAAAAAATGAAAAACAATTTTTTTTTCATCTTATTGACTGGTACTGTATCTCATTTTCTAAATGTGGATCACAAAGTTTGAAATATTTTGTCAGTCGACCACTCGTTGATACCTTTCATGGAAAATGAGATAAATTGGCTCAAAATTGAAAGTGAAGGAGTCATTCTATTAGAGTAGCTACGAAAGTTTCTAAAAATTGGAAACATCTATTTTTAAAAAGTTTTACTCCCGAAAAATCCTTGTCTTTATTATTTCTATAAATGTTTATAGTGTTCTATCATTTTTGATTCCATTGATGTTCAAGTGAAACTTCTTTAGTCTCTTTAATCTTCTTCTTTTTATATTCTTCCCCTTTATCATTTTCTTCTCTTCTTCTGACTAGTTCCTCTATAGATATAGTTCCTTTATAGATATTCACTAATCCGTTTCACTTTTTTCTCCATTTCATTTTCACAGTTCACTTTCATCCTCCACCTCCCCCCTTCATCACTTCTCGCTTATCCACTTGTGTGTTTTTGTTTGCACTGTTCCAGTTGTCCAACCATGTTTGTTAACAAAGTGTGCTTTCTGGCTGCTGGAGAGAGAAAGCGAGAAAAAAACGACGCCCCGGCTAAATTCAAATATATTCAAATCAGACGTTTTTCTTTTGTAGCTTGGTATAAATTGTGACGTAAAACTGGTAGAGCTCAAATTCTCTCTTCTTGTAGATCAACAATCAGATCGCACCACTTGTTCTTTGTTTTGACTTGGATTTTCAGCAATTTTGTTTTGTTCTGTCTATCTATTTTGAACTCCGACCTCTTGTGTCAAATATCTTCATCCTCCTCTCATTTTATTTCACTTCATTTTTTCGGCTTTTGATGTTATTTTCAGATGTTCCTGCTACTCCTTCTAACAACGTCGGCGTGGGCGGATATAGCCACATATGGATATCATCCGAAAGGTGCAAATCCAACTTTGTATTCTCCAGAAGATAGTGTTCTACAACTTGATGAAATTACTTTCAATGATACTATCTTTGGACCGCAAGCCGGTGATGCAGGATATCTGGTGGAGGTATGTAAATCTTTAAAAATTGAACAAAACCTTTATTCCTTTTAGTTCTATTCGGATTGGTGCGGTCATTGTCGAGCTTTCGCCCCAACTTACAAAAATCTCGCCAAAGATGTGGACGGCTGGCAGAGCATTGTGAAAATCGCTGCTATCAACTGTGCAGATCCGGTTAATGAGCACGTGTGCCGTTCGAATGGTGTCCGATTCTTCCCATTGATTAAGGTAATTTGATACCTAGTTCAAAGGCACAATCATACAAAAATTCAGTATTTTCCACGTGACTCGATCAACTCCACCGAGGGATCTCAAATCAAGCCGTACTCGACGGTTTCTGAGATGAGAGGACAGTTGACAAAAGCTGTGATGGATGATTATGCACTGAATCGGTATAAGGAATGGCCAACGTTTGATTTCTTGAAAGAGTGAGTGGCGCGTAGAATACTGTATCAGTTTTGAATTATCAGGTTTATTTCAAAAGTTCTAAGAAATTAAAACTGACTATCTCAGATTTTTAGAATTCACCATTTCACAGTTTTCACAATTGAGGAATTCAGAATGACCGATTCTTCAGATTTTAAAATTCAGAAAATTTAGAATATCAGAACCTTAAGTTTTGTGATATCATAATCTCAACGTTTCAAATTCTACAAATATTTTCAAATTTATGGAAAACTTTGAAGCTAAAACCTGCAATTTTCAAAATTTCGAATTCTCCGAGTTCAGAGAATCTCAAAATCCCAGAATTTCAGATTTTTGAAATAAAGTTCAAATTTTCAGCGTTGTCACATACGGAGAACTTTGGAACGAGTCTTCATCATCCGCCAATCATATTGCCATAATTTTCGAAACCAACCAAGCTAGTCTTACTGGTGCTCAAGTACGGATTTAAATCAGAAAAATTACTTTTCATTTTTAATTTTCAGTTACTCCTCGACTTGAGTGGCAACCGGGACCGTCTGGTTGCTCGTAGATGCCTTAAAAGCCATCCTCTTGCAGAGGCTCTGAAAATCACCGATTTCCCATCACTGGCGATTTTCAAGCGTGGGGAGCGTAAACCGGTTTTGATTGCCGAGTAAGTATTGAATTCATCGTGCTGCTGAAATTGAAAAACTTCAGGCTCCGCCGTTTGTTGCTCCGTGAAATTGACCAATTCCTCGGAAAACCAAGTGACAATCATCTTCAAACCATTCACTTTAGTAGCAGGAAAAATAAGACGATTGATTGTAATAATAATCCAGAATTGTAAGAAGGAATTTCAAACTGTAACTTTTAAAACTGGTGAATTTTCAGGTGCAAACCAAATTATTACGTTTCCGAAGTTGACATGCTCAAGGCAATGCGTTATGCTCTATTCCGAGAATCCGCTAGAACTGGAGCCCCCCTTCAAGCTGCCAATCTCTCAGCTCTCTATGAGTTTACATCTCTCTTGGCTGATAACTTCCCAACGACTACTGTAGAGGGTGCCACCGATAACTCGACTGTTATGCACCTTGATAGATCTAGCCGTGCCGTTCGCGTCTTCTCTCGGCTTCGTGACTACATTGCCGAGAAGGGACTAGATGCACCAATCAGTGTAGAAGATTGGCAAAAAGAATTCCTGGCTGCTGAGGAGGAGGCGGGACATCCATTCCCATTGAACACCAACTGGGATCACTGTGCTGGTTCTTCTACCCAATATCGAGGATACACATGTGGACTGTGGACCACTTTCCATGCATTGACAGTTTCTGCATTCAAAAATTGGCAGAACAAAACTAACGGTAATTTTGGAAAAAGATACATTGTACAAAGAAAATTTCCAGATGTGACCCTTCCACTCCCACCACTTCAATCTATCCGCGACTGGGTCGGATCGTTCTTTGGGTGTAATCATTGCAGAGATCATTTCTTGAAAATGACCACTGACACTTTCAAAATTGAAGCTAATGTAAATATTGTTCAGATTTTTTTGCACAACATTTTTTCTTCAGGTCCGCCACCCGGAAGACGTCTACTTGTACCTCTGGAAAGCCCACAACAAAGTGAACGCTAGACTTCATGGAAGAGAAACCGAGGATCCCAAATTCCCAAAATACCAATTCCCAGCCAAATTTTTGTGCCCAGACTGCAACACCAAGGGATTCTTGAACGAAGATGACACTCAACCCTTCCTCATTGACTATTACTCTAGAATTCGTCCATTCTCCAATTCAACTCTCATCAAATCTTAGATCCCCTTTCTTTTCCTAACCCCAAAATCTTCATTCCGTTCTCAAAACACCAACTTGGCTACCTTCCCGTCCATCTCTCCACAGTATAACATATTCCAGGAGACACACACACTCCGCATATACAAAGCCTTATTCTTTAAAAAATCTTTAACTGAGATCCCTTCTTTTTGAAATTTATGCATTAATCAATCTTGCCATAATTATTTATTCTAGAATAAACGAATTTTTATCTATTTTATGATACATATGTATTTGCATTCGAGTTGAAAGCGAAAAAAAAATTTTGGGGTGAAAACTTGAAAAAATGGAAGAAGTGATAAGAAAGAAGCCGGCATTGGGGCGTTTTCACGTCTTTCTTTTTTTGTATGTGTACTCACTGAATGTGACAGCACTTTTTGAAAAAAAGTCACATATTTTCGGAGGCATTAGTTTCAGAGTCAGGAGTTTTAAGTTTTTTGTCGGAAAAAAATTTTTTTAGGGAATCTCAATGCGGTCAATTTCTGAATTTCTGAATTTCTGAATTTCTGAATTTCTGAATTTCTGAATTTCTGAATTTCTGAATTTCTGAATTTCTGAGTTTCTGAATTTCTGAATTTCTGAATTCCTGAATTTCTGAATTTCTGAATTTCTGAATTTCTGAATTTCTGAATTTCTGAATTTCTGAATTTCTTTTGAATTATTGCATTCAGTAATTTTTGAATTATTGCATTGAGTAACTTTTGGAAATGTTGAATTCAGTAAAAATCCTAAAATTTCGAATTTTTCAAGGTTCAGAAAGATCAGTATTGTGTCTGTGAAAGTTTTGATTGGTCCGAAAATGACAAAAATCGCCAAACAAATACCCCTTTCGTCACCCGAAGCTATTTTTGTCATTCATTTTCTTTGCCGACTTTTTTTCTCCTCCTCAGCACAGTGTCGTCTTGGTTTTTCACTCTTTGCGCGGTTTTCCAAGCTGTCCTCCGGAAAAAGAGAGCTCACTGAGTGAGCAACCAAAATGTGGACGCGCAGACGATCACCACATGATGTCTGTATATTGCCGAAAATTGACCGGCTTCCGTTTTCGATCGTTTTGCACTCCGTGCTCGCGCGCAATACGTTCGATTTCTGACGAAATTTTTCATGGTTTTTCAAAGCTGATTTTTTTACTAGAACTGTATCAGTTTTATTATTTCAGTCTCTCAGAAAGCCAACTCTTGATTTTCTTTTTCCATTTTTAATCCAAATTTTTGTTCTAGACCGAAATTTCATTCTCATACCTACCCGTTTCTTCCAAGAAATTCACTTTGCACTCGTCTTCTAAATCGGCAAACAATAATAATAAATACCCATATCCGATTACCTATCCAATTACTTTTCCACGACTACAGCCTATATGGAAGCCACAACAACTACATTCACTTCTTCTTCCACCCCCACTTTCTCTCCTTCATTCCACTTCATGATCGATCATCTTGTTGCTTTTTGTCAAAAATCCTCAACCGAGTGCACAAAAGCCGCGCACCGGTGTCGAAACAATGGATCGGCTAGCTCTTCGTTTCCAACCCGTTGTCTTTTGGCCCTCCGTAGTGTCCACTTATGGCGCTAAACAACTGTTTTCGCTGGCTTCATCTTCTTTCCGTAAGCAATATTTGTCTCTTCCTCCTACTCTTCATCAATGTTTTCACTTTTTTCTTGTTCGTCCTAGAACTCAAGTGGAGATAACACATTTTTTTTCTGGTGGGATCGTTATGTCATACATTTAGCATTTGTCTAGACCTTGGAATGCGGGTAAATTGTCATAGGGTTTTTTGGTGCAATACGTTTCGTGAGCATTTCTCATAATATTTTTTGAACTTCAGTTCTGAGATCAGTTTTCTCATTTTTGGGTTGTTTCACAATACATCATCGAGAACTGTATCATTGAGAACTGTTTCATGCTCACAAAATTCGTGAATGTGATTTTGAGTGAAAGCGCTATAAATCTCTCTAATGGAAAACTCTATAAATGACTTTCTTGCTCTATTATCATTACTTTTGAAAAAGATATTAAAAAGTGGCCAACTGTAACAGCGTTGGTGAGGCTTTCTATTAGACGTTTCACGATAAATAAGCTTAAATATTTGCTAGGATTCGAATTGTGCATTTACAGTACTTCAAAGAAAAATGACTTTTAAAAAATTTTGAATCGAATTTTCAACTTTTTGAAGTATTTTCAGCTCCTCTATTTATCTTTAATTTAAAACATTTTGTAAATCTTTTAAACAATTTTTAAAGAAATCCTGAAGAACTTTATTTTCGTCCGTTTTGGCTGGCTGATAAAAAACTGAAGATTTGAGAATCAGCGTCTTTTGAACCTATTTATGTGGAGCGTATAAAAGGGGCTAAAATCTGAAAAACCGAAACTTTAAAATTTTTTCGAGATTAAATCGAATTTTATGCAATTCGAGAATTGAGTTCCAACTGGTGTTTTTCATCGAATTTTTTTCTGAATTTCTCAAATATTTTTTTGAAACAATTCTTGAAATTTTTCAGGGATCTCCGATTGTCCTACAAAATATTACAGCTAGTTGCTACCCCGTTCATTGCCCATACTTAAAGTTACAAACTGATTCATTAAGTGTCATAAGCGACATCATCCCCATTGATTTCAATTGCCTACTTCCAAGATCTTCCACTCCCTCTCAATGCATTTTTTTCACTTTCTCATCAGATCACTTTCTTTTTCATTCACTTCTTCCTTCTATTATCCATCAAACAAAACCTATTCCATCATCAAGCATCATCATTCTTGATAGCTGCTGCTGCTGGAATGCTGCTAGCTGCCTAGGATTGTAATTTGCATCCGAAACAAGAAGTGTTCATATTGCGAGGAGCGGGAATATATACTAGTTGTTAGCGTGTGTGGCTTATCTCGTTTCTTTGAATGACCTCGATTTTGACTGACCATCTACATAAGAAATGCAAATATTTGTTGTTTATACCGCTTTCTCTACAGTTCTTTGTTCATTTTTTCAAATCTAGCTCTTCTTATTTTCACTGTGAGCTTAAAATGCTACTGGCAATTTCTATTGATGCTATTACAGTATTTCGCAGGTTATCAGCGTAGTAAATTTTCAAAATGAGCGTTAAACATCGATTTTTGTCATCAGAAACAAATTTCTAAATAAAAATCCCTTCTCTACCACTGATAACGTATACAACTAATTTGAATTTTATTTATTTCAATTCGCGAAGATGACCTCATTCATTTGTGACGATAGTATTGGCTAGTTAATGTGAAGACAATTGCGGCTGGAGCGGCGGTTAAGAAACAGTAGACGGAAGATGACGGAGAGATAGTCCAGCCCCGCGCATTTCGGATTAACCGTGCGGTCAAATATCACAGTGGTTTCTCTTTTATTTTATTGTCTTCTGTCGTTCGCTCTCCTCCGGGGAACGAACTCATCACTTGGACCCCCATATACAAATGGTCAACAAATAATGATGATGGTGTAAGAGACGAGAGAAAACCGCAAAACCGAACACAATCTTCTCCAGTGCGTCTTTATTCGTCGTGTACTTTCGGCTTATTGAACCTATGTTTATTTTATTTGTGTTCCAAAAGCTCCATGCCTCCTTGTTTTGACTTTTGACTCGCATGTATGAACATGTAGATCGGAAGGTCATGTTAGCTGAATTCTCATTCACACGGCGTCTACCATATGTTCACATTACCTTCATATTTGAGACTGTTCTTATCTGATTTTAAAGGAAGAATTGTGAGGTTAGATTCGGAACGCATTTAACCTTCTCAATTTGGTTCTCTTTACATTAAATGTTTTTTCAGAAAATTCAGATTTTTTTGATAAGTTGAGAAAAAAAATTTTCAAATCCCAACATTGTTGAACTTCAAAAATTCATTTTTAGAACTATTTGTTGCATTTCAAGTATTCACTAAATTTATTCTTAAAAACCTGAAATCCTTCTCTGAAATCTTGAGCTCAATGTTTTAGTTTAATATGAGAAATATACATATTTGATTAACTAATAAAATATCAGTGTTAAGATGAAAAAAATTTACCAGTCAATCAATTTTAAAATCTCTTATATAATCGAGTGAAATTGGGTCAGTACAGTAATACATTTGAATCTAATTTTCTTTTTTTTTCAATTAATATTTCGATAGTGCTTCAGACCTGCTCCACCCAAAACATTAATGGTAGATCAAAAATTTTTTTTTGTAGATCAAATGATGCGTCGTTAATTTCAATTATGAAATTTTCTTAGACAGTCTCACTCCCTCTAATGACTTCTGATTTTTTTAAGCTTTTCTGGTAATTTCAATGTTTCATCTCCCGTATTTTTCTTTTCATTTTCACAAGCAGAAAAAAAAACTCAAACAGTTCTCATTTCCAGAAATCACTTCTCCGATTCTCCATGAGTGTGCACCTGTGAATACAATGGTATTAGTAAGCAAGGTAACCAATATTGATTCAGCTGTGAATATTACGTAACATGTTTTTTTGCAGGGTGATTTCATTTGGATAGAACCTGGCAAAGCCGAGGGATCGATCCCGATCGGAGCCCGAGTCATCGACCAGGACCATGGACGGCTGAAAGTGATTGATGATCTTGGAAATGTATGTTACATGAATCTTGGGAATGTCTCCACTGATACCGGTCGTCTTGACCTCAATCCGTTTCTTACTTTCGCTTCACTGCGGGAGAGTGAATCGCGTTAATGTTGTTATCACCGAGGGGTTCTGATAAGTTCCGATTTATCCCCGTGTTACAATTTTCAAAACGGAACAAAAGTACAATTTTTCCAGGAACAATGGTTGTCGGCGGATCGAAGGGTGCGCTTGATGCATCCGACGTCAGTTCAGGGTGTGGAAGATATGTGTCAATTAGGCGATTTTCATGAGAGTGCAATTTTGAGGAATTTGTTTATCAGATATAGAGAAAAACTGATTTATGTGAGTGGCTGGAAAAGAGAAAAGGGGTTTAGATTGAAAAATTTTAGGCATACACCGGATCAATTCTGATAGCTGTAAATCCATACATGGATATTGCAATCTATACAGCAGATGAGATCAGAATGTACAAGAGGAAAAGGATCGGCGAGCTACCACCACATATTTTTGCCATCGCTGATAATGCATATACGAATATGAGAAGAGAAAAGAAGAATCAATCAGTTATCATTAGGTGAATGTTTGCAAATCCACAGTAATAGATGTTATGATCTGATTAGTCCAGTGGAAAATTTTCAATTTTTAATTCCTGAAAACGTATTCCAGAACATTTTAAATTTTTTAAAAAACTCTGATTATATCGAACATAAAAAACCTATCAAGTTCTGCCGATTTTAAAGGAGGCCAGACACCAAAAAAAAGTTTTCCTGATATTTTGCATAGAGAACCCCCATGAGGGGTTGAACTCATGACAGGCAGCTCCGGGGTACAGCGCCGCTACCGGCTGAGCTACGGGGGCGCGAAGGCGCCTGACGACCGATGGTCTACATAAGCGCGGCGCGATTTCGTCCCCCGAACTGTCCCCCGAAATTTTTGATGTCTCGCCTCCTTTAACAACAAAATGCAAAAAATGCAAAAATCAAGATTAAAATAAAAGTTGCGTCCCTTTATAACCGCTTACCCTAAAACCTATATATAAGAAGAACTCTCTAATATTTAACTTTAAGTTCCATTATCTCGGTTCTTTTGAAATATATAAAAACACTTAAATTGATAAATTATTTATCATAATATCACCAAAATTATCTGTTTACTGATTTTTTAAATATATCTTAAAAGGACAGATATAATTGAACTCAAAGTGCATGTGTGGGGAAAGCTTCTATCAGAGCAAATACGGTCTGTCGTCTGTAACCAACAAACAGCCAAAAATGCAAATATCAACACTAAAATAGGAGTTTAAAAACGCTTATCTCGTTTTTCAGGGTTTTTTACAGAAATTTTCAATTACCTATATCTCTAATTTTGTACTCTTTTTATGAAATTTAAGGAGAGATTTCTGTAAAAGTCGTTTCTTATTTCTCATCATATCATTATCATCTTTTACAGTGGTGAATCTGGCGCCGGAAAGACCGAATCCACAAAACTCGTCCTCCAGTTTTTGGCAACAATTAGTGGACAGCATAGTTGGATCGAACAGCAAGTCCTCGAAGCGAATCCAGTTCTCGAAGCGTTTGGTAATGCGAAGACAATCCGCAATGATAACTCGTCCCGGTTTGGAAAGTACATTGATGTACATTTCAATGAGAGTGGTTCTATAGAAGGTTTGGGGATGAAAAATGTCGGAATGAAAGTTGAAAAATAAAAATTCCAGGAGCCAAAATCGAGCAGTACCTTCTGGAGAAGTCCAGAATCGTTACACAGTCTGAAAATGAGAGAAACTATCACATTTTCTACTGTTTACTGGCAGGGCTTTCAAAAGAAGAGAAGATGGAACTAGAGTTGGGTACCGCTGCAGACTACTATTATCTGATTCAGGTACCTCGTAAAATTATATAAGAATTTTTTGAATTTCTTATTTTTAGGGAAAAACTTTAACAGCTGAAGGAAGAGATGATGCTGCTGACTTGGCAGAGATCAGATCTGCAATGAGGGTTTTGATGATCAATGAACAAGAAATCGGGAGTATCTTCAAGCTTTTAGCTGCACTACTTCACATTGGAAACATTAGATTCCGCCAGAATACCACAGACAACATGGAATCTGTAGATGTAGCTGATCCATCAACTCTAGTCAGAATCGCTAAACTTCTAAACCTTCACGAGCAGAATCTTCTCGACGCGATCACCACAAAAAGTCTAGTCACTCGTGAGGAACGTGTCATCTCCAGATTGAATGGTCAACAAGCGATTGATGCGAGAGATGCCCTTGCAAAAGCAATTTACGGAAAGCTGTTCATTCACATCGTTCGAAGAGTGAACGATGCTATTTACAAGTGAGAAAGTGGAAGAACAGATCTGGCATTAGAACCAAAAATTGATTTCAGGCCTTCACAATCCATACGCACGTCTATTGGGATTCTAGACATTTTTGGATTCGAGAATTTTGAGAGCAATAGTTTTGAGCAGCTCTGCATCAATTTCGCCAATGAGACCCTGCAACAGTTTTTCGTTCAACATGTCTTCAAAATGGAGCAGAAAGAGTATGACGAGGTGATATTAGAATTCTAAATATTAAAATCAACTAAAATGGATCGGTTTTTCAGGAAAATATAAATTGGCGTCATATTAAATTCGTGGACAATCAAGCTACAGTTGATCTAATTGCACAACGACCAATGAACATCTTGTCGTTAATTGATGAGGAGAGTATTTTCCCAAAAGGAACCGATAAAACAATGTTGCTCAAACTTCACTCTACCCATGGCCGAAATGAGCTCTATCTACAACCCAAATCCGAACTTCAGAGGGCTTTCGGAGTGACTCACTTTGCCGGAAGCGTGTTTTATAATACTCGTGGATTCCTTGAGAAAAATCGAGACTCGTTTTCTGGAGATCTATCAGCGTTGATTTCATCTTCGAAGATGCCGTTCTTGGCAAGATTGTTTGATGATTTGGAGTATGATACAAGTTCGAGGTAATTTTTTGAAAACTTTAAAATCTAGGGCCTGTATTTCAGAAAGAAAGTTACGGTTGGAAATCAATTCCGTAGATCGCTGGAGCAGCTGATGACTCAACTCACCCAGACCCATCCATTCTTCATTAGATGTATCAAACCGAATGAGTTGAAGAGAGCTCTTGTAATGGACAGAGATCTTGTATTAAGACAATTAAGATATTCCGGAATGATGGAGACGATTAAAATCAGAAGAAGTGGATATCCAATCCGTCACGACTACTATCCATTCGTGTTCCGTTACCGAGTCCTTGTTTCTTCCATTCGTGGACCCGCGAATAGAATTGACCTCCATGATGCAGCCAAGAAGATCTGCCACAAAGTCCTTGGTCCCAATGCGGATTATCAGTTGGGAAAGACCAAAGTGTTCTTGAAAGACAAACATGATTTGGTTCTCGAGCAAGAATATTATCGAATTTTGAAGGATAAGGCAGTGATAATCCAGAAGAATGTGAGAAGATGGCTGGTAAGGAAGGACTTCGAGAAGCAGAGACAAGCAGCAGTTACTATTCAAACTGCCTGGAGAGGATATGACCAACGGAAGAGATATCGACAGATTATTTCTGGATTCTCACGTCTTCAGGCTGTGCTTCGCTCCAGACAGTTGGTATCGCACTATCAGTCGTTGCGAAAGACAATTATACAATTTCAAGTGAGTTTTCTTTTTCAGGTCTTGTTTTATAAATACTTGAATACTAATAATTTCAGGCTGTTTGCCGTGGAACGCTTCTCCGTCGTCAGGTTGGTGAGATGAGAAGACGTGGAGAGAAAGCACCACTCACCGAGGTGTCATCTACGGCATCAGTCATTTCGGACTCTCATGAGGAGGAATTGGTGAGTCTGACAAAAATTATCATTTACTTTAAAAGCTCTGAAGCCGTATTCATGAACATTTCCTTGAAAACCATTTTCCTCTCACAAATCAACTGGAAAGACGTGAAAATTGAAGAAAAATCGTTTTCTTTTTGTAAAATCTTTATATTTTCATGAAATAGGTATACAAATTTCGTGTTATGTTAACAGTCAATTTTATGGATTTCTTGATTCTAAAAAGGTTGTAGGCTAATAGAGTAGTATATAAAGTGCATTATTATCTAAATTTAAACCTAACAGATGCTGGTCTTCAACTCAAAAACTATGTTTTCTGACAAAATGACATGAATGGATAGAGCTAGGAGTTTTAAGTACTGTGACCAAAAATGAAAATTTTTCATTCGGTAGTATTCAAGAAAATTCAGTTCAAAAGCCATTTTCTGACCCTGCAACATCGTTTGAATGAATTTCAGTACATTTTCACGCTCACTTTTTTTTTCGAAAATAATTCAGTTTATTTGTGAAAGGAAAATGTTCATGAATATGGGCTCTGATCGAATGACCTCCCTCATGTTCAATTACAAGCCTTTTATCTCGGTTTCTGTGTAAGATATCAAAAGCAATCAGCCAACAAAATATTTTTGCTATTACAATTAACTTTTTGTCTGTGGATTGACCACTATGTGATATCTTTCACACGAAATGAGATATATAGGTTCAACGTTGACAGTTTGGGACATTCTATCAGAGTTTTCTTATTTAATAATTGCTCACTTTGAAATTTTAGTCCGAATTACTGGATGGAAGAAACTCGAAGGTATTTTTTGATGTTGTTATTGTCGGTGTCTATGGTGGTTATTAGCCTCTATTCTTACAATTTTCATTTCGGGATGGGATTCCTAAAACCTCAAAAACCTGAAAACCTTTCAGGTCTCCCATTTGTTCGACTTCTTGCCATCTGATGGAAAAGACTCTGGAAACGAGAACGACAGCACGGATAGTAGCAGAAGAGGATCTTATTCCAGGCTCCATGTAAGCGAAAAGTGTGAAAATTTGAAAAACCAAAGCAAAAATGTTCAGCCATCCCCTGTCATGCCACCTACCAACATTCCACGTGTGGACTCTTTTATTGATGAGGACTTGAGCAAATTCCAATTTGGAAAGTATGCAGCGACCTTTTTCCAAGCGCAAGCAACAGCTACGCATATCAAGAAACCAATTAAAACTGCATTGCTCACTCATACGGAGCCAAGTGCACAGCTTGCAGCATTGGCATCATGGACAACGATTCTTCGATTCATGGGAGATCTTTCAGATGTGAAACCAGGCTCAACAAATGGGTCAGAGATTTATGTGAGTTCATAGGTATGTTTCTTCGAAAATTCTTGATTTTCAGGATAAGACTCCGGTGATGAGCCGTCTTTATGCAACACTTGGCAAGAAGTTCAGCACTCGCGACGTTGAGGAAGCTCTCTTATCCAGCGAGTACGGAGGAAACAAAACGCTCAAAAAAGGAATGGGCAAAAAGTTGATAAGTATGACTTTGAAGCGGAAAGGAAAGATTGGCGGCTCCGATACATCATCCATTTCCTCCGACAGCGCATATTCCGGATTCAATGCCATGCTGGAGAACAAACCAATGACCAGCTTGGATAAATTGCATTATATTATTGGATTGGGTATTCTGAGGGAAGACTTGAGGTAGTTACAGATACATGACAACTATTTTTCAAAATTTGTTTTTTTCAGAGACGAAATTTATTGTCAACTGTGCAAACAGCTTAGCAACAACCCATCAAAACTCTCCGCTGCTCGTGGATGGATCCTCCTATCTCTCTGTGTTGGATGTTTCGCTCCCAGCGAGCGATTCATCAAATACCTCTTCTGTTTCATACGTGAACGAGGACCAGCTGGAACCGGCTACTCAACCTACATTGAGGACCGGCTAAGAAGAACCCAAGTCAATGGAACAAGACACCAGCCACCGAGTTATGTCGAGTTGCAAGCCAACAAGTCTCAAAAGCCTGTGGTTTTGGCGGTGACTTTTATGGATGGAAGTGTCAAAACGTTGTGTGCCGATTCTGCGACAACAGCTTCCGAACTGTGCAAGCAACTGGCAGAAAAAGTTGGTCTCACGAATTCGTTTGGCTTCAGTTTGTACATTGCTCTATTTGATAAGGTAAGGTCCCCTAGAAAAATTCCATCAGCATTTTTCTACTAGGTATCCTCCCTCGGAAGTGGCACTGATCACGTCATGGATGCCATCTCTCAATGTGAACAGTATGCTAAGGAGCAAGGAAGACAAGAAAGGAATGCTCCATGGAGATTGTTCTTCAGAAAGGAAATTTTCAGTCCATGGCACGATCCAAAGTAAGATACAAAAAAAAATTGAGCTACGCCAATATAATAACTGTGCCCCTTCAGAGACGACGCAGTGAGCACCAATTTGATCTACCAACAAGTGATCCGTGGAATCAAGTATGGAGAGTACAGATGTGATAAGGATGAAGAGCTCGCAGCGATTTGCGCTCAGCAGTACTATATTGATGAGGGCACCATGGATGTGAACAAGTTGGAGAACAACCTTGCATCGTATCTTCCAGACTTTGAAATGGCTGGAAAAGATATGGCGCTAGAGAAATGGACTCAAACTATTATGCATCAATATAGAAAGGTACAGTCCTTAATTTTTTTTTAATTTTCAAAATCTCCCAAAAATCTGATACATACTGTACTTTACAATAAGCCTAATATACTTTTCAGATGACTTCCGGTCATTTTGACCACTTTCAGGAACCTGAAGCTAGATTCTCAAGTTTCGGATCACCTTGAAAATATCAGAGAGTGTGAGACAGTTCTGACTTTAAAACTTTGCATTCACGGAATTTTCGAAAATTCTTACTCAGCTATATGACGAATTCTGAAAGACTCCGGCTTTTCTCACGTTTCCAGTACAAAAACTGGCCAAAAACGGTCCACGTCAGAAATCGACAGATAGCTGAGAAATTAGGATCTTTCAGAAAAATCGGTGAATCCAAATTTCTCCATCTCGATCTGTTTCACACTCTTCAAAACTTTCAAAATGATTGGAAACATGACATCCGACTCACTTGGGTCCAAGACAACGGGCCAAAAAACGCGCCCAAAATAACTTTTAGGCCAGAAGAAATTTTTGAATAATTTCAAATTTGACGTGGATTTGACCTATTTATTTTTAATCAATGAGTTGCAACGAGTGATTTTTTCTCCCGCCGTTTCAAAGTTTGATCCTCAGCCTATTAATTCAGCAGCGAATTTTTTTCTGAAATCTCACGTTTTACTGGGGCATGATTTCTGACCACTTGTTTTGAACTCAAGTGCCGACTCCTTAAAATGGTCAAAAATCAAATGATAAGCAATTTTTTGTATGTCTTATTCACCGTAACTTTAATTCAATTTCTAAGTTCTCCTGTTTCTCATTCAACCATTCTTTTTACAGAAGTTCACTGGCCGCCTTCCCTCTCAAATCGAAGTCAAGGAAGACGTCGTATCCATTGCTAAAACCAAGTGGCCTCTGTTGTTCTCTCGATTCTATGAAGCTCTGAAGTTCGCTGGACCTCCATTGCCGAAAAATGAAGTCATCATTGCCGTGAACTGGACTGGTGTCTATGTCGTTGATGATCGGGAGCACGTAATGCTCGAGTTCAGTTTCCCAGAAATTTCAACTGCTTATTATGGAAAGTGAGTTACTATTATGAAGATATAGGCTTTCCACAAGAATTTGCTTTTCAGAGGAAAACGAAGTACCACGGACACCTGCACTATCCGCTCTGTTGTTGGCGACGAGTACACCTTCCAGTCTCCAAATGCAGATGATATAACAAACCTGATAGTTCTATTCTTGGAAGGATTAAAGAAGAGAAGTAGATATTTGGTGGCCATCAAAGCACAGAAAGGAGATGGTAGAGTTTTCTTAGAACTGCAAATTTGAAGGAACTTTTCATTTTCAGAGAAGAATAACTTCCTCGATTTTGAGAAAGGGGATCTTCTAATTCTCGTGAACGAATTCACCGGAAACACGCTGCTCACCGAGAGCGTCGTGAAAGGAGAAAACTCGCGAACGTGTCTGTTTGGCTTAATTCGTGCGGAAAACGTGTACGTGCTGCCAACTCTGGTGAAGCCATCAAAGAACACATTGGTAACCGCGAACATAATAATAGAATTCTATTCTGTCTATTTTTCAGCAAATATTCCCAAAGGATATGGACATGAGTCTGGATTTATTCAATAACAACAAACAGGTTACTGTAATTGACTATAACGCGGAACCATACACTCTGGAGAATTTCGCAGAAGATAATTTCAAGTAAATTTAAAAGGAGGGCTCTGGAAACGTATGAAAGTAAATTTTCAGCTCACAGGTGAAACGAGTTGGATCTCAAATTTCGTTGATGACCTTGAGAAAGAAGGAGTCGCAGATTGAGAGCTGGAGATTCTCGAGAGATCATATTGAGCATCCACTTTTGAAGAAACTCAATGGAAGGTAATACCGGTTTACAGTCACAGTAACATTCAATGAGATATACAAAAAAGTTTATTTTTCGCTGATTTTTGGTAATTTCAACCATTTTCAGGTGTCTGTAGCTCTCGGCTGTCTCGTTTTCAATCATTTTGAAAATATTGGAGCCATAGGTTAAAAACCGCATTTACAGAACTTTCTGAAATTCCTAGTCTTTCATCTATTTGGCGTTTTTTGAAAGACGTGCAAGAACAAGTGTCTTTCAGAAACCAGAAAACATCTGGAAAACTAAGAAATTTCACAAAATCATGTAAATACAAAGTTTCCCATCTAGGTCTGTTTCTCGCCTTCCAAAAGTTTCAACGTGACTCCAGACTTTTCAAAATGAACAAAATGCTCTAAAATCAACTAAAAATACGGTTTTGTACATTTTATCAAACAGTGCTTTATAAAAATCCTTTTAACTTACAGAGATGATGCTTGTCGTGGGGCAGTTGAAATTTTCGCAGCCATCATGAAGTATATGGGAGATGAGCCTTCGAAACGAAGTCGCCTTGGAACTCACCTCACTGACCATATCTTCAAACTCCCCATTTCTATGGAAGCACTCAGAGATGAATTGTATTGTCAACTTGTGAAACAGCTAACCCTTAATCCTTCAATTATGTCCGAGGAGAAAGGATGGGAGCTTTTATGGATGGCCACTGGACTTTTTGCTCCGAGTGCTGCTCTGGCGAAAGAGATCAGTCACTTCCTCAAGTCTAGACCCCATCCAATCGCATTGGATTGTCAGAATAGGATGCAAAAACTTGCCAAGTACGTTTTCCGTTTTTTAATATGTTTTTAAAGCATAGTTTATTTTTTCAGGGGCGGAAGTAGAAAATATCCCCCACATCTTGTTGAGGTAGAAGCTATCCAGCACAAAACAACTCAAATTTTCCACAAGGTCAGTTCAACTTTCTTCTTAACTCACTTTATCTTCCTGTTTTTGAGGTATTCTTCCCAGACAAAACAGACGAGGCAATCGAGGTGGACTCTGCGACACGAGCCCGCGACTTCTGTCACAAGATCGGCTATCGACTCGGTCTCAAATCGTCAGACGGGTTCAGTCTATTTGTCAAGATTAAGGACAAAGTACTGGCTGTGCCTGAAACCGAGTTCTTCTTTGATTACGTTCGCTCGCTGTCCGACTGGGTTCACACAAACCATGCGATGCAGAAGGACTCCACAATGATACCTATCAATTATCAGGTGTACTTCATGAGGAAACTCTGGTTTAACTTTGTCCCCGGAGCCGATTCACAAGCAGATATCATTTTCCATTACCACCAAGAATCTCAGAAGTACCTGCTAGGATACCACAAGACCACCAAGAATGATGTCATCGAGCTAGCTGCTTTGATTCTCCGAGCAATGACCAAAGAAGGCAAAAATGCTCCACTGGCTCAAATTCCACAGCTACTGGATGACATCGTTCCTAAGGACTCACTAAAAATGTGCTCGGCTAGTGAGTGGAGGAAAACGATTTCCAACGCATACGCCAGAGTGGAGCATTTGAAACCGGACCAAGCGAAAATCGAGTTTTTGAAATACATTTGTCGCTGGCCAACGTTTGGATCAGCCTTCTTCCCAGTGTCTCAATATTCTGACTTGAGTCTTCCGGACAGACTTTTGCTTGCCATCAATCAAACTGGAGTGAACATTTATCACCTGGAGTCTAAGAATCTTTTGGTTCAGGTGAGAGGATTTAGAGTTTTAGATCCACACATTGTTTATTACAGTATCCGTTCAATGTCATTTGCAACTGGACAAGTGGAAATACTTACTTCAACATGACAGTTGGTAATATGTTGAAGGGTAATGAAGGAAAGAAGCTGCTTCTGGATACTACTGTGGTACGACACTTTCATAAAAAAATTTTCAAAAATCATTTTTCAAATTTTCAGGGCTACAAAATGGATGACTTGCTTACTTCGTATATATCACTTTTGATATCCAATCAGACCAATCAACCTTCTAAGCATCGAGAAGTTGCATTATGAGATTTTGATTTTTTTTAACCCGATATGAAAACGTGTTTCTTGTTTCCTCCCAAAAATAAATCCCAAAAAAATTTTCCATCTTTTTGTTTGAAATGCTGGTTCCTTTTGCTCATTTTTCGATTTTTTTTCTTTCCACCCTTCCCCTCTTGAAATTTTTTTTCCGATTCAATTCTTATTATTATTATTCCCCTCTTCATCTGAAAAAAATTGTTATTCGCATTTCTCCCAAAGTATTTTCTTTCACCCCATCTTGTTCACAAACCACTTTATGTACCCCTCCCCAAATCCTTCCCCAAATGTATTGATGACAATTTTCTTTTGTGATTCCAGTTAATTATATTTTATCCATCTTATTTTGTATTTACATAAAAACCATTCATACAAGTGTGTGTCGGAGAAAACAATGGGGAGAAGTTTCCAGAGAAAAAAATGGATCAAAATTCTACAATCTTGTTTTTACGCTAACACTAGGAAAGAGAAACCGGAGCGAAATTGGGGGAAAAATCACGGGATTGGGACAGAAACATAGAAATATTCACAAAAACCAAGCTATGTACAAACTAATAAATTATTTAAAATAAAAACTACACAGCGAAACCCTTTTTTTTAGTTTTTTCAAAACTATATTTTTAAGTTTTTTTGGTAGGAGAGAACCTGGAAAAAAGCAATGTCGAGGGAGCATAAAGAAAAAAGATCGCTTCAGGTTAAAGCAAAAATCAGAAACATGGATTCCAGAATTTCACGGAATGGCGAGAGACGGAAATGGATGAGGCGAGAAGAGAAAAGTGAAAATTGTTTGTTTTGGTTTTTTGGTTCGAGACGATTCTTAAGATATGTCCTGTGAATATTCACAAACTACTTTGCAGTTTTTGGCATGCTAGATGTGCTCGAGTTGCTTGATGATGAGCGATCCTCGGTTGGTGTTCTCTCTGCAGTTTGAATGTAGCTCAAAATATCTCTGCAAGAGACCACCGCCAGAATTCGCTTTGACTCATCGATGATCGGCTAAAAATAGAAAACGACGTTATTCAAAAAAACGCTTCCGGACTCACCAAACAGCACTTATCGGAAGTCATAAGCTTGGCGACCGTCTCGAACACCGTGAAATTCGTGCGTCCATAAACTAATCTATTCTGAAGTGAGCGCAGCACTTTGACGGGCTCTTTGAGCATCTCGTGGAAGTTTCCGCCCTGGTGGCTCATGATCTCGAGAATGATGTCCTTTCTGGCGAGCATATTGACGATTTGATTGAAGTCGTTGACGACTGGAACGGTGGACATCTTCTTCTCGGCCATCAGCTTGATGCAATCTTCGATGGTTGTGTTCAAGCCGATCTGAAATTATTCTTTGGTTTTTGAAAATCTAATTCGTTTAGAAATTTGGTTTTTGTCTTGAAATTCCGTTCAAATACATTTTTTAAGCAGTTGAACTCATACTTGCGGCCGGTCCAAAGCAGGCCGTGGCGGGCCCTGTCATAGTTTCTTTTAGGATTGATATTTTTGACCAACTAAATTAGATACGCTACAAAATGATAGTATTTGAGACATTGTATCATATTTGTGAACAAAGTTACAAGCCAAAAAATTGCAAATGCGGGCCGTGCCGGGCCGGTTTTTTTCGGCCCGTTTGGTTTGTAACTTTGTTCACAAACATGATATAGTGTTCCAAATAGTTTCATTTTGTAGCGCTCGTCGAGTTGTAGCATATCTAATTTAGTGGGNCAAAAAANATCAATCNTAAAANNANNTATGNCAGGNCCACCGCCCGCTTTGGGCCCGTCCGCAAGTAAGGTTGAACTTCTGGACCCAATGCTAGAGGTGACGCGCCAATACCAGCTAAACTACGACGGCGTAAGCTGAGGCGGCCGAACGATGGGATGTACAATACCGGTCAATATGATGTACAAAAAGCTGTTTCCCAGTGGATTTTGGCCAGTTTCAAGAGTCTGGAGCTCGGCTGTCGATTATCCGATCACTTTGAAAAGTTTGGAAAATGCAAAACAGACCTAGAATGAAAACTTTGTATTCACATAATTTTTTTTTAATTCCCGTTTTTAAGCTGTTTGCCGATTTCTGAAAGACACTTCCTTTTTTCACGTTTTCAGCACAAATAAGAGCCAAAAAGGGGTTCTTTTCAGAAATCGGCAAATAGCTGAAAAACTAGGAATTTTCGAGAAAGTCCGGGAATGCGAAGTTTTCCAAAATTTTCTGAATGTTTGACAACTTGAAAGCCGTGCTCCATACTCCTGACTATGGTCAAAATTAAATGAAAAACTTGTTTCTGTGTTTTTATTGCCTGGTACTGTATAGCTGGCGTCTACAAAAATTTTGAGATCGGGAAAACTCAATTTCAAGCACCCGGCCAAAGGTTAGCCCAACTATCCACATCAATAAATTTTGGGCTTCTCATAAACATCCCTAAAATCATTCTTTGCAGCCCTTCTAGTTTTTATACGTGTTATCTTTCGAAAAACTGTTTTTTAGTCTCAACAACCCCTTTAACTTGTTATTGACCCTTGTTCATATATATATTTTTGTCCGCGTTTGCAGAACCTCCCAAGACCAAGCCAGTAGAACATTTGCAAAACTACTAAAAAAAAACTCAAGACCACCTCCCAGACCTTCCGCTCTCTCACTCCAATATGATAACTCCTCTCTCCAGTAGAAACAAATAATAACAAACAGGGCAACTCGACTCTGAAGGATTCATGTGACCTTTGCAAAACTCGGCATGCTAGAAATACTATTGAAGGTCGAGAGGCAGTCTGCCCGACTTGTTATTGAGGCACGAAAAAAAAAGATCGTCGGTCAATTTTTGATATTGTTTGAACCAGAAGGGTTAGGGTGGTTCTTGGTCGGCCACAATCCGGATTTTTTTTTTCTCTCTCAACACTATTTTTTTTTCGACAAACCTTCAAGACGTCGCTATTCCACGTGCCAATTTTCTTCTGGTCCAATGTGGCCTGACGCACGTGAAGAAGGATGGCATCCCCAAAGTCGCTCTAAAAATTGTTTTTTAGGGTACTGTAATTTGTGTTATTATTGTTACCAATTTGAGAACAGTCTCCTGCAAAATCATTCGAGTGGTCAAGAAGAACAATGGAGTACCTGGTTTTGGAACAATCTGAAAATTGAGGTCCACTTGTCTTATTATTCGGACTCTCCTACCGTATCGAAAATTGGGATGAAGCTAATTTTGTTGTGTGAGATGATATTGGCAGCCTCCCAGACGCTGCAGAACAAATTGTTTTTATTAGAGCCCCTATTTTCATTCTTTTTTTTTCTTTTTTTCCGGTTCAATTACAACTGATGGGTCTCCAGTAGCATGAAAAAACACAAAACGCCCCCCCCCCCCGGGTTCTGGTTGTTTATCTGATCTCTGGTTTCCTCTTCGTTTTTTTCTCTCACTTTGTTTCATAATAAACTCAATAAAAATGCGTTGTTGCGTCGTCCTACAAACAAAGAACCGTATTCTCCTATGATTCTTCACTTGTTTACCACATTTTTTTTGAGTGTAATGTGTTTTTATCGATACCCTCATTTTTTTTCCTTACATCATTTGACAGCCAGCAGCCAGCAGAAACATATAAACGTAAACACCACTCAATTATTCTTTTTTTTTTAGATAAACATGCACCCGAAAACAGTGAAGAGGTCAAACTGGGTACCGGAAACCTCCCGAAAATCGGCTCAGAGAAGCGAAAAAAGAGAAAAAGTTCACCTATTTTGAACTCCGCTGCAGATAATATTTCCAGACCCGATATCCTTCAAGAAATCAACCAGCGTCATGGATGCAACCTCGCGATTTCCTGCGGCTACCATAAGTATCGCTGTGAGACAATCTCCCATATTGAAGACACACTCCGCTTGATACTTGTCGCTATTGGTCACCACGGCAGCAATATGTCCGTGTTGAGAGAGAGCGTGAACTGCGGCTTTGACCTGGAAGACAAAATTCTAGAATTTCATTCCAGAAAAATTCCAGAAAAAAGGAAAAGAATGTGTTTTCCCTGCAAATGAATACCTTTGTTTTCCCGTCGAAAACAACCAGCGAGCTGTGAGTTGGCTGCAAGTCGTAGCATGTGATTGACTTCATGAATTTGTGGTATGGATCCGCATGCCGATCTCAATAAGAATAATTTATTTTATAAACAAAAGCCAACTGGCAATCTTACCAAATGCCGAGAGCACTTCATAGCCGCCTTCTGTGTTGAAAATTCTGCATGGACGCATAATAGCGAAATCCTGGAAATTTCATTTGAGGTAGAGATCAATCAGATATACAAAAATATGTTTTTCTGTGGATTTTTGGCCATGTTAACCATCCAGAGCCTTGAGCTCGTCTGCCAAGTTAAAGCTCGGCTGTCTAGTAATCACCTCGAAACTTTCAGATGGAGTAAAAGAAACCTAGATTAGTAAATTCGCCTTCACAGAACTTTTCGCAAATCCCTAGTTTTCAGCTATTCGGTTATTTCTGAAAGACACCTGTTTTTTTCACGTCTTCAGTACAAAAACAGGCAAAAAGTGGTGTCATTCAGAAATCGGCAAATAGCTGGAAAAAACTCGATAAAAATAGTCAAAATGGCCGAAAATCCACTGAAAAAATCATTTTCTCAATATGTCATTGACCGGTATCGTACATATAAACGGATTTCAAAATTCTTACCGCTCTTCTGAATACATTCTCCGGGACACTCATACGTCTACGAGTCATTGGCATTGGTTTCAAACCATCGTCATCAGTTTCCATCGCGTTCTGTCCTCCGGCTCCTCCCGGCGCGTTCATTCCATACTGATACGACGTCTTCCGGTTTCCAGTGTCGCCATTCGCCCCACGCTGAACTTGAAGTCGTGACTGCATGGTGTAGCGACGACGCGACGGAAGTGAAATCTCGCGAATGCCGAATGAACTCCGACGCGAGTGGTCGATGCTGGGCCCCGACTCGTATCTAGAAAGAGCAATTATGCTGAAAGAGGAGGGAGAGAGAAGGAAGATCATAATATCTAGTTGTGAGAGCAGCGTCAAAAAATTTTTCCTCTTTTTCTGATGGACTATAAACAAAGTGAGCCCTGAAACTGCCCGGAAGTGCTGGAATGGAAACCCTTCTAGAGAGTGTTAAAAAAAGAAAATTGATTTTTTCAGAAAAACGGAAAGTGCGGGGCACCAACAGCATTCACTAATCCCGGCGCGAGAGGTGAAAATCCGCCGGAGGGCAAAGGAAAAAATTCGACAACGTGTTCTACATCTAGATTAGCACCTACCCATGATCCATCGAGTTGCCGTACACGGTGACTGGTGTCGTTTCCAACATGGTTCGTTGCCGATTACTGGAGTCGAACTGAAACTTTTTTGTATATGGAAGCTGGAAGTATGAAAATAGAAAGAAGCCAATAAAATCTCTATTTTAAGACCTTTATATGAAAAAAGTCACATTTTTGAATCACTCAGTTTTTTTTTCAAAGAGAAAATATAGTCAAAGAAAACAAGCTCTGCCCAGACGACGCTAGAAAAAAAAAGAAAAAATTTGCACTTTCCTGGTCACAATAACACGCAAAGAAAAAAAAAGAAGCAGCACGTTGTTTACAAGCATTGGGGAATATTCTAAAAATAGAAGAACGAGAGAGCAGATATTTGGTCCGTGTGCTTTCCCGTCTCTCCTGTTTTCCTTTTTTAGATATGTGAGAAAAAATGAAAAAAAAAGCTCTTATTATGACCAACGCGATGTATTTGATAGAAGGGAAAATTCTAAAATAGAAGAAATTCAAAGATTCGGAAAGAGAAGACCGTATGACGAGTCAATCAGAATAAGTAATCTGTGAACGCCTAGCAAATAAAAAAAAACGAAAAAAAGAAGGAAAATCCCAGCGCGTGACTCAAATTTGGACCCCCGGAAACAAGCTTTCAGAAGTGCGACAAATGTGAAAAACATCGTGGATTGGTTCCGTTAAGGGTTCAAAGTACACACACGATGGGTACTTACTGATTAATTCAATTGAAATATAATGCTTCCTAAAGGACCAAAGGATAAGATCTTCTATTTCGGATTTTTCCAAAGTATCGCAGAAAACACAAAGTGTTACAAATCCCGTCTGGAACGTTTTTATATAATCATTTAGCAATTGTGTTTGTCCGGTTTTTTGACAAACCACTATTTTTGTTTTTGGAATGGCGTCATTGTTTCTAGCGCCGTTTGTCTCTAGATCAAAATGTGAAAAGGACAAAGTTTGAAACGTCAAAAAATTAAATAATACAGTTTCTCTCTAATACTTTCCCAACCCATCGCAGCCTGAATAAGATGGAAAAATGTTAATGAAGACTGTTAAAAATAAGACCGACCGAAACATTGGGGAGGAGTAGAAAAAGGTGGGGGTGTCCTCCAAAAGAGGGCAACCGAATAATAACCGATCAGATGTCGTTTTTGTTATTGTACGCGTTTTTTTTTGTTATCAACCACTATCTTTCTCTCGTCCTGATTGCAATTAATACACGTTGAGGGCGGAGAAATGGAAGTTGAGAGCGAAAAAAAGAATCCTGATGGGGTTGGAAAGACTGAAAATGATAACAACAGAAGAACGAACAAAAAATAGATAGATGGATGGAAGAGGTATGTTGGCTGGGTTGTAGTGGCAAAGATCGTTTGGGGCGGAGACAAGAGAAAGGGGGGGGGGAGAATTTTAGATCAAAACACGAGAGAATAGAGAGCTCCAGGGTCTGATTGGGGAAATATAATCAGTGGGAGGAATCGAATTCAGCTGGTTTCTCAAGAAGTGGTTATTAGTTGGGACAAGGAAGAATAATAAAAGTACGCATTTCTTTTAGGATTACGGTAGAACAATTAATCAAAATGAAATCGGGAAGCTGAGATTACTGTAGATCGGCGTTCTAACTATTTTTTTATTCTGGAAGGTCCACGAAACACAGTCCCGGTTAATAAGATATTCAAAACATATTTTTTTGTTGGCTTCCGGCTATTTTTACTATTTTCAGGGTTCCGAAACTTGGCTGTCAAGTTTCCAATCACTTTGAAAATTTTCGAGGGTCTGAAACAGATTTAGATCGAAACTTTAGAACTCACAAACTTTTTGAAAATTCCTAGCTTTTTAATTAATTGCCGATTTCTGAAAACAGCCTCGCTTTGGCCCGTTTTGGTACTGAAAACATTAGAACACAGGTGTCTTTCAGAAACCGGCAGATAGCTTAAAAACTAGGGATTTTTGAATAATTCTGTGAATGCAAAGTTTGAGCTTTAGGTCTGTTTCAACTTGACAGCCGAGCTCCAAATCTCTAAAAATGGTCAGAATAACCGAAAATCAACTGAAAATTATGTATTCGAATATCTTGTTGACCGGCACTAAGTGCATGTCTAAATTGCTGAGGAACAGAGCAGATGTCAAATTTCCAACATTACGTGAAAATTTTCAAAACGTGAATTTTCATATTTCTCCCCGAATGGATTACTCTTCTCAGACGGATTTATTCTATTTGGTGTAATACCTAAAAACAATTCGTTTTTTGATCTACCGTAATCTCTACTGCCATTAACAATACTGCCAGTAATTGGTCTAAAAACGTATTCTAGAAATTTAGAAATTTTCTACAGAACACCTACGCTATCGGCCTTTTCCAGGAAAAAAAGTAAATTTGTCCATACGCCAAAAATAGGATGACACTTCGTATTTTGAGGAACAAATGATAAGCATCTACTGATCAAAAATGAAACATCGTTTGTTTGCCGTTGGTGGTGGTGACCAGCTGTCGAAAGTCATAATGTTCGCTTTTGAGAAAAAAAACACGCAATTTAGTTAACCTTCATTGTTCCCAGAATACAAGCGTCTATAATTTTTTTCAGACTGGATGTGAGCCCCAAAAATTGAGAAAAGAGAAAATGAGCGCGTGCCTTGGGAGAAAAGATAAATATATACTGGCACTGGCACTTTTGAATCCAATTGTCTATTCCAAAAAAAGAGGAGTCTGCCGGGAGAACTGGCGGGAGAACCATGACATCGTGCTTCTTCCTATGACGACAGCTTCCATGGAATCAACAAAGTAGTAAAAAGTGGAAGGGAATTTTTCGAATCCTAAGGGATGATTCTCAAACTGTTTTCAAACCCCTAACTTTGAAAATTAGTTTTCTTTCTCTTTTCAAAAAGAACAGGTTTGGAAAAAAAATCAAAAAAAAATGATTCAAGGAAAAGTAGTCAGCAGACCTCCTGGCGAAAAATACAATAACAGAATGGAAGAGATTGCAAGAAGAGTACTGCAAGAAAAAAGACGGAACCCATCAACTGCCCTCCACGGCCAACCGACCGACCGACCGCCACACAAACAACTATTTGTATGGGGGGACTGCTGTTACTGCTGCTATGTGTTGCGTTCGTTTCAGTTCCTATGTGTGTATGTGTGTTTTTCTTTCAACAACACGTGGTCTTTTTTTTGCCGAGAGTATCTGCTCTTCTTGCTCTTCGGACTCCGCCTCCAAAACTTTCACGAATTGTTACACCAGACATGTGGCAAATGAGAATTGATGGCAGTGAGATGAGAAAGGTGTTTTTCGAAAATTGCCTGGAAGGTTTTATGGGACAGATGGGCTACGGTAGGCGGATCAAAAATCGAGCTTGACTTTTCAGAGGGCTCTCATAAAAAACAAGAAGCAAAAATAGAAAAAAAAACTATTAGATGAAAATAAAAAAGGATTAGAGTAATCCGATTGGGGAAAGTTTTTAACGGATTTTCCGGATTGGGGAATTTTGATTTGAAAATCTTAAAATAACTTTTCGATGGACATAATACATATTTATCCCCGGAAATCAATATCAGCTGAATTGCACACGAGTTTCAAAAAATATGATGAATTATACATAAATATTCTCGTGAGTAGATAAAGTTTCAAATAAAAGTTGAAAACATATTTTTGAGTTTTGGCTTCATAATGTTTGCTTGTGAAGAAAAGGAGGTATAGCGTAATTTGTTTATTAGAAGCTTAGTGCTAAATTATGTCAATTTTTGTGAAATATATCAAAACTTTGTAAACGGATAAAAAATAGCTGATATTATGATAAATAATTCATAAGTTGACAAATTTTTGATGGCATTCACAGGAATCAAGATAATTGAGTCTAAAATTGACAGTTTGAGTGGATTACAATTTGAGCAATGAAAATTTTGAGCACAATTATCTCAATTCCTGTGAAAGATATCAAAAAATTGTCAATTAATAAATTATTGGTGATATCATGATAAATAATTTATCAGTGAGAAAATTTTTGATAGCTCTCGCAAAAATCGAGATAATTAAGCTCAAAAATGAAAGTTCAAGTGGGCTTCTATTATCGGAAATAAAATAAATCAACTTCGATTGAAATACCTCAAAAACGCAATATACCTTGAAAATGAAAATATTCAAAAAATAAAATTATTTTTGCTCAATAAATTAAAATACCTCAAAAACTCCAAAAAATTTGCAGACAACGAATAACCCAGAAATTAGTCAACCGTGCCCGAATCCCTTTTTTGTAGCAAATTTCCAAAAATTATGGATCTCAAAGACCACCTCTCTCCCAAAACCAGTCACCTATTCTGCAGAAATAATAGTATGGGGAATACCGACCAACCGAAATAGTCAATTTCTAGAACATCTTGTTTTTCAACACCTCAGTTGTCCTTCTGTTGACTTCTGACTCACGAAAACATAACTGACAACACCCATCTGTCAGGTTTTTTTCTTTTTTTGTCTGTATGGGTGGCAAACAGTTTGTTGAACTTTTGATTAGGTTTTTTAAAGACAAAATTAGATTATTACAAAAATAACCTTTGTTTATACATAGTTATGCAAAGTAATAACTAGAATTTCTTTTTATCAGAAATATTTTTTTTAGAAAAACAAGTGAAAATAGATTTTTTGCCATAAATTTCTTAATTTCCAAAAAATTACTATTTTAAAAATAAACCTTAAACTTACTGTAAATCTCGGTGGTACATGTGCCGCCGGCTCGCTGTTCCGGCGGCGGTTCTTCTGGAAAAACTTGAGCATTGGCTTCCTGAAAAAATAACAAGATGATATGGGAAAAAATTATCACGAGCGTTGATGTCAAGTCGTATTAAGTGAGGAAAAACAGGAGTGAAAGGGGAGTTAATATCAGACATCGTGGGCCCATGTGAGATGTCCATGAAATGCAAAAAAAATTGAGAAGATCAGAAGAATACAAAAGTTATGAGAGAGGTTTCTACCCGATTTAGAATGGAGAATGGAGAAAAATGAGACATTGTTGTTCTTTCTTGTCGGGGAAGAGGGGGGACCCGAAGAGTCATTTTCGCACTTGTGCTTTGTTTGGGTTTCGGTTTTTTGTTGCTTTTTTCAACTGAAATGATCACATAACCACAAAAAACAAGTTGTACCAACACCACATCCAAGTTTCATCTTTTTTCTTCCTTCTTTTTTTTACAAAAGCCATAATCTATAGAGATAGCGATTAACAAAAGAGTCTGAATAACTTTTAAACTCAGATTGTTGATGAAAATTTTAGGATAGGTTAAAAATAGATTATCAAGAAACTTTTGAAAATTTTAGAATCCGCTCTCCAGTTTTAGCCAAGTTACCGTAAACACTCTAATAAAACGCCACGCGAACCGTTAAGTTTAAGCTCACATATCTCTTTTTCTGTAGAAAATATCAAAAAGTCACCAACTGATAAAATGTTGCTGATATTATGATAATATATTTGTCAGTTGACAACTTTTTGATATCTTTGATTGGAAATGAGATACATTGGCTCAAAGTTGACGGTTTGGATGGCGATCTAAAAGAGTGTGTTCACGGTATATTAGTTTCAGTATCAAAAACGCTATTTTATTGTAGTACATCAATGCTCAAAGACAATTCCCTCAACTTCTGAAACGCTGGAAGTGCTTCAAAAAGTTCAAATCAAACATTTTCTGTCAAAATGATCATGATTGTCTGTGAGAGGAAGAAAAAGTGGGAGGGCATGGCTCAAGGAAACCAAAAAAGAATGTAAACATTCTAAGGAAGAAAAATGCAATGGTGTCCATAAAAAAGGACATTGTTTGATTGTCTACCCACAAAGGTGTTAAAAACTTTCCTTCCTTAAAAATTGGTGGTTGTTCATTACAATGTTTGATCTTCGAAATCGGTTTATTATAGGAACACTACAATAAGACTCCATACATGGAACATTTTGCTATATGTTTCTGATTCTCAAGAAGAAGTTGTTATTATCTTCTAAACAAGAAAAAACAAATCAAATCATAACACACTCTGAAGACAAACGACTACTATCACTCTCAAAAAAATAGAGGAAACTGGAGCCTCAGAGCAGTCAGAGTCATCATTCATGTTGCTATTAATGAGATGGAAATTTGATATGATTTTGGTTCTGCGCCACAAAAACAAGCACAACGGGGGTGTGATAGCCTTCTCATTGTCCTTTCTAGTGTTCCTGTTGTTTTTTTCTGTTATTTTCTGACCACCAGCAGAAAATTGTTTTTCAGTGATGATCAAACAGCAATCATTTGTTTTGTTTTCAGACGAAATCCGATTTTTATCAGTTTAAAAATGGTTTTTTTGTCTCAGGAACTACAATTTTGGCTTCCAGCTCAAATCACCAAAAATAGAATAATCTGATATACTTAACCCAATTTTCTAAAATAAAGATCACTGAGAGATAGTACAAAATCGTACGAAAATCTGTCTACAAAAACATCTGAGAAAATTAAAAAAAGAAAAACAATAGAGTGAGAAAAAACAAAGTAATCTTGTATACACCGAATTGAGTCACAAGACATGATGTATTTTAAAACAAAAGTGGTTGTCAGATTCATTAAGATCAACACAATAACACTTCCGATTAAAGAGCTAATCGGGATATTCTCAGGGGTTCATGAATATCTTTGAAAATGAGAGTGCGTGCCTAATTAGAAAAATAGCAGAAAAAGCGCCGGATCACTTTTTGCACTAATTTATTCTAGAAAATAGTTCTAGCAAAAATCCAAGAACGAGAAAAAAATCATGAAAATGACAATGAAACAATTCGTGAAATGCTCTTATCAATGGGCAGCGTTTGGCTTTTATATCAAAGCCCACCCACACAAAAATCGAAAAAGCTTAGTACAGAGGATCGTACAAGCTGGCACAAGATCAGTGGGGGTGGGTCTGGGAATTCGATTATTCGCCCTCAAGAAACAAACAAAACGGTTTCCAAATGATAGGAATTCGTCACTTAAAAAGCCGCTTGATAGATTCATAGTAGACAAAACAAAATTTGTACTGTGTACCCCCGAACAAAAAAACCGAAAATGTTGTTTTTAAGAATCTGATGATAAGAATAAAAGATGGGATAGGTGATTTCTAGTTTTGCAAAAGTTCAAACTGATCACCTTTGGTTCTGAACAGGTTTTGATCTCTAAGTGAATGAGTTTTCTGGCCTTTTTTGAAGTTTAGTGTTACCCGGACAAAACAAGATCGTTTTTGGTCGTTTTAGGGTTATTGGGTACTGTGGGTTATTGGGTACTGGGGAAAAAGTATACTGTAAGTGTATTAATAGAGAAAAACGAACAAGAATTCGAAAAAAGATGTGTTTCGATTTTCTGGAATTTGCTCGAAGTTGGGCATAATCATTTTCCATAACCTAAATTCATTAAAAAATTTTGGGCTTTGAATTTTTCGGAAACTATGATAAAAAAGTTACCGAAAATTTGTAACTTCAACAAGGTTACTGTAATTCCTCCTAAATCTGATCAGAATACAGTATTTGCTCAAATGGAACTCACCCTATACGTGCAATTTAAGCTGAAAAATCTCGATTCCTATGAGAGATATGAAAATTATATCAACTGATGAAATATTGAGAACTTTATGATAAATAATTTATCAGTTGAAAACTTCTTGTTAACTTTCGAAGGAGCCGAGATATATGAACTCAAAGTGCACGTAGAAAGAATTCGGTCTAAAGGAGATATTATGTTATATTGCAAATACGGTGGATTTTTTGAAAAACACTGTTTTTGGATCATACAGTTCCAGCAGAATTTTGCAGAAGCCGCAATGTGTGTTTCCTTGAAACGAAACTTGTATCAAAGAAAAATTGTCGATTCAAACAGATTCAAAAGCAATAAAGCGGAACACGGTGGTTTGAAACCACCGGGGATGCAATATAGTTTTTTTTTGTTGCTTGTAATGATATTTTTGTTTTTCAGCAAAGAATAAAACGAAGAAAAAATGGAGAAAATTTTCGATTTTGCACTAAACAAGAAGAAAAAATGAGAGGAAGGAGAAAACTCAAATTTCGCTTTCTACGAATGTATAAAATTTCCCCAGCAACAGGTGCTATGGCGATGAAGGACAAGACACAAAAAAAGACTGAACTAACACGAAGAGCATAAAACTGTCAGCAAAATTTAGGAAGCGTGAGTGAAGAGTTCAAAACACAAGTGAACTAAAAGATGGAACGAAGAAGCTAGTTAAATTTCAAATCTGGAAAATCCAAAGGGGTCATCTGGCTAGAAGTTTCACAAAAACATCTTGGAAACTGTAAAAATTGCGTTTCCAGAAGTAATTAATTGGTTTTTCTGACTATTTTTTTTTTTGGTATTTTAGCCACAAACACAATACATAATCTCATACAAAAAAGTTTAATTGTGTCCACATTTTCTGATCCCCATGCAAAGATCACCGTTTACGACTCATCTCGAAGGAAATTAGTCATCTGCTCCGTGACCATTAGCGCCGGTAATTTCCGAAAAAAGCGAGTGTCCCCTTTCATGAATCGACGGCAGGTGGTCCGCGTGTCACCTCGCGCAGATGTTTTCCGTTTTTGGATCGGTATTCTTTGTGAAATTTATGTCTTCTATATTTCCCCAAATATTCCACGTGTTAGGTTACGAACAACTCTGGAGAGGGGAGCAAGTTTACAATGTTTTGATGTTCCTCAGAATGCATAAAGAGTAGGGTGGTCCATCTGTTGCAGATGAATATTGCACCCAACACCTGCCACCTTCACTAATTATCCTATTGAAGCCCTTCTATATTTCTGTTCCTTCCTGTTTCTGCTTCGCTGGGGTCAGACAGAGAACCCTTCCTGTCAGCTGTAGGTGTAATAGTCCTGAATTTCTTTTGTTCTGTCGTATGGCTGGATTTTTTTCTTGGAAATGTTTCTCTGTTGGTTTTGAAGGTTTTATAGGCTGTTTTCTCTATTTTTTGGATTCGAAACACTCTGTATTCCGTAAAATTCCCCTAATGGCAATTTTGACAAATTTCGACTCATTTTTCAAGTTTTTAGAGTCACGGACTACATTTTGACGTTCTCGTTTGAAGCGCGTGGCTTCTTATATAGTAACGCTCAATAGGAAAAATACAACGTATTTTGCTATTGATTTTCAGTCGATCCCACCATTTCCAAAAGTATGGAGCTTGGTTATCAAGTGTCGGATTACTTTGAAAACTTTGGAGAGTGTAAAATGACCAGGATTAAAAACTTTGCATTCACAGAATTTATAAAAAATCCCTAGTTTTCCAGATTTTTACCGATTTCTACAAGACACTCACTTTTGGAATGTTTTGTAAAATTTATAATCGAGAGCTGCTTCACACTTTCCAAAGTTTTCAAAGTTTGAAACAGAAATTCAAACTGATCTGACGATTGACAGCCGAGCACTGGACTCCAGAAAATAGTCCCAATTAACTGAAAAACACGCTTTTATATGTCTTGGTACTGTATATCATCGTTTTACCACCCCCAGCTTGCGTTACAATAGTTCAGTTGGTACACCTTTAATAGACTCACAAATTTTGTACTGTTTGACAGACTTATCTGAACGAAATTGATTTTTTAAAATCTTTTTTTCATTGTCCTAATGCCTTCAAGATTTTGTAAAATTCACTTCACGGCAATTTTCTAAAGTTTCGTCTCAAGATTTGGTTGTCAATTTTTTTAAAAATCGGAAGTTGTTCCCATTAAGTTCCACTCGTCTAGCCAATTGCCGTTGTCTATTTATTCCATAAAACCAATTGACCTTTTTGAGAGATTTAATGTAACTGTTTTGCAAAAATCAAGGTTTGCCCTGCCCACTCAGACTCAACCGAGATTCAAACAGTGTGTGAACCCTCTTGAAAATCCCCGCCATACTCAACTTGTGCGTACTCCATATTTGTCTACTTTTAGTTTCTGGGGCGAAGAGGTGTTCACGCGTGAATGCTACTTTCAAATAAAGTGCGAGATTCCGAGATTCCCCCTCCCCTCCTATTCTGGTGTTCCTCACCGGGAGCAGTTTGTGTGTGTGGTTCGCAAATTTCGAAAACAATAACACTTGTGCACGACACTGTCCATGTTTAACTCTGTGTGTCTATTTGGATGTTACGGATGCTTCACTTTTTTTGGGATTCACTTTTTGGAGAGTCTTGTTCTCACATTCATTTTTGGGGTTTGCCCGCAGATTTTCATATTTTTGAGTGGTTCCAAAGCGTCTATTATTCTTTTTGACATTTTGCCGGAAACCGGATTCCTGCCCCGTGTTCAGTGTACACAAGATTTTTGAATATGATGTGTATCAAAAACATTTCCCTGTAAGATTTTTCTACATATATCCTTTTTGTTTCAATCAAAAGCCTCTACTTCCCATTTAGCACCCATTAGAACGTCATCACATCCAGTCTTCTTCTTCTTCTCCACGCACCCATTAACGGTTTTTGGTTGTAATTTATCACCCTACCACCATCCATAGATCATTCACCTCGTCGTTGGAGGCAAAAATAAAACAGTCAGAGGAAAAAGAAAATTCATTCATTCGTTCACCAGGACGACGATAAAGATATCTATATATGTATAACTGACACATATGAGGAGAATATGGAGGAGATGAGATCAACATGTATGATATGTAAGTTGGTCATCGCACCCTCCTCCCTTCTCCAACGGCAATTGTATTATGTTCTTCACACTTTTTCGATGTGTGTGTTGCAATTTAGAATGCAAATTGCTTCTTCTCCGCAAGAAAAAGAGACTGGACAACTGTTTTTTTTTCGGAGGTTTTTTGTTTTATTTCTTTGGATCTATGGATTTTGAGAGATCTGTTGTTATTACGTGCCGGAAAAGGGATTATAAATTTGGATTATAAAATTTGATATCTTCAGATTTTTTAAATTTTCACAGAATTTTTTCCACAATTTCTTAAAGGCTTAACTGGTTAAATGCTTCAACAGAAGAATACGTGCGCTTTGAGCTCAATTATATCGGTTCCTTTAAAACCTATCAAAAATCTTGATAAAATATTGTTGATTTTATGATAAAAATTATCAGTTAAGAATGTTTTGATATCTCTTATAGAGACTAAGATAATTGAGCTTAACGTGCACGTATGAGGTGGGCTTCTATCGAAGCATTACCGTATATATCAATTAATTTTCAGGAGGTTTTCCCGCTATTTTCAGAATCTCATTTTTGAAATTTTTAATTACTTAAAATTCTTCAGTAGTTAATTTCATTCCTTTGCATTCTTAGAGTTTTGAATTTCTTTTGGGAAGACATTTTTCGGATTTTTTTCAGAGTTACGGTATGCATTCTAACGGCGTATTCGAACAAAATTTAAAAAAAAAAACTATTTTCGTGTCCCCCTTCACATTTTTCAGCCTTCAATTTCAACAGATTCCGTTTAACAGATTTTAGTTTTTTGTGTCTTCCTTCACATTTTCAGCCTTCAATTTTTACTAATTTCGTTTGCAGACTAGAATTCAGACCAATTGAAAGTCAGAAAGCGTTTAGTTTCTTTTCCGGGGGCCAGTTAACTCTCAATGTTTAAATTGAATTATAAAAACTCAAAGTTTCTTATCAGTGATAGAAATGAGCCTCTGAAACTGGAGAATATTGTAATTCTTAGATTTTTCTTGAATCTCCAACGGTGGGCCCACTAGTTCAACTCTTCAAGGGGCGCATTTCAGCGAACTCTCGAGAAAATCAATTTTCTCATGTTATATACCTTGAAAAATTTTATTAAAAGTTTTCTCCCAATTCTTACCTTGCAATGTAATCAGTGAGTCAACCAAAAACTTTTATGTGTCATAGGAAAATTTTCCCTAAATGTTTTCTATGGGAAAATATACAAGCTGAAGTGAAAAAAATTAATCAGATTATATAATTTTCACAACTTTCCAGCCAACCAATAACTTCTCCAATTTTTACTTTTTTTCATTTTTCTTTGCAACTTCTATCTAATAGCACCCTATAACAGTCCCACCGCGATAGCGAAGACTCTTCCATTTAAGTAGAGATTAATAAAACGGTTAGCGCTCCTACCCCCCTGCTCATTCTATTTATTTATGCTTCCTTATATGGCGCATCTCAATAGTCCTAGAAACTACATATAAATGTTTATGTAAAGTTTCTCTCTCTCCATCAGATTTCACACGAATCCCCCTCATTCGCAAGTTTACCAGTTTTCTAATCCCGTCAGCTAAATCCAATCCGTTATTGTTGCTGTGAGAAGGAGTTAGATTGTTGGTGGTGGTCAGTTCCGCGAAAAAAAACCTGAATTTACTGCTTTTGCGCCAAACATCTACGCCAATTCGCGGTAAATGGCATTTTATGACTGTCTTTTCTAAAATAATACAGAAATGATTTTTCTCATTCTTTTTTATCATTTCCAAAAAAATACAATTCTACATATTTTGAGATTCCCTGCATTAATTTTCTAACACCATTTTCCATTTTCTCATCCATTTTCATTCACGCCACGCGAGATCATTAACCCGATTCGTTTCATTTCGCTTACTGATTCCGTTGTTCAACTTCTTCTTCTTCTTCTTCTTTTTCTTATTTCTCGAAAATTTCATTCTACGGATATATTTATTGTTTCGAAATGCCCATCATTTCAATCCACTATAGTAAATGCGTCATTGATACGAAAATTGATAAGGTTGGGCTGATAAGAAGATTCACGTTTCATTTCAAATAGTCGCAAATTTCCAGACACTCTGGGGTCAGTCTGTTTCCCTCATTCACCTTAATTCGATATGTGTTCCCAAAAACTGGGTCAGTACTGATCCCGAGGTGGATCACACCCTCCTCCAAATCAAGCAGTTTTCGTTATCAGTGCATGGTTGTGCGTGCGAAGCTTGCTTTTCTTTTTCAATCAAAACCCCCAAGCGTATTTGCTTTCACACCCTCTCTTTTAATATTTCTCCATTTGCACTCTCTCTCTCTCTATACTAACCCAAAAACAACAACCGTACTTGAAATGACATAATATAGTTTTTTTTCTTATTCTTGTTCTCATCTCCTCAATTCCCTCTTTCTAAGAAAATGGAAAGTGAAAAAAAGATTCGCTTTCTCATGGACGGCAACGCAGAAATTAATTAGAAAACCACAAAATAGGCAACGGGCATTATAAATAACCAGGAGGCAAAAGCAGAGGTAGTCACAACCGGAAAAAGGGCGAATACTGTTTTTATGTTTTTTTTTGAGTGTACCGCGCGGCACGACCGACACTGGCACACGTAGGGTCCCCCTTTTTGATTGCATATGGAGAAAGACACGGTATTTTGCCTCCTCTATGAGCCAGCCGGCTTTCGGGCTGTCCGTTACTATTGTATTTGTACACTGGTTTAGTCATCTGTACACTGTTCTTCTGTTCGTTTCCCCCGCTCTTTTATGCTCTTTTTATTTATTCGGCCATAAAGCTTCATCTCATTAGGAATGGCATATAATGTCTAGTTTATTGGAAGATTTAAATGAGCTTTTGTCTGATTTTAAAAGTTTCGATTTTTTGAAAATTGAGCTCATTTTTCGGAAAAAAAAACGTCGTAGCTCACTTTTCAAAAAACTGATAAAATTCCTAAAAATAGTGAAAATCTTGGAAACCCTTCAAAAATTGCCTAAAAGCTTTTTTAAAATTTTTTTGGAATTTTGCTAAAATTGTTGAAATCCTCAAAGTTCGTGAAAATCCGTCAAAACCTTCGAAAAATGTTTATGAATCCTTTGTAAATCCATGAATTTCCTGAAGTTTCCGAAATTCTTAGAAGTTTCTAAAACTCTTTGGAAAAAACGTGAAAATTCTATTTGAAAATCATAAATTCTTAAAATTCCTAACATTTCTAAAAATCCAGGAAAAACGCTAAAATCTTTTTTTTAAACCTGGAATTTCTAGAATTCTAGAAGTTACCAAAAATGATATAACCCCTGGAATTCTGTAAAGTTCTTGGAATCCTAAACTTCCAGACCTTCTAAAATTCTCGAAAATCTCAAAAACTCTTGAAAATCTCTGAAATCTACCGAAAAAAATCTTAGAAAATCTCCAAAATGTAAATTGGCAAACTCAGTTGTTTATCCAATGTTAAGGTTTCCGATTGGCTCATGAAAGGCTTGATTTTTTTTTGAATATTTCATCAATCTTGAAAATTTGACCGCTCAAATAATTATTCATTCCAAATTTGGATTATTGTCCATTTGAAAACTAATTGTTACAATTTTTCTGATTTTTATCCCATTTATTTTTTCAACAATCCAAGTGACCAATCCCAATTTTCTCCTACTTTCCTTTACAACCCTCAATTTGCAACCATTTCTCCTTCCTGTAAAAACAGTCTGAAACGATCAGTAAAAAAGTTACCGGGTTCAATGTAATTGACCCATAAACTGGCGCATTACCTTGACAAGTCTCTCTCTCTCTCCTCAATCACAGGGTGACGAACGATTGAATGAGAGAGGGAAAAAAGGCGAGTTCGATGACCTTCATGTCTTCCCGACTCGGAATACCGTTATTACTCAATCTCAATCCAAAACACAGTTTTCATTCTAATTTCGAATTTGTAAGGCGGTCTCCAATTTCCTCTGTTTTTGTTCATCTGATCCTCCAAAACCGGTGTTTTCCTCTTGTACAGATTTTCGAATTTATTTGAGATTGCTCTTGGTTTGAATCCAGATTTTTCGAAAATCTCGAGAGGTGCTACCCATCACTTGTATGTTTTTTTTTGTTCACCGCCATTTGTTCGTTGTTATTGTTTGGAAATCGAAATTTTGTGTTATTCGAGTGGACAGTGTAGTGCGAGATGGAAAGATGAATGTACTTACGTATTCAATTTCAACTCGCGGTGGCTTCTTTTCATTGTTCATTTGATTTCCGTTATTTTGAGAACCGTTACATAACCATTACGAATTTTCAGTTCATTTTTCCGCATATCAGTACCGTTATCTGAATTTGCTAAATTCCAATTCATCTTTATTCAAATTTTCAGATACAAAATTATTGTACCCTCACAGCTCAAACCGATCTACATTGTTTCTGGGGTCGAAATGCGGTAAGTCTCTATTCTAAAAACTTGAAAGCGGTGCGATGACAAGCTTGTCACCTAAAAATCTCGAATTGATGATTTTATGTAGTTTCTCGAAACCGACATGATTCGAGACGATCGTTGCTCTTAAGGCAGACATATAGAAAAATGTTCTAAAATTAGGAAATAAATTCGTAGTGTAAGGGATACAGTACCGGGAAGAATGATTTATTTTTCAGTAGAAGAAGGTCAATTTGAGAACACGAATTTATTATAAAATCCAACAAGTTGAAATGAGCAGATTTATAGTTGTTCAAAGTTATAACAAAAATCTATTTTCAGTCAATTATTGGCCATTTTGACCATTTTCAGAAAACTGTAGCTCGGCTGTCAAGATTTGACAATTATGAGAAATTTGGAGGGTGACTTTTCCACGTTTTTAGTTAAAAAATGGGTCAAAAAGAGTGCCTTCCAGGAAATGAAAAAAATCTGAAAAACAAGGAATTTTCAAAAGTTTCTGTGTAAGCGAAGTTTTCAATTCAGGTCTGTTTTATACCGTTCAATATTTTCAAAGTGATCAGAAGCTTGAGTGCTGAGCTCCAGACTCTTGAAAATAGACAAGATAACCGGTAATCAACTGAAAAACACGATTGTTCATACCTGTTTCCTGATTCCAAATTTCTTAATTTCCCATCTGATACTGTATCTAATAGGCGTAACCCAAAACATTAAATTTTTCAGGGATATGCAGCCACCTTCAATGGGTGTCAATGGATTCGGAAGACGAAGTCACAATTTCTCATCTCCATCGCTCGTCGATTACAGATCCCAGCCGCACCATTACGGATCGCAACCAAGCGTAAGAATTGTTTTCTTATTAACGGATATTATTTCATGGACTGTTTCACTATAAATTCATTGCCTAATGGATCATGACTTCATTTTTCACAGAAAACGTCTTCATCTCCACAGAAAATTATTTTCTTTTCCCATAGTACCTTTAATGTTGACAAGTGTCCTAACAAACATTCATAATTTGTGATTCAGTGAGATTAGCAGTTCCCTCTCCCCATACTAGTTATGAATCACATTGTGTTGTGTTTAGCTAATGTGTCACACTCCTCCACACAACACACAAATTGGATTTCAGATAGTACGGAACGGAGGAAGTCAGTCGCCACCCGACTACGCATTACTGTTTGACCAGCCAGTTGTTGTTCTCAGATCCAAGAAGGTGAGTGTTTGATTTTATTCATTCGAAAAGTTTTGGAAGCTTTTAAAAAATCCCTTTAGAATAATTTTCATGCATCACCAGCGTTTTGTTGTTTTATTAGTCAGTGTTTCTATATTTGAAATCTTCCGGAAGACTCGAAATTTATATGCATCGCTACTAAAAAAAGAGATTTTCGCCGAAATTTAGAAATAAAAAGAGAAAAATGCTAAAAATAGATTAAGATGACTTGCAAGTAGCTACGATAGAATTCTGAACAAAATGAGGAAGGAGACAAAAAAATTGATCTTTAAAATTTCAAAATGTTGAAAAATTCGAATTTCCACTTATCGCATAATATACCTTGAATTCAAGGGAATCTGGACTGACAAGTTTGGAAAAAGTTTTTTTTTTCGAATTAATAAGAAAAAGTTTTCAGCTACTGTACCGGTCAATAGGATATACAAAATATGTGTTTTTCAGTTTATGGCCAGATTTTGTACTGAAAATATGAAAGAACCGGTTTCTTTCAGAAATTAGCCGATTTTTAAAAAATATGAATTTTCAAAAAATTCTGTGAATGCCAAGTTTTCAATCTAGAATTGTTTTACATCCTCCAAAATTTTCAAAGTGATCGGACACTTGACAGCCGAGTTCCAGACATTGAAAAATGCTGAAAATCAACTGAAAAACACGTTTTTGTATAGACCGACCGGTACTGTACTTCCTCTAATTCAATGAGATCGAGAGAAACTAAGAAACATGAAAAAAAAAACTTCTAATTGCAGTTTGAAATGTTTTCCATCCAAAACATTTTCTTTGAAGTGCTGTTATCTGACCTAGGAAATTTATAAGCTATATAAACTCAAAAAACTATGATATTTCATTTCCAGATTTTTTTTCAGCCCAGCACAGTCAGATCCGCAAAAGAAGAATCAAGGTTACGCTCACAACAGCCACCGGCAAATATACAGAGAGTTCAAGCAATCCGCAGCCGTCCCCAATCTACAGCATCCTATAACAGTTTAGGTATTCCTCCTTTTTTCTTTAGAAATCCCACATTTTGGTTTTCCAGCATCATCTGGAATGGAGAATATCCAGTGGAGAAACTCCGTAATGTCTTCTATCACTTCCGATAATCGACGACACACTTTATACGACGAGGAGGATAATCCGAGAGTGGTGAGTCCGTTTTTTTGTGGTTGTTATAGGAAAAAAAATTAACAAAAATTATTTATTAGATGTTACCACCAATTGGAAAAGGGGGACGAAGTCTATGTCTCAACATTCTTGCTCTTGACTTTTTCTTAAATTTTGAAAGATGGGATTATAGGAATTAGCGGTAAATTATAGGACTGAATTGTTAAAAAATATGGATTCCATCGGAGAGAAGCGGCTTACTGGATGTAGCCTTCAAAGTCCTGCACCGCGTCGTCGTACTCCTTCTGGGTCACCTCGGGTCTGAAAATGAGATTTATTAGCTGCTTTATCTGAAATCTTTATTTTAACTCACCCTTGCTCATCCAGGGAACGCTTTCCAATGCGGAATCCATAGCGTCCGACAAGCAAGTTACGGCGCTTCTCCAAATCGATGGTATCAGCTGCTCTACTTGCCCTTGTTGACTTTCCTTCTTTCTGAGACTGTTGCCATGCTTCCAGCATTTGATAGGCAAATTTGTTAGGGTCTTCATGCTTATATCCCGGCCAACTAATACTGACTTCAGTTGGGCGGAAAGTAGCGTTCACTAGGAACACAGCTCCAAGGAGCAAGAGTAGAACAATCGGTTTCATTTTTTCCAGAGCCGCTGGGAGTTCTGAAAAGAATGAATGAAGGTTCGTAGTGAAGGTCCGGAGGGCGGGGCTAGAAAGGGGCGGAGCCTCGCAAGAGGCACTTCACATGTCTGGGCCCGTAACTCCTTGGCCGATTTCAAAATGAATCTTGACAGGAGAAGATGTTTGGCCTCAGTCATCTGACGTTCTTTTTTTTCCATTTGGTTTTTTTTAGGATGAGAGAGGAAGAGGAAAAGCGCAAAAATGTTGAGCGGTTTCTGTGTGGAAAAACACACATTCTTCTTTTTTTTTCTTTTTTGAGAAAACGTATTACTTATCAAGGAGAGAGGACCTCGTGGTCCAGTGGCAAAAAAAGCAATCCAGCGAGGAGAAGTCATGAGTCTGCAGGAAAAAAAGAACTCAACTTTTTTATTGGAATGAAGAAAAAAAGAGAGAAAAAAACCAATCAAGAACAGGAAGTCAACAAGACGGACCTTGAGAACATTCGGGAGGAAAATTGTGCACAAAAATTGGGGAAAAAGTGGTTGGGGGAAAGGAAGGAAACCATTCAGCAAAAAAGGTACAGAGAGATAAAGTGAATGAAGAGGCGAGTACTGATTTATTGCCCTTGTGCTTTGTCAAGAGCATGAGCCCGATTTTTTTCTCCTTGATGACGGCCAACTCCTCCATCTCCATCGCCTACCGTAGTCTTTCCGGTGGTTTTGTCAGCACTTCTTTTTCTGGAAAAAACGAGCACTGGAGGGTCCTTTTTTTGATTGATGGGAAGTCAGTTTCTTACCGCTGGGGATTAGAAAAAACGACTGCTTTCTCGAACGCGTTGAGCACTTTATCCATCTTTTGGGGAACGAAAAAGTTAGCGCGTTTTCCAGGACGGGGTCGAGTGAGTGTTGAGGTCCGATAGAATTGGTGAATGTCGTGTCTAAAATAAAATTTTGGAATTTCAGGGAAAAAATGAAAGGTCACTAATTTCTTTCGAAACTTCTCAGACACTGTGGGAGAATCTCAAAAATAGTCTCAAAAATAGAAGTTCTCTGAAAGTTCAAACTCACAAAGTTTCATCCTTCTCCGCTCTTTCAATGACAGTCAACATCTGAAAGAGTTTGTCCAACTCAGCTCTGCTGTCTTCTCTTCTCACTTCTGGAACAGAAGTTTTGAAAAGGCGATCCATACGAAGAATTCTGTCTCTAGAAGCAATTGTATTACCTAACACGTATCTTGTTTATTTTTGTCTTACTTGAACATCAATGAGTCGAGAAATTGAGGGAAAGATCCTGAAAATGGGAACGACGGGAGCATTCTTGGCTTCTCGGCTGAGGCCGGCTTTCGATGAAAGTATGTACTGTATGGATTCTTATAGAGTCCCACTTCATACACCGGTAGGACAGCGTAAGCCTTGGACTTGTAATTGAAGCTATTGAATGGGTTGTCAAGAATCCCCCCAGCGCTCATTTCAGATGGAAACGAGCGTTTGCCATAACGGAATGGAGACCCCTTGGCTGCTTTCATGATACGAGCAACATCACTATAAAACAATAAATGAAAGAAGTAGATTATGAGAAAAAGTGTTGACTTACGTGAAAACTTCATTTCGGGAACGATTGGACACAAACGTTTGAGGAGTGGTTTCTGGCGGAAGAGTGATGTTAAAATTGATGTTCGGTCTTACGGCCTGAAACTGATGAAACTTGATAAGTACCGTATTTCCTATAGTAGACGCTCACCTAAATCGTTATTTTGAGCTTAATTACCTTGGTTCTTATGAGGGATATGGAAAATTTGTAAATTGATAAAGAATTGGTGGTATTATCATGAAAAATTTTACCAGTTGACAATGTACCGATATCTTTTACAGAAATCAAGATAATTAAGCTTAAAGTTGACGGTTTAGACGGGATTCTACTGAAGCAAATACTGTATTCTGTCCAAAACAACTAACCGCAATTGGGAGAGCATCGTAGGGTCCAGCACAGATGGCTAGAATCAGGATTAGGGCCGTTAGACGACCCATTTTCTCAAGTTTTTGAAATTAAGCAATTTCTGGAAATTTCGAAATTTTTAAAGAAATGTTTCAAATTGAAAAACTTGAAAAATGGAAATTCGGAGAAATAGGTTTAAGAAAATAATACAAGTAGGCAGATTTTTCGGAATCTATTTTCTCTACTTAATTTTGAAGTAACTCTTAAAATTTCAATAGTTAGCTCTGAAATGGTAGCTGAGCATCTCTAAACTCGCATATCTTAACTTTTTTGAAATTTGTGCAAGAAATTAATGATTTTTTGTTGAGCTCTTTTTTGTCAAATTCAATCAAGCGTTTTTTTGAAAAGTTCTAGGTTTCTTTCCAGTACAAAAAACAATGTTTCCGTTTAAAAAAACTATGTTTTAAACATCAATTTTAACTCAAAGGCCGAAACATCGGAGACCAGTCGTCTGAGAACCAGCCAGAACTGAAAAAGTGAGACCAGACTAATTTTCTTTTTTTTCGAGATTTTCAAACTTCACTTTCTTTTTCTCATACCATCTTTTGGGGGTGTTAAATTGAGTCTAAATTAGTCTAGCGCCTCCCAAAAACCTTACATCATCCGGAAAACAAAAGGAGCAGCTTTTATGATCCCATTTACACCCACGACTTCTTTGAAAACGTTTTTGCAAGACTACAGTGTTTTGCAGTTCTTAAAACAAAAAATCCCTTTTCTTGTGTGTTCTCTTCTTTATTTGATAGTGATGTTGGCGATGATGATGATTGTGACAGAAAAAATTTGAATACATATAAGACAATAAAACATTTAACATGGGATTCTGATTGAATATCTTTCGAGCATTTAAAAATCAAAGATCATCGTGCGCTTTCCTGGACGGAATCCGGTGCGACCGAAGGCGTTTGATTTTTTCATCAGTGGGAGTCCACGGATCTTGTGACGGAGCACCATTGCGCGGAACGGATCGTTTCGGAAAACACCTTCGTTGTTGACAAGATGGAATCCTTCGAAACTGAACTTGGGATGGGGTTTTTTGTTGAAAACGAACTTTTTGGCGCCCTCGTTGTCCGGGACATTGATGGAGATCTGAAAAAAGCGTTGGGTCAATTCGTGAATGAGAATTACAGGAATATCGGTCCTCGGTAAAAATCTCACACTTTCAACTTTGATCTATGTTACCTTGCTTCCTGTCAGAGATATCAAAAATAAGCACTTCAGGCGTTGCGGCCAATTAATTATCTAGAAGTTACTATTGATATTCAACATTTTGATTATTTTTTCATCGAATTAGGTTTGCAATTTTGGAATTTCTGGGGCGATGCAATAAGGCCACTCTGCATCATTTTACTAAGTTCATGTGAATATTTTCGAACTTTCACCCATTTAGAAACTGATTCTTAAAAAAGGAGCTGAAAGTTCAAAATTAACTGTTTCTCAAAATTACGTTCCAAAAAAAGTCATCTGAAGAAAAATATTGCTTTCAAATTGCTTCAGTAGATCATTAATTCTGGAATATGAAGTTTTCAAGGACTACTTTCATATTCAAATTCGAAAGTATTTCACTTTATTCGCAATTTTGGCACTTGAATCTCTCATTTAACAGTCTTAAACGGAAGAGCCCTACAGTAACCCATGAGCACGAAGTTCTATAGTACCACATGATTAAGAAGTTCTACAGTAGCTCATGATCTAGAAGTGCTGCAGTAACCCATCGTCTAGAAGACTTCGAAAAGTCTAATTGTGATTACTGATCCTCTACCTATAGTCACTACTGCTAAATTAGGAAAGCGAGACGTAACCATTGAAAGTTCTACAGTAGTCCAATCGAAGTTCTAGATTTACCTTCTGAAGTTATAGGAAATAAAAAAAGTACTGTTCGAATCTTATCCCAACTAACCTCTCCATCCTGAATCGGTGGGTAAAACGTGATTGCTTTGACCGCGATGCCCATAGAGAGGAGAACAAGGATGAGTCGAGTCATCCTTGGAGCTGTAATGGTCTGAAAGTTAGAAAATAAGGGGATGATCAGTAAAAAGGTGAAAGGTCTGAAGAAGAAAGAGCAAAGTTAAGACAAGAAGGAAGAACTAGTTCAGCTGAATTGAACGGACATGGCGGCCTTCATTTATACCTATCGAAAAGCTGAAAAATGGGAGGAGCTTAACGGTTCTACCTGACATGCTCATGAACCCCGCCCAATTTCTCCAGAAATACGCATGTGACACCATGGAAACAATTAAAAAAGAGCCGTTAACCGCGCGTTTATGCCTTTTTCCAAAAATTGAGTCCAGGGGATATCGACAAAAATGGCGTTTTGGTGTGACTATACGAATGACGTTTTAGTTTTAGAATGAGGCAAAGAATCGGAGGGATTGGGAACAGAAGTAGTTCATTGGCACAGTTAACAACTCATTGACTAGATATAAAATGTACCTGAAATGCTCTAATCAAAAGCCAATTGCTACCAAAATAGACGAATACGGTTAATTTCAAATTTGCTTTGTAATTAGAGTGAGATATTCACAATTAGTTGTTTTTATGATTTTCGAAAATTTTTAAAACTTTGTTTTCGAGTCAATCTGTGAGCATGGCTGCTCTACTTTTCTGAATCACAACTAGTGACTGAAATCGACCAGATCTGGATTTTTGAACCATCTAAATTTGGTGCGGTTGATTCTAAAAAAGGATCTGGTGATAAGATTCTCAAACTTTGGTTATCTAAAGGGACAGAATTGAGGACTAGTGGATATTTCGGTTTATCGACACATTTTTCAACAAATGTTTTTGGCTGATCGCAAATTCTCAAAGTTTGTCTCCCAATTCGAATTCATACTTTCCGACCTGTACTTCTTCGAAAACGTTATTTTAAGTATCGACAATCGTGTTCTGATGACTTTTTCAATGACCTGAAGCTGAGGCTTCCGATATACTGTGGCAGTGATAGCGTCTCACTGAAGGAGGGAAGAATTAAAAAAGGAGCTGCCAGCAACATATTTATTGAACGTCAAAAAGAGAAGAAAGATCAGAGACAGGAGAAAGAAGATCAAAGAAAAGTCGAAGAAACAACACTATTTATTTCTTCAAAAGACGCCTATGGTTCCCAGATTACAAGTCGAAGAAGCGAGCATGTCGAAGAAGCGATGGACGCCATTGTTTTCCTCCAAGTCCACGCTTTCCTGGTCTCATTCCAGCGCGCCCAATGGCCATGGATCTTTTGACTGGACGAAATCCTCCACGATTGATGTAGAGGCGCTTCTCCATGTCGAGTCCTTCAATTGGCTCCGAATCGTCGCTTGGCAATAATTCCTTGGCGATGTCGTCGTCATTCACATTGTCATCAGCTCCAGCGATGTCGACGTCTTCAAAAGCGTCGGATTAATCCATCTTGCGATCGAAGACCCCGCGCTTCGCGAATTCCGACGCACTCTGAAATCAGAGTAATAAATTACTTTAGCTCTACTAGAGCGGAACAACGGAGTGTCGTTGTTTGGGAGCCGGGAATCTTTCGATGGGGTTGGAAAGTCCTTACTTCTAGCAGCTACTGGTTTAGATCAGACCTGCTATATTTGAAAATTCTACTCAAAGACTACAGTATTCCAAAAAAGACTACAATAGTACAATCCGTTAATTTTGAATTGGTGTTCTTTAAAAAATTCTAGAAACCGTTAGAAACCGTTCTCATCTCGGGTGGCACCACTGGAACTACCGTAAAACCAAGAGAGCCAAGTTGGCCATCTAGATGCGCCCAGTTAGAGTATTTACGGATTGAACGCAACTCACCGGATAGTCGTAGTAGTCTCCTTCAATCGAATAGGCAACAGAGCCGAGCATGGCAACAGCCACGACAAGAAGAGCAAGTTTCATTTTTTCTCAGCGTTGATAAAATGATAAGGTAGATAAGAAAGGAAAGAAGGCTGCTGAAAATTTAGTTCTTTGGATGGGAGAAGGGAGCTCAGTTAGGTAGAAAAGCTGTTATCTAGTAAGAGCGATGAATTTTGCTTCTTCCAGCAGGCCTTTTTATACACACTGGGGCGTGGCTTTGTAGTCCACCTGAAAATGATAGGGTACGCAAATCGTATAGTGGGCGGACCTACCTTGGTTTATCTTGGTCCCACCACGATTCGTATAGTAGGAGCGGGCTACAAATAACTTGTGACATATTTGGAGTTCAGTTCTGGGAACCAAATGATTTTATTTTTAAGATAAAAAATCATTCAAAAAAATCAATACAAGGAGAATAGAGAAATCTGTGAAAAGACAAAGATTGCAGATGAGATTATTAGAGTGGATGTCACATAAAAGAATTGGCAGATGGTAAAAAGACAAAAAAGGAGAAAAATGAATTCCAAAAAATCTTAAAACTTGATGCGGCGAAGCTGACGGAGATGAGCGCTGTGAATCATATTGTGTCCATCCCAAGAGTTGAGCCACGGTCCAAAATGAGATCGCTTTTCTGGGCGCCATGGAGCTCTTCCGATAGCCAAGGATCGTTTTTGGAAACCATGACTGTCGTAGAATCCCTTTCCAAACTTTCCATGCTCCAGTTGGTTGTACTCATCGTCCTCCATGACCAAGAACATGCGGCTTAGTGTGGAGAGTTGCTGTCTGGAGATTTTATACTTTCCTTTCCGTGGCTTCTGTGTCTGTGATTTGTCATCCTCATTCTGTCCTTTCTGATCCTTTCCAGTCCCCTTCAACGGTCCCCAACTCAGATGTGGAAGCACAAGAAAAAAGAAAAGTGGTCTATAATAGCATGATGTCAATTACCATAGGAGTTGGAATCGTTTCCGACACTGACATCATGTGTGGCGCGTTGTCCACTGGTCTATAATGATGATAATCATATCCAAGGAGAGGAGAAAAACTGGACTTACGTTTCTCCCAAGCGAATAAAAGTAGAGAGCCACAAAAATCACTGCAGTCACAAGCAGCGCCTTGAACATCCCGTTAAGAGCCGGATGCCGCTGACAAATGGGTGGTGCTAATAATCAGTAAGGTTGTTTTTATAGTCCGCTCGAAGCTGGGCGGGATATCTGCGTGCGTAGGGTGGTGACAAAAAAAAAGGAAAATGTGTGGGGTTTGTGAAGATTTCTGAAACTACAAAAATGAAAATGAAATCTGAAAAGGAAAACAGGAAGGAAAGCTACTGTAATCTAGAAGAGCAATACCTTGAATAGCAAGTTTTATTGATTAAATGGATAACAAAAAGAAAAACAAGTGTGTCAGAAAAATGCGCCTGACTCGTGACCAAGTTGATTAACTTTCAGAGCACTGAAACATTGGTATTGAGTTGACTGGATAAGTTTAAGAGTTTCTGAAAAGGGGTGGAGCGGTGAATGTCACGAGGGCTGATCTACCGTATCTTTTAGAGCCTATCCGTGCCCTTTGAGCTCAAGTATCTCGATTTCTATGAGAGACATCAAAAATATGTTAACTGATCAAATATCGGTGGTATGATGATGCATAACTCACCATTTACGCTTCTATTACAGGTCTTAGAGTAGACGGACATTTGTTAAAGTTTGAACATAGTAACGATTCTTTGAAATCTGATAAATATTGAGTCTAGATGTTAAAAAAATCTGAAAAATCGGATTTCTGGAAAAAAAAGTCAGAAGCGGTGACCGATTTTTTTATTGCGACAACTACCGTAACCTATAATTTTTTTTTGAAGAAAAAGACTTCAGAGATTTCGAGTATATTCCAGATTTATACGCTAGTCCCTGTAGTCAATATTTTAGATCTGAATGCCAACAATCCTAAATTTCCCAGATTCTCTTCGGTTATTTGCTCCTGAACTGCTTTTTGGGGGGCTCCGAGACTGCACTAGCCCATTTTCGATCCCAGTCAAACTTTTCCGTATCCTTCGGACCCTTTAAATATCCCATTACCCTCCAAACCATAATGTTCTTTTAACATCTACCCGGTTCACCTAAACCTAGTAATTAACAGGGAACGACTTTATTTCGGGAAATCTGGCAGATCGCTTGTACATGAAGATGTTATTGGTTTTCAGAGAAGGATGGATGGAAAGAAAATGACGAGAGAGGCGAGATGGAGGGAGGGTGATTAAATTACAAAATATTGATAACTTAAATTACAAAGCGATTTGGGGGAGGAATCTGGATCTGGATTTAGAGGATGAAGATTTCTGGAACGTGCTGTGGCATGACTTCCACGAGTTCGGCGCTTCTTTTTCCTGGGCGGAATCCTTGACGACCGTATGCCATTGAGCGCTTTCCTGGGCGGAATCCCTGACGTCCGTAAGCCATGGATCGCTTTCCTGGACGGAATCCTTGACGTCCGTAAGCCATTGACCGCTTTCCTGGGCGAAGTCCGAGTCTTCCCATTGCCATTGACCGTTTCATGATGAGTCCGCTGAAAGAAATAGTTGTTCGGGTTTTAAGAAGCCAGAAAAATGTTTAGACTGTCTCAAAAAACCCAAACAGAACATGGAAACCTGAAAATTTTTACCTGACGTCGATGGTGTGGAAATTGTCCATTCCTCCTGGTCCGCTGCGCTTTCCTGGACGGAATCCGCTTCTACCGAGTGCGATGCTGCGTTTGCCCATGGCTCCTTCTGTGTATTCCTCCTCTTGCTTCCAGTCATCGTCGACGGAATCCGGAACTTCCTCCAACGAAGGTCCTTCGAGGACAACAACGTCCACGGACTGAAAATGTAGGGACTAATTGCTGGATTAGACTACCTAGATGTGCCCTACAGTAACTCGCGCAGCTTATGTGAGAGTCAGAAAAAATTCGAAGAACTAAACTTATCCTACTGTAACTTAGACCTATCCTACTATTACCTAGATCTATCATAATATGACCTTGGCTTATCCTACTGTAGCCTGTAATCGAAGTTCAACAAAAAAAACACTTGCCGGGTTCTCATCCAAGATGTCCTGTGGCGCGGCACCAACGTAGATGACGTAGATCAACGCAAGGAGAACCAGCGAAGCTCTCATCTTGCGAAGAAAACGGGAAAGGAGGAAAATGAGAACCGAAGAGAGGGCTCGAGGTATGCGAGCTGAAAACAATGAGTATTACAATGGATGGCCGATCCTCTTTTATATGGAGTGGGCGGAGTTTCGAGATGAAGATAGTAAAGGGACCCATGAGAGGAGATTCGACACTGAGAACGAGAAATGCGCGAGATTCTTGTGTGGGGGCAAGAAACGAATGAAACGCGCGGGCGGGTCGCTTCTTCTGATTGGCTCCGTATATGTTTTGCTCGGTGACGTTGATCATAAGAATGAGAATATTGAATACAGAATTCGTTGAGGTGGAACGATAAGTAATGGAAATTCGAGAACATGGGAAGTATAGTCAGTAATTACTATTTTTGAAAACTGACCAAATAAAATAACTGGTTCCAAAAACAGTTTTTAAAAATACGGTGATTCCTAAAAATATTTTCAATAAATTTCAAATTCCAAAATATTCCGAGATGTACAAGGTGAGCTTCGATGTTTTGACAGGACCTGACTATCGTAGACAATAATAGTACCAGTTGGCGACCCATCTAGCTCCCCTGGGATAATCGTACAATCAAGGTTACCAGATAATCATAACATGTTTTGATAGCGCGCCATTTAGAAATCGAGATTCACATTTAATAAATTGTAATTTGCATTGTTCTGTGAATTGGGGGACACAATAATTTTTCTTTTTTTTTCAGGCTCGTCTAGAATATTTCCAAGGCGAGGAAAGTGAAATGCTGAAACGTGGTCAGGATCAAGCGACAAAACTACTGGAGTGGTATAAGGAGCGACTATTGTCGGTACAGAAGAAAGCGCGACTTCTTCAACAAGGGAGTGTCTCATTGGTTAGTACAAGTCATAAAGTACAAGTTAGAAAGTACAAGTCTAGATGACTAGGATTATCAAAATGACAACATATTGTTTTGTTTTCCGTTATCTCGAAAAAATGGTTATGGCCCACGTCCTTAGGATCTCTAGGGTGCACTATTTTTGATGGACTTCTAGTTTTTCAGATAAAGTAGTCTGAAAATAATATGATGTCATTTGAATAGAAATTGATATTCTTTTTGGTTCGATTTTAGGAAAATCTGGATACAGTAGACAGAAGCTTAAGACAAACTACAGTAGGACTTGCTGTTTTTGGGCATTCATAGAGCATTTTAAAGCTACAGTACTTGTCAATAAAATATAGGAAAACAGTATTTTTCAGTTGATTTTCGGTCATTTTGACCATTTCCAGGAGTTTGGGGCTCGACTGTCGTTTCCGATCACATTGAAAATATTGGAGGATGTAAAACAGACCTAGATTGAAAACTTCGGCTTCACAGAAAATTTTGCAAATTTCTAGTTTATCAGCTATTTGTCGAATCATGAAAGACATCTTTTTTTTTCATGTTTTCAGTACAAAAACGAGCCCAAAAGAAGTGTCATTCAGAAATCATCTAAAAATTTAGGAGTTTTCTAAATACTCCAGGTTATTGATTGCAGTAATTCTAATCTAGGTCTCTTTTACATTGCTTAAAAATTTCAGACTGATCGGAAATTTTATATCCGAGCTTTAGACTTCTGAAAATGGTCAAAATGGTTAAAGGTCAGCTGTGAATTACGCTATTGTGTTTCTGATTGACCAGTACTCTATGAGCTCTGTGAAATGACCAATGTGAGGATAGAAATAAACTAGCTTGTTGCTCCACTTGAAGGTACAGTAGACTTCTAGGGTACCGTAATCCTCAATAAACCAATCATCTTGTTTCACCTCATAAACCAATCAAGAGCAAGAAATCGAGACCTGTGATTATTCGTACAGCTCGTTATCTTTTTTTCCAGAAAAAAAACCCCATAGGACAACGTCACCCCGCAATTAATCCAATCTTCTCTACCTGCCCCCATAAAATATTATGGGGTTTTTTGCTTCTTTTTCCTTTCCTTCGAGAAAATTGGATTGAGGCTCTATCTTTTTAGTTAGAGCCGATAGAGGAGAGGTTCAGAAGGGGACCAACTTCCAAAATAAAAAATTTCGATTCTCAAAAAAATAAAAATCAAAAATGAGTAAGAAAATGACGACGATGTTATCGACTAACTCTACTTATATAGGTTCTTACTAGTTCTGACCAAATTTTTGAGTTTTGGATTACTAAGTCCGCCCAAAACTACAATCGCCCTTGTCTTTTTGTCAAATGTCACGTTATCATCAATAATCAGTGGGAGTACTCGATTGAATCTACATTTTCTAACCGATAAACAAGTACACTCATTCCAGGATCCGGCTGTCCATGAGCAGAAGCTTAACTTCCTTCGTGCCCACATCACAGAGCTCAATCGACGTATACTCGCAGTGATGGAGACCAGTGATAAGGGATTCCCGGCTCACCACAATCGAACTGTATGTTTTAGCTTTCATATTCTTCGTGATCTCGGTGCGTCAGCTACCGTAGTCCTCTGACTCGCTGGATTAAATTTCGCTCAGATGGGGCCAAATGTAGTTTATCATGCGCGTTTCACCAATATTATTTTTCTCGCTGTACAACTACACTTTTTTGTATGAGATGAGTGGGAAGCTCGTGACTGATAGCTGCGGATTAGCAATAGGAATCTGGAGTTGAGGAATGGCAAAGGGAAGGGATGCGTGGGTGTCAAAATGAAAACCAGTGGTGATAGTTTCAATTCAGATTTCAATACAACACACACACACAGAATGTTCAGTCGATTTTTGGCCATTTTCAGGGGTCTTCGACTGTCAAGTTTCCGATAACTTTTAAAGTTTCAGTAGGTGAAAACAGATCTAGATTGAGAAGTTTGCGTTCACATAATTTTTTGAAAATTCCTAATTGTTCAGCTGTTTGCCGATTTCTGAAATACGTCTCTTTTTTCACGCTCTCAGTGCAGAAATGAGCCAAATAGAGATTCTTTCCGAAATCGGCAAATAGCTGAAAAACTATCGATTTTGCATAAATTATGTAAATGCAATGTTATCTAGGTCTGTTCTCCATCATCTAATGTTTTTACAATAATCGGAAACTTAACAGTCGAGCTCCTGTCTTCTAAAAATGGTCAAAAAACCAAAAATCAAATGAAAAACAGGTCTTGTATATTTTTTTTATCGGTACTGTAGGTCGTAATCTTCACTTGAGATTTTGGAATACAGTACTGAATGAAACACAATATTTCATCGAATTCCATTCTGATATGTTGTTTGTAACAAAAACCATACTTCTTCAAAAATCAAAAAAATCTTTTCACATTTGAGAAAAATCTGAAACTCCAGGAAATTTTCAATTTTTTTCAGTGAATTATTTTTATTGACTCCTAATACTGGAAGGATACTAGAAACCCGAACCGGACTTCATTTATTCTTCAATGTCAAACATTCGCTAATTCCAATATTTTCCAGACATCAAATGGTCCATCAAATGGCGCGAATGACGATCAGTTGGTGTGGCTCCATCGTCAGAATCAACGCTTAAATCAGGTGAGAGAAACAATAGCTTTTCTGACGTCACAATCTCTCTTCCATTGCCCTTCTCATCAAAAATTTCGAAGTTTAAAAATAAACATTGGGGGTCAAGGTGGGGGAGATTGAGTGCAGCAACAATCAGTTGTCATTTGACATGTAGATCCAACTTGACATGATAAATCATTGTTGTTTTATGCTATCTTCTTATCATTGCTTTTTCCAGGAGCTCGCCGAGAAAACGCAAATGATTGATCAGCTGAAAAGAGAGAACGAGATGGTCAAGAAGAACCAAGTTCAAAGAGTGGACAGGTATTGTTGGAATCGTCTTTTTATGCCGGATATTTCTTCTTGATTTTTCAGAAGTGTTCCAATCTTGCGACCATCTGCTTTCGTTCGCCCAGCTTATCAGATCCCGGCGATCATCAATAACAACAATCACCCGAAAAACCCATCACCGCATAAGATTTATGATACTTTGATGTAACTTTCTGACTTTATCAATTTCTCAATTTCACACAAAAACCCGCGTCTCCGAGAGAAAAAATATAATAATACCATTTTTCTTTATTGCCCTATTGCACCAATTTTGCTATTCTGAATCCTTATCCGGAGCTTGTTCATAATGAAGCATCTATGTGTAGTTATTTTTTTCCTTTTTTCTTGATGTTAAAATCATTAAAACCAAACATCTGCTGCAACTTCGTTTTGTATGGTGAGAATTGGATTTTGAACGTTGTCCAAATGGCTTTACAACTACATTAAATCGAAAAACTCGGGATTAGTGGGATGAGAGAGATACGGAAAAAAATTTTTTCTGGCAGGCAGGTTCTCTCAGATCTCATCAATAAAGTTTTTGGTGGGGAGTGTCAAGAATAAGAAAAAGTTCCCCTTGCCAGATCCCATTTTTCATTTTATCCCTATTCTCATCGCGTTAAAGTGAGTGGGGGAGAAATCAAAACAATGGGTGTCCCACTGTTTGAAAAACAGACCCATTGAATGTCTTGTTTGCAATGTTGGACTACCTGACATCTATACGAGCTACAGTAAGACGTCAGCCACAAAAGCAAAGTACTCGAAAGTGTTATTTCAAGAAAAAAAAGAAGCAACAGCGACATGATGAAGAAGTTGATCGAATCGTTTTGTTTTGTCATCTCATCTCTCATCTAATCACTTTGATAGCACAATTTATGAGTTCGAAGGACCCTCCCCTCACATCCAGGTGTCTCTTTGATTCCCTCTATCGCTTTTTTTCTCACCAACTGTTCATTCTGTGTGTGATTACGCGAATTGATATCAATCGGAGAGAAACCAGGTCTCTGCTATTGTTTCAAAAGTGTCTTTTTCTTTTCTTCTTTTCAAAACAGTTGTCATTGTGAGATGGATTAACCCGCAATCGGTTTTATAAACATTATCTCAGGCAGACCAATTTTTTTGGTTTTTTTTTTCTGGGCGGAGGTCGATTTTGCATCTCAGAATGATGAACACTTTCCGGGAGTTCTCCAGTCTTCTTGTTACTTTTTTCCTTTACTTTTAGTTTTTTCTTCTTTCTTCTCCTCTAAATAAACATACCAAGTTTATTCGTTTTTCATTACTAGACCAGTTGCTTCCTGAGAAATAAAAGTTCCATATCCATATAAAAAAAGAAATTTCATAAAAAAATTGGCTAGCCATAAGTTTCTTTTTTGTTTCTTGTTACTCATCCACCCCCAATTTTATTACCACCCTCCACACTGACATCCGAAACCTACCCAACCTTTTTTATGCGGTTGACGATCCCATTCGAGTCCCATCTCCGGCGCAGAGGTCATACATAGTGTGAGCGCAACCTGAGATCTTGCTACTCATTTCCGTGCCCACCTCCATCGAAAAATTTCCTTTTCTTTCTTTTTTTCTAGAAACAAAAAATTATTTTGTCTTCCGCTTGTCAACTTGACAGACGACTTCGTCAGAGACGACGACGTATGAAGCGCCAAAAATGTGATCCTTCTCAAATTACACCCTAAATTGCGTGATACAGGTGTCCTGGTGTGGTTTCAATATCAATCTTTAATTTTTGACGTTTTATGGTTTGTTAGTCAGTGCAAATTGACTTTCTATGTTTGCTAGGAAATTCCAATTTTTGAAATGGTGGTTCTCGGTTTTTCAAAATTATCAGTTTTCAATAAAGAAACTGATTTTTCTTTCTCCACTATCGACAATTGAAACTAACTTGACAAGTTCTGAATTTTAAATATTATTTTTGAAAATGTATTGAAATTTCGAATTAATTGCCGTGAATGCCTATCCTAAGCTTTACATGTATCTCGGTTCCTATAAGAGTTATCAAAAATCCGCTCCCTTCTTCCCTCAAATACCGTAGCGATTGCGCACCCCCATTTTTGACATTTTGTAAAAATTTTCTTTGAAAGCTCCTGACTAGGTTCATTTCCGTCCGTTTTGGCTAATTTTTTTTTAATCTCTCTGGCTACGCGGTCACCCAAAATCGTTAAAAGTTGTACCGTTTGAACCGAGATATGACAACGAATGTACAAGTGGATCCGATTTTTTTTTCGGGTATTCCAGTTTTTTTTCTGCCGAACTAGGAAAAGCCATTCGATGCGTAATTCTGATAGCTGAAATATAAAAAAAAAGAAAACTGGATTTGCTCGAAAATTGAAAGAGTTAATAGGTTTTGAGTGAAAAATTAATGAATTGATTTGGGGGACATGTTAAAGGGCCAAAGGCCCTGTCCGGTCTGTTTGACCTGAGCGAGCAAAGGGAGAACTGATTCCACCTACAACATAGCCGTGCCTAGCGGAGTCGGCCGTAGGCCGAGGACGCTAGTCTGTTAACTGATAAAATTTTGGAGGTTTTATGATGAATAAATTATTAGTTAAAACTTTTTTGATATCTTTTGAAGGAACCGAGATAATTGAGCTTAAAGTACACGTAGGGTGGGCTTCTACTGGAGCATGTACGATGACTGGTAACATTAAAATTAAAATCTTACCTGAATTATTGAATGTAAAAAATCCAAATTTATGAATTACACCCAGATAGAAAATTAAAATCCAGCTCTTTTGTTTTTTCAAGCTTTTATTTTGCAATGAAATTCAAAACTTGAAAAAAAATCTGACCGAATCTGTTACCGTACTACATACTCTTTCTTTGAGCTTAATTATCTAGATTTCTAGAAGCGATTCAAATAGTTGGTCAACTGATACAATAATTTTCTCCATATCCGTTTAACTTTTACAATTTGCCATTTTTATATCTCCCACAGAAAATGGGATAATGGATCTCAGAACCAACATTTCATTCCTTGGTCCTATTTCCTTCAGACTAGGTCAAAAGTACAAGCACGTCCCTTATTGTTAATTCGTTCCTTCCTCTTGCAGTTTGAAAATCAAGGATGTGCATAAAGAAACCATTTTATCCATGCTTCAAAAACTTCCAAAGAAGTGCATAGGTTATCCTGGCGGGTGGCAACAGTTGGTGACCTTTCAACCTAACCTCCCGCCAAAAACTAAAAAGTTGAACCCACGTCATTGTTCTTCAACAGGGCAAAAAAGTTGCGAAAAGGTGACGCTACTTGAACATCCCATTAGGTATTCAAGACGATCATAGAGGGATATCACGTTTTCCATATTTTCAAACACCAACCTTTCTGAACTTTTTATTTCGTTTCGTTTTTCTTCCTTCTCACAGACATTCATGGATTTCGGATTATTCTCAAATTGCAAAATTATTCTCACAGCGAGTTTCAAATATTGTTTGCACTCGATTGAAATCTAGTCCATTCTCTTCGCTCCAAATCCCATACTTAAATGTTATCCTTTTTGGAAGATTAGGAAAGTCAAAAGATTCATTTTCATTGCTCTGTTTATCAACCCTAATTCAAAAATTGCGGTTCAGCACTTTACAAACTTCAAATAAGGACAAATGTCATGATCATTGAAATTTTCAAATCTAGACGAAAAGAAATTCACTTAATTATGCCGTGCGAAGAACTTTGATTCTTCTAGGATTATGAGACATGTAAAACACACAAAAACTTGTTGCTGTTGCAAAAGAATAACTTGAAACTTTTTGGAAATTTGAGAATAATTTTGAAAACGACACCCCCCCCCCTTGCTAGCTTGTTGTGCATAATTGATGGAAACTACTTTCCATGGAACACAAAAATCGTTAGGTTCAAGTTTTGAGTTTGTCGAATTTTGATGACTTTTGAAATGTTTCTTTGAGTCAAAAATTATTTTCCAAATTTTGAGTGAAATGAGTCAAAATGAAAATGCACCCTAATTACAGTGAATTGTTGCTGACATTTTGAAAATTGAAAATGTAAACAACGATTTTGAAACTTCAAATTAACCATACTTGTAAAATTCCGGGCCGGGCCTGAGGAAAATTTCAAGGCCCGGGCCCGGCCCGGAAGGCCCGGTAGCAAAAATTTCGAACCGAATTTTGAGCTCTCAATACAATTTTCTATATTTTTAGTGCTTTTTGGATTGTTTGTCTGTTTGAAATTAACATTTTCGCATCTTATTTAAGCTTCAAAGATTTGAAAATTTCATCTACGGTACCGGTCCTTAAAATATGCAAAAACGTATTTTTTCAGTTTTTATTCGGCCAATTTTATCATTTAAAAATTCTGGAACCCAGCTGTCGGGTTTCCCATCCTTTCGAAAAATTCGGAGGGTTGAAATATATCTAGATTGAAAATTTTGCCTTTACAGAATTTTTCGAAAGTTTTGAAGTTTTTCAGATATTTTTGCCAATTTCAAGACACCTGTGTTTCCATGTTTGCAGTATAAAATGGGTTGAAAAAAGTCTTTCGGAAATCTGCAAATAGTTGAAAAACTGGGAAAATTCCAGCAATTTTGTGAATTCTAAGTTTTTCATTTAGGTCTGTTTTACACTCTCAAGAGTTTTCAAAAAAAAATCGGTATCTTGACATCAGATCTCTGAAAATGGTCAAAAAAACCGAAAATCAACCGTAAATCACGTTTCGTATGTCTTATTGGCCGTTACTGTATGTTCTACTAATTTTTAAAGTTTCTAAAATATTTGATTATTTTTTATTCCAGATTTCAAAACTGTGGTTTTCACCATGCTTGTAATCCGGTCCTTTGCCGGTCCTTCGCCGGCCCTGTCATATCTTTTTTCAGAATGATTATTTTCTAACCAGCTGAATCAAATATGATAGAACTCGACGAGTACTACAGAACGATACTATTTGGAAAACTGAATCTTGTCTATGAACAAAGTTACTGGTCATAAAGTGGCTTTGCCAGGACGTGCCGAGCCCGGCCGGGCCTGCTTTTTTCGTTCCTTTTCGTCTGGAACTTTTTTCATAGACAAAATACAGTTTTTCAAATAGTATCATTTTGTAGTACTCGTAGAGTTCTATCATATCTGATTCAGCTGGTTAGAAAATAATCATTCTGAAAAAAGATATGGCAGGGCCCGCGAAGGCCCGGCAAGGGCCCGGATCAAAAGTATGGTTTACACTTTCAATTTCGCAAATTTCAAAAAAGTTTTATTTTTTCTGAGTTTCCCAGCTTCCAAACTCACAAATTCAGTCATAGATTCATCCGAGTTCATCTTGAGTGCATCTTCCACCCACCAAAACTCTCTATTCATGAAACAATGTGACAACTAGCCCGGACAATCATAGCTTCCGGCTGGTTATCTCACTCAAAAATAGAATTGACCGTCGGCCGCTTTCTTGTACACTTTTGACATTGTCTAGGCGTGTGTGGGGAGAAAAAGGGACTACTCAATTTTAATGCATTCATGAAAGAAACCAACACACATACAAATACACACACATTCCATTTCTTCCTATCACAAACAAAGCAATTTTCAGCGCCCCCCCCCCTTTTGTGGCCCACCTTAAATTCGAAACTACTACACCTAAAATTAGTTCCTGAATTTTTTTGGTCACCTTCGCGTCACTCCCGACGTTACTTCCTACTGCATATTTCACAAAGTCACACCTATTGTCTTCATTTCGGCCCACGCAGAATTTTTTGTTTGTTCGTTTGGAAAACCTACAAAATCTGAAAGTGTTGCATTTTTGAATAAAATCGCACTTGCACATGAACCCATTTGTCAAATTGAACCCGAAAAGGGAAAATTCCTCCTGTTTCCCTAAACCTTTATAGTGTGCACGCATTTTTTGATGTCGTCACAAAATAGTCGCTCTTATGACCTACCTTGACCGCATACGGTTTGTTTACTTAGGAATTTGAGAATTGCATCTTTCGACCCCCAGGAAAAAGAAAATAAAACAATCAAAGCTTTGGCGGGAAAATGTCAGAAATGTGAAAAAGGATAATGAGAAGTAATCCTCAATTTTTTCCCAGACGTGATTAGGAAATAAAAATGTGGCTGTGACTCATGTGATTAACTTCCACTTTCCATTTCCGGAGCAAAATTTCCGAGCAAATCATCAAAACTTTCTTATATTTCGTAGATCAAAAGATGCTAGATTGAATGAGACTAAATTAAGCAACATTATGAAGGTCCTAGGCGGATATTTCGAACTTACATAGTATAATCATCTTGTCAAGTTTCAAATGTCACACTTTCAGAAGAAAAAAAGTATAGTGACAACTTTTCAGAAGTCAGTGAAAGCTCTCCATTTTCTATTCAGCATCCAAACCATGTTATCTTTGAACCTTTGGCTTTAAAATAGACAACGAAAAACGGCTGTACGTTTCTCCGAGACTCAAAATTCGCGAACCTCCAGATTTGCCATTTTTTATATTCACAACAGAATGTGTCACCGTTTATAAAATATTCTCCCCTGAATCTTTTGTTAGGATCCCTTGTGCAGGGGCAGACCCTAACCACATTTATCGCCCCTCCTTACTCAATCTTGACCTCGTTGGTCACATACTTTGTGCTTTTTTCTACACTTTTCTCAATTCAGACACTTTTTTTCCAAATGTGTTGCATCAGAAACCGCTAGACACACAAAAAATTCCAAAAAAAGGATTCGGGCTCGAAATTATGTGTGCAGGGCGAGGTGGACCAGCAATTTTCCAAGCCTCCAGTTTAGCCTTAATTATCCTCGAGATTTTTCGAAAGGGCAAGGATGTGTTTTGACCATGATGACATTTATGGTCAAAGTTCTCAATAGTAGGTGGCCTTTAACCTAAAGATACAAGCCCCTCGTTTGAAAACTATTCAGATGAAATCTCATATTGACCAGTATGTGGACCTTTAGAAGTGGCCTCTTGTCAAAAACTTTTTTCTGAAGATTGTTGAGCAAGATTCATCATTTTTTCACTCATCTTTTTGTTCTCCAAAGTCTGATGTGTAGGTTATTTTTGTTTTGGGTCCAACAAGTGAAATCGAAAGTTCTATAAATTACGAAAATTTCGAGTGTACAGTAGTCGCTAAATTTGGAAGCGTATTTTTTCTGGTAGGGGCTCAGCATATACGATATATCAAACATCTATCAACTGATAAAACATTAGTGATATTATGATGAATAATTTATCAGTTGACAAATTTTCGCTATCAATGCATATAGGGTAGTCTTCTACTAGAGCAAGTACGGTATCTCGGAATTGTTGGAGATTTGAAATCATTCTAAATTGAGCGGGAATTTGAAAGTTCAGACACCTGTCTCTGATAGATTAAAAAAACTTTTCTGATCCGATTTCCAGAGATGTTGGAAATTTAGAATTCATTCAAAATTATAATTTTTTCTGATGATGTTTAATAACCAGAAATGACTTTTCCCAATTTAAAAGTTTCAGAATCCCTAAACCCAACCGCTCAATCTGAGAACCCCCCGAAATATCCGGTTCCTTTTATATTGTTTTTAAAATCCCAACTTCTGAATTATAGTGATGTAACCTGATCAGAAACCTTCTTGTTCCGATTTTCAAATTCTCGAAATCCCATCCATCTTGACGCCTAGACGTTTTCCAACTGTCTCAAATTTGCATTTTCTCCATTCACTCCTTTTTTTTTCTCGAAAATCCATCCCAATTTCGAAAAGAAAAGCGAAAAACTGCACCTGATTTTTGGTGTCATCAACCCACTTCTTCCTACCAATTTGTCTTTTGTCGAAGAGCTCGAGCTCTTTTCACACTTCTCCATATCTCATCGCGCATCATGCCAAATTTTAGGATGGAGAGGCTACGAACGGATTGAACATAAAACCCGAGATTGAACTACTACTACAAGACGAGTACTTGTTTGATATTAACCATTTTTTTTTCCATCCATTACCAACTTCTTTTTCATCTTGTTCTTCTCCTCCTCCTTCTGCTTCTTCTTCCTCTTCTTCTTGCTAGTTCTACATCCTACAGCTTCTCTGCTTTGCTCGTGTTTTTTCATGTTTCCAGTGCATGGTGGGATGGGATGGAACTTACTTTTATATTGGTTCGAAATGACTATCGAGAGCAATAAACAAATGATTACTCATTCAGAAAAGAAAGTCCCTTGTCTCTTTTTTCTCCCATTTCTTCCTTTTTTATTAGGATCCTTTATTAAGATCCATGTCTGTGTCGTTCCTTGAATCCGACCTTCGATTCTTGGAAGACAGACTCCGGAGCATAGAAAAAAGTAGATGTTGACACCTTTACTTTTTTCCAATTTTCCGTCAGGTGTCAAAAAACAGACATAAATGGGGTCTGTGTCCAGAGGCAACGTTCGTTTGTTTGGGTCTAGTAACTCTAGCTACCGGGACCCGGTTGACGTGTACTTCCAAATATATAAGCCTTGATTCCAAACCTTTTTTATGGAAACCGATGCACTAAGTTTTTTTGCACACATAAATCCTCATGATGAGATCTCAATCATTCTGCATACTGATTGAGAAGGCTCCCCTTTCCTCGACATTTCCGGCTTCTTCACACTTCATTACCATATTTTTTTCTCTCTCTATAACTTTAATTTTTTCCTTCTCCCACGTGAGATTCTCTAGACATTTCAATTGATTTCCGAGTCAGTTGAAAAAAGCGAAAAAAAGGAAGGAGGCGCTTCCCTCTTCCTTTTTTGCCGATGGTGGTGGTGGTGGTGACGTTCCTTGGTCCCGCCTCCAGAAGGAGGGTGCCAGCTCATCCGGCTTTCGGCGATGCCTTTTGACCTCAGGAGGTGCTTTTCCCCTATGCATGCGCATATGATTTTCTTACTGTAGCATGTTGACTTCTGGGATTTGTCTAGTTGTTTTTTCAGATGTCTTCTATTGAATTGGTGAAAGGTAGGCTTTAGGTTTTTAGGGAATTCATGAATTATTTACACCAAATTCGAAAGACCAACAGCACTTTTTCTGTGGTCACTCTAGTTATTGGAAAGTTGATAGAAATAGAAGCTCGATGTTAAAAAAAAGGAAAAAAAACCCCAAAACAAAAGTTCTGATATTGGTTCCTCATCCACCTTCAACTTTGTCCTGGAAAGCCATTGATTTGAGAAAGATGGATTTTCAGATATTTCGATATTTTTCCTTTTGTATTAGTTCCCAAAGTTCTATTTTACATACAGTACCAGCCAATAAGATATACAATACCACATTTTTCAGTTGATTTTCGACAATTTGACTGTTTTTCAGGAATCTGGAGCTCGGCTGTCAAGTTTCCGGACACTTTGAAAATTTTGGAGAATGTAAAACAGGCCTAGATTGAAAACTTTGCATTTACAGAATTTTTTGAAAATTCTAAGTTTTTCAACTATTTGTCGATTTCTGACGGACACCCTTTTTGTCCCGTCTGTGCACTGAAAACATGAAAAAATCATGTGGTATCCAGTAATCGGCAAATAGCTAAAAAACTAGAAAATTTCAAAAACTCTGTGAATTCAACATTTTCGATTTAGGTATGTTCTACACTTTTCAAAATTATCAAACTGAACTCGAGAGCAGATCTCTAGACTCTTGAAAAATTGACAAAACTACCACAAATCAACTGAACGTCAAGTTTTTTTATACCTCATTAACCGAAACTATATAACTTTTCCAGCTGATTGATACGATATCTCAAAATTCTAAATTTCTTCTTATTTCTTTTTTCTTGGAACTTCTCCACAGCCGTGAATACCAGTTCTATAAACAAGCTATTTTTTTCTTTTCCTTTTTATTGAAAACTAAATAAATTAGACGAGACATAAGCTCCTGCAGTGAATGATTCAACCCCTCCTTTATTTTCGTGTACTTTGTTTTTTTTTCTTTTGGTTGGTTTTTTGGGTTCTTTCAAATTATTCGAGAATTTCCAGAATTCTCGCAATTAGAATAGCTGAGAAAATTACAGGGCGGCGTTTTCGGATAATGGGCTACAGTAGGCAAGGTGGGAAATTATAGGATCCTTTTTTTCATTTCCTCATCTTCATTCTGGAAATTTTACATTTTTCTCCTTTTTCTTTTTCTTTGTGTTTCTTGTCATTCATATTGTCAAACATCAAAATAGAGAGAATAGAGAGTTTTTGGCCTCGGAAGACAAAAATGTTTATAGGATTGGGATGATGAACAGCCGCTTCGTCGTCCCCCAAAAGAATTTTGCAAAATTTTGACCAGGGTCAGTTATGCTCTTTCTTTATGATTTTTGTGCGACGTCACCAAACATTTTTGCTCTTTTTAGAAAACTGTGAAAATTAACGGATTTTCAAAAGAAAAACTTTCCGGGATATACTTGTAAATTTTGGTGCAATTGGCCCAGCCCATTGGCCCGGATGCCGGTTTTTTCTGTTGAAGTTAGAGGAAATATTGTTGAAAAGATAGTTTTGAAGTTTCGGAGGGCCCTTTTATTACAGGGGCCCTTCCATTATATGGGGGCCCTTCTTTTTTTCCAGCCAGTTTTTTCCAAAATTTTGCATCGATAAATTCGACGAAGTTTTGTTCAAAATTCTTGAAAATCTGCCAATTTCACAAAAATTTAGCAAGGTTTTAATCGAAAAATAGATTCTCAAAAAAATTTCTATCAAATTGTCGAGTTTCCGGAATATTTTCCACTGAAAAAGTACGGAAATTTTCTGATTTCAAAACGGTTTTTTTGTAGGGGGCTCTTTTATTACGGGGTCCCTTCTATTTTTCCAAGCCACTCTCGGAGGGCCCTTCTAATACAAGTTTTACGATATATGAAAAAAAAAAAGAAATGTTAATGAAGAACCACAAAAAAACCAATTTTCTACCAAAAATGACCTTTTTAAAAATTTGCCCCAGTCTGGAACTCTGCTGTCAAGTTTTAGATCACTTTGAAAATTTTGGAGGATGTAAAACAGACCTAGATTGAAAACTTTGCATGCCTAGAATTCTTCGAAAATTCCTAGTTTTTTCAGTTATTTGCCGGTTTCTAAAAGACGCCTGTTTTTCACACGTCTTCTGTAACAAACAGGCCAAATATGTGTTTTTCAGAAATCGGCAACTAGCTGAAAACTAGAAAATTTCAAAAATTGTATAAATGCAGATTCCAAAGACCCGTGTATGCCCGGGAGTACTTTTCTGCTTAATCTTTAGCCTATGACAGTTTGAAAGGAAGGAGGAAAATGTGTTTTCACTTTTCGGATTCTATTCTTCTCTCGAGCACGTTAAGAAACCATATGTTTCTGATTTCCTATGCCACAAAACTAGTTTCTCTCTATTCTTCCTCACATTTCAATTTTTTCGTCGTGAGCTATTATCAGTTTCGTTCGTTTTGGAATGCCGCGAAACGTATACTTTTGTGGAACAAAAGAGACAAAAATTCAATCATTCCGAGAGTGGCTTCACTTCACTTTGAAGACATTCGCAATGCATTGCTAAATCGTTTTTTCTTTGTTAGAATAGAAGAAGTGAGGAGAGGAGAATAAGTGATGCAACATTCTTTTCAAGATTAATTACTCAAAATTGTCTGAGACCACATCTCCTAGAAGACTGGAAGAGATATATACTCAACTCTCCTCAGAATCCGGAAGTTATTTCTTTTTTTGTTTCTGTGTCTACTTGGTTTCACTTTTTTTTCTATTCATTGCTTTTAACCATCGCATCGAAAAGGTGAATTTAGGGAAGACGTGAAGCGGAATGAAATTTAAAGTGTTGGGGTCCAACTCCCTTCTGGCTTACCTTTTTAAGGAGTCAAGCGGGTATACAAACTCTCAAATCTCGAACAAATGTTCAATTTATTTTGCAAATTTAAAACATTTAAAAATCTTTAGTCTATTTTTTATTGGGAATGAAATTTGAATACTACCTGTAAAAACAAGTGCGGCTTGCACCAGACAAAAATCCCTTCCACCATTTCCGATGTGTATTTCCTTACAATTCTTGATTTTTTGTACTTGTACTGCCCTTCTCCCTTTTATTCTTTTTTTTTTTACTTTGTTTTACGTTTTTTACTTCATGGCTCGGTTTCTAGTTTGACCCATAGCTACTCCTATTTTTACACTATTTGAATATTCTTTTTTTCACCCTCCGCCGGCTTTCTTCTCCCGCCTCATCCCGAGGGCTTCCAGGTAGAAGAAGAACAAAACAAAAACCTTATTTTTTTCAAAAAATTTTTTTTGAATATTTTCAATTTGTCACGTGGGTGAGGGTGACTCCGCGAAGAGTCTAATTGCCTTATTTCAAAAATCAGGGCAAAACCTCAAAAACAAATTGATCCTCTGGAGATTCTTGATTAGACACTCTGATTTGGGCTTGATTTGATCATAAGATTATCATAAAGTGCCATTTCCGATTTGTCTTGTTTCTTGTTTTTTATCCGCTGGAAAACTCAACATCTTGAAGACTCAGATTTTATTGAAAATTTCAGAATAGCCCAAGAATAATTTATCTGAGCACTTCTGGAAGTTTTGGAATCCTGCTCTCCAGTTTCAGCCAAGTTATACGAGTTTCAGTTCCCCAAAAATCGGATTTCCGTGCGAAACAGCAGTTTTCCAAGACAGTTTGTACAATTTCTAGGACGTTTTAGAAATTTTTTTAGAGCGACATTTGTTGCGTTGAACTCAGAATTCGATACAATTTCATATTTTTAATAATTTCTCAAAAATTTTTGTTTATGATTTGAGAAAATGTCACAAATATGAAATTTTCTCATATTTTGAGTTGAACACAACGAATTTCATGTTCTAAAGTGTCCTTGAAGTTGAGAAATTCGTCTTGAAAAGTTCGCTGTTCTGCACTGAACTACGATTTTGGTACTGGAACCTGCATAACTCGGCTGAAACTGACGAGCGGACTCTAAAACTGTCCAAGATGTTTAGATAGGTTATTTCCACATAGTTTTCATCAAAATCTGGGTTGACAAGATGTCTAGATTCCTCTGTTATTTCAAAAATCACAAAAAATGTTAAAAAACATTATCCTCTGGAGATTCTTGATTAGATATTTTGGTTTATGGCCTGAACTTGACTCGATCATCAATTTTTTCTTGCTTCTTATCCTCAACTAATTTCGAATTCCAATTTCAAAAACGTGTTTTTCAGATTATGACTACTATGAGTTAACGGGAATCTACTACGAATAAAACATGATACGGTTCTTTCTAACCGCGTTTTGCATCCTCAACTCTTTCGAACCCACCAACTCGGCTTTCATCCCGCTTACCAAGAAGTTTTTGGACAAACTCAAAAACGAGACGCTCTATAACAAATTTGCGACACCGACACAGTATGATGGTGAGTCAAACTAACATGGGTTTCGGGTTGAGGGTGACTAAAATAACAATGAATCCGCACAGAGCACATAGAGAGGATTTCAAGAGTGACTCTCTCTCTCTCTCTCTCTCTCTCTTTTTCTCTATCTATCTTAAAACCTTTTTATAGAGTATATACGCGTTCACGGTCCAGGTATGAACGAGAGTGTTTTGTTTAAGGCTTTTCTTCTTACTCTTAACTGTTGCTTCTATTTCCGGAAGATTCTTTCTGACACTGCTGATACACACACACTAAACACTTGTTTAATTACTGTTTTTCATTTTCCTCTCTGCTCACAAGTCTCACGTCAAATGGCTTTCTTTGCACTAATACGTGTCTGTCGATAGGACTCATCACGCCCGTAGATTCGATTTTGATCGCTTTAGTTCTGATTCCTGATTGTCTAACCCGTTTCTTATTCAGATGTGCCAACAAATGTCACGCTTTCGATGTTCATTGAAGGAATGAGCTCATTTAGTAAGCCCCTGTAGTACCAATTCTAGATTTATCATATTTTGATTCAGGTGCTCAAACTATGGATTACCACCTGGACGTTTATTTCCAAGAAGAATGGTATGATCATCGTCTGGCTCATAATAACACCGCTCCAATTCTTGTCCGAGACCTGGAAGTTTTCAAAATGATGTGGCACCCGGATGTTTATTTTGCAAACGCTAGATCGGCAGCTTTCCAGGTCAGTTAACTTGCACTACATGGTAGTAAAAAAGGCTTCTACTTCCATTTGTGTTTTGACTTCGGAAAGCGATTGACTTTTCAACCTACTCACTCGAGGGCGTCGTCTTCTGACGAAAGAGCTTTTTAATAACATGCAAATCCCATTTCAGGACATCACGGACGACAATTTTCTTGTATGGGTCTATCCGAATGGACGCGTTTGGTATGACGCGAGAATCTCGATTGTAAGAGATTAGTTGAAAAACAAAATGTCACGTGTTCCTCTTATAGGTCAGCTCTTGCAACATGGATCTTTGGAAATATCCACTGGATTCTCAAGAGTGTGCGCTCCGGATTCTCTCGTACGCCTATCCAATGACAGTTCTACGTTTGCTCTGGTCGGAAAAGGAAGACGTGCCTGCCATCGATCGTAATCCGGATATCACCATGCCGGATATGTCGCTGAAACACATCCGAACCGGATACTGCAACGGAACATATGCAACTGGCGAGTGGAGTTGCATGACGGCGATATTCTACGTGGAACGGGAAATGATGCATCACGTCATGCAAACATATGTCCCGACCGCGTTGATCGTCGTCATTTCGTGGTTCAATTTCTGGCTGGAAATTGATTCGGCACCGGCGAGAGTGTCGTTAAGTATTACCACACTTTTGACGATATCAACGCAAGCTAATGCGGTGAAGCTTGCATTGCCAGAAGGTAGGAATAAAGAATCGGAATTTTGAGAAAAAAAACAGAATTTTTTCAGTCAGCTACATGAAGGCTATAGATGTTTGGATGGGATCGTGCATGGTAAGAACTGGTTTGGTTTGGCAAGAGAGGGAAATTTATTCTAAATTGGAGTTTCTAATTGAAAATAATCATAATTATTAATTTCTCTGATAGAAGAACACACAAACCGTAACTTTGTTCAATTATGTCGATTACTGGGAAAGATATCGAGATATTGTCGACGGATAAATTGTTTATCAAAGTATTACCAATGTTTTATCAGTTGATAAATTTTTGATATCTTTCACAGGAATCGAGAGATTCGAGAAACGGTTTGGGTGGTCAGGTGTTAGAGCGAATATGGTAATTAAAATTCTAGAATTGTCTGTAATAAATATAAAAAATACGGTATATGGTTTGTAAGTGTGCTCATAACTTGTTAGTCAAGAAATGACATAGATAGTACAAAAAGCTGTCAACTAAATTTTCATGATAAAATTTCAATACCGTGAATGCTCTAGTAGAAGTCTAGCACTTTAAGTGCGCTTTAAGCTCAATTATCTCGGTTGTTTTAAAAAATTTTGTATGGCGGTCAGCAGATCAAATGTTTATAACATTATCAACAACATTTTATCAGTCTGCCATTTTTTGATATCTACTGAAGGAACCGAGATAATTGAGAACGAAGTGCACGTATCTATAGGATCACTCACGGTATTCAATTTATGTTAGTCTATGAGTCGTCTGGATCAGACAAAAATCACTTTAGTTGTTCGCTTATCAAAAGTTCTAGTACATTACAATATATTTTTAAAGACAAATGCCCAACCAATAGTTTTCAGGCGTTCGTGTTCGGAGTCATGATTGAATTCACCATCTGTCACTACGCCAAAACCTTGGAGAAGGAGAAAGACAGACAAGCTCGAGAAGCCGAACTCCGAGGAGGACCACCACTTGTCGTCGACACCCTATCGACACTATTTGGAGCCGTCCACGACATTGACGATTTGGTGCGGAAAGTGGCCACGCTTGTATGTTGCTTGCACTGCTTTTCACACGCTAAGCTCATTTTCAGGCATTTTTCTAGTCTCAGCATTTTAAAAAATTGCAAGATGCTGACCTTCAGCAAATTCTAACCTTTATACTAATATTTTTGGCTTTATGGCTTTCTTTCGGAAACGAAACAAATGAGTTTTAGCAGCTTTCACTGTTCCTAACACTCTCACATACACTCACATATACTATGTTCCGTTTTTGAGTTTTCTTTCACTGTACTTTTCAGATTGAGGAGACTGAATGGGTTTGTTTAACGCTTAATGGACTAATGCAAGCTTATCTCCTTATTTCTCTTATTTCAAGCCTCTCTAAGCATGCCTGCATCCGATATATTCATAATTTTCATGGAATGAGACGTAACTTCTGTTCACCCTGTCATAAATGTGATTTATTTGAAATGTCATTAATTTCATTTTCAGAACGAAGACGAGGAGCTTCGTGGAGACGGTGAGCAGCACATTGCACTAAACATGCTCAACCCTGAAGAGCCACGTTTGCGGTCGTTGCATCCAACCACCAATGATATTACGACAAACGGAACCAGGTGAATTTCTTGGATTTCTCATCCAAATATCATCTTAACTCTTGAAGATACTTCATGGGAGCTGAACGACTAAAGCGCAAGCGGTCCAAGACTTCGATAACCCGACTTCGCCAACAGGTAGCCAGTATGCGTCATGCCGTGAGTTTCGCTTTTTTGGCTTTTTTAGTAATCAGCTTGTTTCCCTTCTTTTTTATTTGCTCAGACGCCGCAGTTTGAATTTTATTTTGATGTGAACACATACTTTAAAGCTTTAATTCATATTTCCAACTGAAAAGAATGATTTCAGACCGCCGATGTTTCCCGTCGCGCGTTCAAATGGACTCGTGCCGTTCGAAAACTCCACGGTCACCGCGTCGCTACAAAAATCGACGAGCGATGTCGTATCGTGTTTCCGATGGTGTTCATCCTGTTCAACATCGCCTACTGGAGCTTCTATCTTGTATTCAATTGAAACATTCTCTCTCTTTTTTTCACTGTGATTGATCTCGTACGTTGTGCATGTCCCTTCCACTCTTCCTTCTCTCCTTCCCAGAATCTTCTTCATGTTTTTTGTCTCTCACTACTTTACAAGTTTGTCCTATTTATGATCAGAAAACTATTGAATTCTCTGATATTGAATCTTTTTGAAAATAAATTATACATTTCGGAGGCATATAGATAATTCCAGAGGTAAGTAAAAAAGCTCTAAGCATTCTGTGGAACCAGTGGAAAATGGAAAACAAAGTGAGTTTTCAAAATCAGGAAAATGTTTTGAATCGGAAAGTTCGGAGAGAAAAATAGGAGTAAATTAGAAAAGAGTCCTAAAGTCAACAAACGAAATTGAAAAATTAGTGCAGCCTCTAAAAACAGCTCAAATCGTGGGGACGTGACCTAGTGTCCATAGAAGGGTGTGCGGAATGGAACTTTCGGAATCTGTGGATCTTCGGAAATTTCAAAAATCGGTATTTCGAAAACACCGACATACTGATACGGATAAAATGATGATTTTGAATTTTCGGAATTATCTGAACTTTTCAAAATCGGAATTTAATTCTTGGAATATGGTGAATTTTGAGGATTACTGTTTCAATTTGTTAGCAACAAAATAGCGAGTTAACAGCAGATCAAAATACTATAAAATTCTAATTATTACGAAAATCGAACAATATAAGCTTCAAAATATTCCGGTTCTAAATTCTTGCTGAAATATTAGGTTGGCAGGAAAGTAACTGTCCATTTTTTCATTAGTAAATAAAACAAAAACAAGATTAATCCAAGATTGACAGTATGTACCGTCGTGATCCACAACCTGTTGTCAATTTAGGGTAACTCGTGGATACCATCCCTCCAAAAGCCGGCTGGACGCGAATCAAAGTATTACTGTAGCACTTTTTCTCTCATCGATAATGTTAAAGTTCTTACGCTCCAGATGAAGTCGTATATCTTCGAATAACCAATAATCAGATGAAACAAAATCAGAACTTTCACGGGGGTAAAGGAGAACCGTCCAGCCAAAGCGGCTGAGGAACGACGTGACTTTCCGTGAACATGCGGTTTTTTCAGTTTTTAACGACAGGCAAGTCAGACCTGAGCCGCTTCATCGAGACGGTTCTCCCTCACCAAGTTATAGTCCCGACTTGACTCTATCAAATTATAGGTTATTCGGAGATATGCGAAGTCATCTAGAGGGTGATGAATTTTGCACCATCTATGAGAAAAAACTAAAAAAATGAATTCTTTGATCCGCGGCTAGTTCGCTTATGAAGGAAGGGTATCCACAAGATACCTGAATGTTGCCAACGTGCTATGGACCACGACGGTGCATACTGCTAATCTTGGCTTAAAGGAGGGTAGACATCAAAAATTTCAAAATTTTCATTTTTACTGAAAAGATATAACTCTGAAGTATAAATATAGCTATGTACTTACAAACCTGAAAAAAACACTTCAAGGACGAAAAATTGCTCTTTTTTGTCACCCTAATTTCTTCACTAGCTTGCTGCTGCGGCGTCGCTTCATAATGTGAAAAACGCGATGGTCGCCTCTTACACGCGTAGTGTAGTGGGTACGCTCTAGGCTAGTATTCAGGAGGTCAGAGGTTCAATCCCTGCTGGTGTTTTTACTTTTTTCTTCCCTTGTTTCCTTCGGATTGAACTTTTTGAACTCGGAATTTCTGAAGGGCTACCAGCGTGCCGCCGAGGCCTCACTCCGAGGTACCAAAATCAGTTGAAAATGAAGAATCTTGTTTTATTATGTTAACAAATAAATTATGAAAAAAACTACAATTAATTTTTAGAAAGAGACATAAAAATTGAAAAAAAAACCACATAATTAAAACAATCCTCGTGCAGGGCTGGTCGTCGGAAGGTGAAGGAAGCAGTAAAAATGGAGACGTCTCTGAAAACCCTAGTCATAAAACAGTTTTTATTCCTAGAGTAATAACGAGAAGTAATGAGATAAATAGGAACAGTGAAGAAACGGTTATCGAAGAGAAAATAGTTTTTTTCGCATGCTTATAAAACACACCGGCGACTGGCAAAATAATCGGTCGATAGAACTTTAAATTTACATAAAAAATTCACTTTTATATGGGTTTTATAATAAATAAGAAAAAAGAGCTTTTTTAATGTTTGAAGTCGTTAAAAATTAAAAAAAATAAAGTCGGGAAATAAAAAAATAAAAATGTTTGCGCGTGGGATTGCGTGCTTTAGGTGCGAACACCGCGACGGCAAAATACACATTCCCTGAAATTTTCCCCGAAATTTTTGCTGTCTGCCCTCCTTTAACCTGGTTTTTGTATTATTCACAATTAAAACAAGGAACAGTTACTTTCCTGCCAACCTAATACAGAATAACATAAATACTGTTTTTTTATTTACCACGCTTTGTATTATAGTTGGAACAATTTTTTGTTGATAGAGTCACAATTTCATATCCCACGGGTTATCTTACTAAAATACAAGTTGATACAAAACAACATAAAATTTATAAGAAAACTAAAAATGTAAGTTCTAGTTTACATTTTCTGAAGTCAAGTTTGAGCTCATCACAACTTGGAATAGGAATACCGTATTTCTTCTAAAAGAAGCCCACACAAATCTTCAACTTTGAGCTCAGTTATACTGATTCCTGTGAAAGATGTCAAAATTTGTCAAATGATAAAATATTGCTGATATTGTGATGATTCATCAGTTAACAAATTTTTAATATCTCTCACAGAAATCTAGATAATTGAGCTCAAAGTTGAAGGCTGAGGGCTTCTACGTAGTAGAGCAAAGACAATATCTTGGTTCATGTAAAATCTATGAAAAAATGATTTTCAGACAAAATCCTCATCATGATATACAATTCAATTTGCCAGTTAGACGTATTTTGATATTTTTTACAAAAAAAAAAGTTATTTTTCTGGCTACAAGAAGGTGTAAACATTTTTATGTGTGCTTAACAAAAATAAAACTTTCAAAAAGTTATGTCATTTTTCCCGGAAAATTTTGACTCTTTTCCGGGAATTCATTTTAATGAATTTTATTGCTGTTGGAAGCGCCACAATTCTACTGCTTATTTTGGAAGGCATTTGACTTTAAGCGTCATTCGGATTCAATTAAATATCGTTTTTTTAAAGAAATTTTCAAAAATTCGGTAATATTTTCTTTTTGCTGTAAGTCAAAAATAAAAATTCTGAATTCAACTTTTATCAACATCTGCTATCAGACATCCTTGTGAAACCTAGTCGTTAAAAAAAGCCCACCCAATAAAGACAAGGTTATTCTCAGAACCGGTTCCGGAAAATTCGAAGGCATTCAGCTGTTCAAATTCAACCCCTTTACTTCGTCTGTTTTTAGGATTTCACACATTTCGTAACATCTCAATCTCTGCTCTGCATTTTTTTTTCTATAAATGATGAAATCGGCTTCTCGGCGCTTTGATTAGAAATTCTAATTTTGACTCTTTTTCCAATCAGTGGAAAAAAAACTAATCAAAATGTATGTGGCATACATGTAAACAACAACTTTAGATCTCAATTTTGCCATTTTCAAATCTCTAAAAAGTTCATTTTGTCCCTGCTACATTCTCCAAGTCATTATCCGTTTTTTTCTTTGCATTGCCTGACCGGTTTCGCCCACTACCTTTCCCTGAAAAAATGTTCATCCATCTTGTTCCATTGAGGCCTAGTCGCTCAAAAAGCAGCAAGACTAACTTGACAAGTGCTTTCTGAGGCTGTTCGGTCAAAATAGGAGAACTCAATTCACAACTTTTTTTTTGTGTTGCTGTTAAATTCAACTTTTTTGTCCAATTCGTTTTTCTCTTTTTTTTTTGAGAAACCGAAAAAAATTTAACTTTTTCTTTCATTTTGCCACCCAGCTGCTTCCATTGTGTTTGCGGTTATCAGCCAAAACAAACAAGGCATCCATTACTGCCACATATCGAACGAAAATTCTAAAATATATATATATACATATATATATATATATTGGTTGCTTTTCGTTCTTCAATTGACGATGCCATCAAATTTTTTTGTTTGGAATTCGAAACCATTCGGAAAAAAGAAAAATGAATGAATATTAAGTAGGATATAGCGATAATTTGTCATTTTCCCCTTTATATTTCACAATTTTTCCCTTCATCAAAAGATTAATCCGTTTTGTTCAAGGGTATGAACGAAAATTCCAAAAAAAAAAAAAGATTTCCTTTTTTTTAACTACCGTAAACTTTCTGTCAATTTACTCACTCTAGAAATTCAATTTCCGCTTTTTTCCTACTCTCACGAACTCTTGTTGCTCTTCTGTCCCCCTGAAAACGAAATGAACTTTTTTTTACTCAGGGCTTGTCTACTGACTCAGAGTCTTCGGAATTCCGGCGGCGCCCTCGGGGTATTGCTCCAGGCGCCCGCACGCAGAGAAGATTTGTTGCCTTCACTCTCGCTCCCCACACTTTCTGATCAATCCAATGGGACCTCTTGGGGCAGTTTAATGAGAAATATTTATCTTGACACAAACTGCTCTCACCGGGAGGGCAACAGAGGGGAGGGGGGGGGGGGGTTTCCTTTCTCTGAGAATCCGAAAAAAATTGAGGTAGTGAGAAAAATGAGAAAATAGACTCTTTTCCTCCGAGACTTACAACAATTCTGTCTTCTCTCACCTCACCCAACCCACAATATGTTATCTCTAACTGACTGGTGGCCGCGCCGGACGCCCGAGACCACTGGGCGAGGAGGAAAATAAACGTTTCGGGGGTCTACTCCGTTTTTTTGCCACCGCCCTCGTTTCATTTTCCTCGTTTTCAACTGTTTCAGTCAGTCAGTTTTTCCTCCCTCGCTCTGTTTAGTCTATTTTCCATTTTTAAGCGGACACAAAAACTTTCACTGTTCTCTTAAAGTGTTTAATGCTCTACTTTTGCTTATCAGTGTTTTTTTCTTCAAATTAGTACTGTAAAGAAAAACTAATCATTGTTTCATGATTCTTTTTTCCCAATTTTTTTCCTCGTTGCTGTCAAGATAAGGTTCACTGGTGATTCTTCATTTTTGTTTCGTGTTCCTTTATTTTCACCTCTCTCTTATATAGTTTCCAACAAAGGTGTAAATATCTGAAGTCAGAAACCGGTTTTTTCGGAGTAAAGAAACGATGGCAGGTGTTCAGAAGCGCCAAAACTTGGTAAGTGCAAAAAATCTGAAAATCGGCCGTCCGTGAGAATTCGTTGGTGTCTTGAAATTAGAACTTTGTCTAGGAATTGAAATTTGGGCTTTGACGCATTCCGTTAGATAAAACAATTGTTCCGGAATTTGCTTCTTATTTGAGCTACCGTAGTCCTCAAAACTTTTGTAGTCCTTAGCGCTACCGTAGTCCTACAAATAGAAAATGAGTCTAAATTTTTTTAAGTCCTTGAAACTTCCGTTTTTTGAAATTACCGTAGTCCTTGAAGCTAAACTACCGTAGTCCTATAAACGGAACATCAGTTTTAATTTCTCCAGCTTTATTTTTGAGATGATTGTACTGAATATTTTTTGTCTATTTTTACATTTTTTGATTTTTTGATATTTTGAAATTTGTTAAAAATCAAAATTTCCACTTCCTCATAAACATTGTACTTTTCTAAAAATTTTAGCGACGCTACAGTAACCTGACTTGTTTTGAAAATTGGTGAACTGTTTTGTTGGTTATCACTCATTAATATTAATACCATTTCATAGTTGCAAATGTATTGTTAACTGTTTTCGAATTCTCAATTATTTGAATCTTTGTTAAAATGCACTTTTCAAATCTTTCGTTTTTCGGTTTTCTTGTTTGGCATTCCTAGAACAGCTGCTAAGTGCAACTTCTCCTAGAAATTTTTTTCTCAAATTACTTTTGAAAAGTTGGCAAAGCCTTCAGACTAAAAGTAAGATACTAACTTGGTTTCTTGTGTTCCAAACAGGTTCCAGCATTAATTAGAGATTTTTTTCTTTTTGGTCTCACTTATCCGTCTGTGTTTCAATATATCCAAGATTACACCTTTTTATCATTTTACAACATTCATCATTCCCTCCCATTTCTCTATTCCCCTCTTTTTTGAACTCCGCCTCCAATGCCCTCTCATTCATCTGAAATTCAGACTCACTAAATTGGAAATTGAGCATTCTTGCAGGAAGAGTGCTCAACATTTCAATTGGCCGCTGTGTCTTGTCCTCCGCGGTGCAGCTGAAAAAGAACATTTCTCTTTTTTTCTTCATCTAGACATCCATGATATTAGCCATTTTTGTTCTGAGCCCTCACAAGTGCGTCTTGTCCTCACGGACCACCAGGATCAACAGAGAACATCCTATCCCTATTTTTTGTCTCGGGCGCTTCGGACGATTCGCGAACCACTTTCATTCCGTTTCATCAGACATCGCTTCGTCTTTTTCATTTTTTTTTTCTCCTTGTCACTTTTTTTCCTTGAAACCGAGACGTCTTAGTGAAAGAGCCTTTCCAATTAGACTTTTTCTCTTTTTCGAAAAGAGAAAAATGAATCTCATGCCAGAAGAGGAGCGGGAAAAATGAGCATGTAATCTTCGATCACTTTTCTCTTTTTTTTTCTGTTCCTTTGACTTTCCGGACAATTCTTTTTCTTTCTGGAGCCGTCCCTTCAACCTAAAGTCTCAAGAAAAGGGAAAAACGGGATAAATAATGACTAGTGCGTCGCTCTTTTTTTTTGTGACACACTTACACATACTTGCCCGCCGGACACAACCACATACATACACAAAAAGTGCCATTCTTCCATTCCGAGGGAGAACAACTTGAGGAAGAATGTGCGACTTTTTTAGCGGCGCCGAACCACCCACGAGCCGTTTGGAATTCGTTGAATTTTATTTTTCCCTCTTACTTCTTCTTAAATCTGAACTTAACCACTTTTCAGATAGCTATGTCTTTGGTGTCGGATGGTACCAGAACAACGCTATCATCGGATTTCACTGATTCTTCTAGAACAAACTCACCAATAGATGTTGGAGAAGGTTTGCATTTTCCTTATTTTCGTATCTCCTCGCCGCATGAATATCACTCTCGCTCAAATGAATAAATCACGATGAAGCAAAAAAAAACGAGCTGTCTTTTTTTCTAGATTCCCCCCTCTCTGACACTTTATTTTCTCTTGACCTCTTTTTTTTGTAGCCATGGATCTTTCTTCTGGCTCCTCCTCTTCTTCATCTCAAGGATCCGGAAGTTCACCATCATTTTCCCAAAAGACCCATCCCGGGAAAGAAACAGTAGCCATGTCTATTGCTCAACCTCGACTCACTGTGAATGTAAAGTTTTTTTTCTCGGCTTTCTCAGTATGTCAGCAACATGATAAATGACTTTTTTCAGGGCAAACGCGTCGGAAGACCACCAGGAACATTTAAAGTCCACAAGTGAGTTGTGTCTATTTTTGTTATCATGCTAGTCGCTCGTTCTAGGATTCTAAAGAAGTCATTGGTGGAAGAGGTGCATCAGAATACCGAGAAAGTATGCAAATGGAAGGATTGCTACCAGACATTTCATTCCGTTGAGGTTAGTTTTTGAAGAAAAAAAAGAAAAGCTCTAAACTGGTAAAATCTTTTTCAGCTATGAAACAATTTTCTAGTTGACTCAGATCTCACATTTGCAGGTTTTTATAAGACATGTGAAATGAAAAAAATTTAGAAATACCGCAAAATGTGTGGTGGAATGTCATCCAAATCGTTGATTTTGAGCTTATATATCACATTTTTCATAAAAGATACCGAAAAATGCTCAACTGGCAAAATACTTAACATATAATCATTAACATTTTGTCAGTTGACCAATTTCTGATGCCTTCCACAGAAATGATATATATATATACATATGCTCAAAGTTGACGGCTATTAAAGTGTTTACAGTAACTCATCCATCATTCGATTTCAAACAAAATGCAATCTTTCATTCTTTCATTTACAACTTTTTCTGTGAAAACGCAGCCGAGTGACGCTAAAATCACACTTCTTCCCAGATTGGAATTAGATTTGTGGCGCTTCCTAGAAGAAAATTCATTTCAATGAATTCCCGGAAAAAAGGACAACCAAGAATTTTGAAATTAAACTTTTAAAAGTTTGATTTCTGTATAGCACATCTAAAACTTCTTACCAGCCCGTAAAGTCACAATTTGAAGGCGGGGGGATATGAAAAAATAATTTTCTCGCAGTTCCGCTCAAATACGCTAGTCGAAAAGTATAACCTGTGGGCTCGAAATCCTTTACAAAAACGGGATGCAAAAAATTCTAAGTCTCTACCAAGAAAAAAAGGAAAAAGACAACTCGTTGTCTAATTAGTCACCGTGAAACCTATGAAGGAAGAGCTTTTAACTTTGAGCCAATTTACCTAGATTTTTTTCGCAGATATAAAAATTGTTAACCGAGAAATTGTTTGACATGATATCATAAGTTTTTTGTCAGTTGACACTTTATTGATATTTCGCATAAGAACTAAGATGATTAAGCTGAACATTCTAGTGTGGCGTCCTTTCTATTACAGGTCTTACGGAAGTTACAGTAGTCATGGTTTCCAGGAAATCACTTTCCACATTAACCAAAAACACTTCGACAAAGAAATCGTCTGTCGTTGGGAAGGATGTGATCCCAGATACTTCAAATCCCTATACCTTCTCGTTGGTCACTGTCGCAGTCACACTGGCGAACGTCATCTGAAGTGTCCAGTAAGACTTTTTCTCCAGGTTTATGTTGATCTTTGCTCTTTTTCAGATTGAAGACTGTCCAAAAGCATACAAATCCCGCGAGAACCTCTCAACTCACGTTAGAACTCACACCGGCGAAAAACCGTACTTTTGCCAGTTTGAGAACTGCACCAAACGCTTCACCAATGCCTCAGACCGTGGCAAGCACGAGAACCGGTGCCACTCTGGGGTAGGTTTTCACACATGTGATTAATGATGGTTTTTTTTTTGATAAGCTGATAGCGCATTTCGTTGAAACAGTACTTTCTGATAGCAAAATGTACACTTTGAACTTAATCCTCTTTTTTTTTTTTTTGGTTGAGACATGAAAAAGAAGAGAGAGCTCTGTTGAGACTGAATAGAAAACAAGAAAAATGTTATTCCCAGCGTCGAGAGTACAAGTGTGACGTGCCAAACTGCACCAAGTCGTATACGGATCCATCTTCGCTTCGCAAACACATCCTCCATATTCATGGACCAGAAGTTCATGAGAGTCGAAAAAAGAAGAAGGTGCGATGGATGTACCGTAGAGATGGAAAACAACTAAACAAGGATGGATCAGTGGTAAGATTTTAATAGTTGGACATGTTTACAGTAAACTGGCTTCAGACCACAATTGATAGTCCAGCAATTGCCAGTCCAAAGGAAAATGGGTCAGAAGCGCGTCAAGCACCCATAGATACAGTGCAAATGCCTCTTCAATCTGTTTTTCCACAACTCAGCCCGATTCAGCAGAACAGCCCAATCCAACAACTTCTACCACCAACACCAACAATCGGAACAGCAATCCCAGAATGGAATCCATCTCCACGTGTTCAATCGGATTTCCCATTCTCCGCTTTCAACTCCTATGTCCCTAACTACATTCAGATGAATGTGGCAATGGCTAGCCTTCTTACAGTAGATCAGAAGCTGTTCGTCGCTTCTAAAATCATCGAGAGACAACAATTTGTTCATGCAAGCCATGAAACTCTTCAGAAGCCAACCCCAGTTCTGGTCAAGACGGAATACAAGCAGTGCGAATGTAATGATTGCAAGAAGGGGACGTTTGTCCGAGCTTATCCGTCACTTCGAGAATGATTTTAAAATTTCCAGAGAAATATAACAATTTCATGATTTATGTTCGTTTTTAATTTTAAATGTTCGTTCACCAAAACTCACTCATTCCTTCCTAGTCACCGTTTTTTTTCTAGATACCTCCTGTGGTTTTTTTGGCTTTGTTGCATTTTGAGGGGCCCAAAAAAAGTTGTTTGCTCCCTGAAATTCGAGATGTCTTATTTTTTCAGTGCTACCATGCCCAACATCCCGGTCCAATCTCTCACGCTGTCTAGTCCCTTTTTAGATGCCGGTTTCTATACCCAAAAAAATCTCCGATTAGATTTTCTGGTACTTTTTGTTTAGTTGCTTTTCTTGTCCCTTCTCCACCATTGGAACTTTTTTTTTCTTAACTTTTTTTTTTCTCAACCCCTATTTTAACTATTCATGGCTTTAAAAAATTTTTAGCTTAAATTTTCTGCACCAAAAAATCACCTTAAATGATTTAGTAGAAGTTCATCCTCTGCATTCAATTTGAGCTCAATTATCTCGGTACCTCGGAAAGTTATCAAAATTTTGTCAATTGATAAAAGATTAAAAATTTAACCAAAAACATTTTAGTAGTTGACACATTTGAGATATCTTGTGAAGGAAGCGAGCTAATTGAGCTCACAGTACACGTATAAAGTGAGCTTCTAATAAAGCATCAAACGGTAACAGTTAACTAACATTGTCTGCTATCTCTCTCTCTCTCTTTTTTTTCGTAAAACAACTTTTCTGTTTTTAAATAAAAAATTTTTGAAACAAAAAGTATCAAAAAATAAAAGTTCAACACACTTGTTCTCCGTTTTACGATCCATTCTCCTCTGTAGCTGTGAATTCCACCACCTACAAGATAGTCCATCTCTTCTGGAGAAGACAAAGAAAGCCCGTTAAGGATGTCACCCAGAGAGAATAAATGATCTTTATCTGAATGCCAGTTTGTACATGAACGAACCGCAGACAATGGGCAATGAAAAAGTGCATCAACTGTTATCTAGAGCGTCGTTAACACATTTTTTTCGTTGCCGTTTTAAAACGTCAGCATTCCTTTTTTTAGGTTTATTAGTCAATCGAAATGCACAAGATGATAAAAAAGAGGTAAAAACTTATCAATCCATATTTAATGGTTTCATGGGAGTCCAAAAACGGGGTCCAAATGCAAAAAAAATTAAATCATTATCTCTGTTTCTTCTTCCACTTCTTCCAGTGCCCGCTCCTGATCAACAGTTTGCACTCTATGGGGAATCATAGGGTTGTACCCATGAATTCTTTCAAAAAACACATAATCGTAGTTGTTGACTTCGAATCGTATGAAAAAGAATCCCTGGTGATAGACGACAAACACCTGGACATATCTAAAAAATTACAAAGTAAAAAATCTATATTATAAAACTCACTTGAGAAAGCAAATGACCAAAACGAACACTGACAAGACGGTATCCTTTGATAATTCCGGTAGTGCGAACATTTTTTTTTGTCTGGAAAAGTATGAAAATTGAAAGCTAGCCTGTTGGAACTCAAAATTAAAATGGAAACTGTTTTCTTGATAAGCATAGTGCCCAGCAAAAAAAGAGTCGTGCCATATATGGACGATTGATTTGATATCAGCTCTTTTTTATGTCAGGATAGGACAGTTTTTCGAGTTCCTGATAATACATATGACAATGAGGAGATGTGGAAGTAAGAAATGACTGAAAAGTCGACAAGGAAGTTTTTGAGACTCAGTTGCTCGAGTCAGTGGGGAAATCTGAAATCTGAAATCTATATTCCAATCTACCGTAATCCTGGCTGACCTGGTAGTCCGTGCATTGATCTACCGTAGTTCTACCGTTATCTACCAATTTCTCATATTCTTGTAATGGTCTAACCGTTTTTGGGGACAAAGCAATGTTTACACCATTTTGGTCTCTGGTAAATTCTCTGAAATGTTTCATCCACTTTCGGTTCCAAACCCTTTGCTCCCCATTTGTTTATTTTTATTTTGATACTGCCTCAAAAACTAATGAATATAGACCTCATCAAAAACATCCGCCATCCGGGACACTCTCGCTACCTCTCCTCTCGTTCTTCGCCTCCCACTATACATATTTTGTGAGGCGCCCAGCGTCCGAAAACACAAGAGAGAGGGGAGCAGCGGAGCACACTGCTGAAAATAGCGCGGGCGCCAGATAGGGAGAAGCAGAGAAGGACGGACGCGTTGCGGCCACTCCGCTCCTTACTCCGCTTCGTACTAGTTGGTGATGAGGGCGACACCCCCCGTGTCAAACAATGAATGAAAAAAAAGGAGAGGAAACGCCTACTTTTTGTGCCACAACATACCAGCCAAACTATTATTTTCAGTCTTGAAATAGTTTTATTACTGATTTATTCTTTTCTGCTGCCTCTTGTTTCCCCGCGGCCTCTCGCATGCTGTGTGAGGCTGAACGGTATCAACCTCAGGTAGCAGAGACCACATGACTGCTAGCTCCCTGAGTAGCTGCCGTTGAGACTCGAGAAAGCGTGTTGTTGTCGATTTCGGTGAGTTCCTGGTGTAATTTTTTATGGTTTCCAGGAGAACCATGTTCTTCGAAGCTATGATGTGTCAAGGGGGTTTATCCTCTAACACGAGTGATCCCTTGGCAGCTGTGGGTTACTGTAGACTTTAACTGTGGGTTACTGAAGACTTTAATTGTGGGTTACTGTCGACTTCAACTGCGAGTTACTGTAGACTTTCAGACTATTTTTCAGTTAGACTAGCGGAAAGGCGTATACTAAAAATCAGAAGAAATTTCTGAGAGCCTTCCTTGGTCTTCTGGACTTGTTGACCGCGATCAAGCAGTTTGAAATGATAAATCAGATTAGATTTTTCAGGAGACTCTCAATTTTGATAGATAATTGTTAGACACAATTCAGTGATGCTTGCTTCCCATGTAGGATGTCGGGGACAGAGCAGTAGCTGTTGTGGTAGGGTTCTCCTGGGATGGTTAAGATTTGGTGGCCTAGCTGCACTGGAAGTTTCTGGTTGGCTGAACGTGAGCTTATTTCCGAAAGAACGTACGGTTTGGTCCACAACAACCTACCCATGGTTTGAGCCGGCCGCAGCACTGGTTCCAACAGCTTTGCTGTTTGGTAATCAGCCCATTAGGAAATTCAATTTTTCCCTTATGATTTTTGCCGCAAATTTGGTTAGACTGTACTTAAAAAAATGAGTGTTCAAAACCGTATCTGGTTATAGAGCTCGTCAGAAGAATCCACATATTTTGAATAACAACTCAACTTTGAACAGAGGGAGTGACTGTAGTTTCTGAACCTTCTTCTTAACCGAAGTATTGAATTTCCCTGATTTTCTAAAGTTTAATCTTAAAGATGCAAGGGCCATCCCCAAAAGCAGTTGAGAGCAGCACTACAGTATCCCTCGTTTGTCATACGTCCGTCGCCGCATTTTTGTTCTTATATAATCGGTTTACAAACTTTTTGTTGACTAGGAACTGTAACCGGAAGTTGTGAAATTGGGAAGAAAAATTCCATAGACAGACAGACTTTGAACACCTGTCTACAACCTAATGATATCATTTCCCAGTTCCAGATGATGTTTTCCGGTAGAAGTTGGCTCTTTCTTGTGCTTTCTTTGTGGAGCCTGTCTAGACAACGGTTGTGGTATTAAGCTTGTTAGATGGTGTAATTTCAAATTTAATTTTTCATGGATTGTGTTTTTTTAAAAGGAAAACGGCTAATGAGCAGTACCTTATTTCCTCTAAGAAAAGACCACCCAAACCGTCAATTTTGATGGGCCGGGTGGGTTTTTCATAGAGTTTGGGTGGTCTTTTATTAGACATACAGTATATGGCTTCAATAAAATAATTAATTCTCTGTACAAGTAATGCTAAACTTCTGATATTAATGTTCCTTAAATATCAACTTTTGAGCTTTCACGATAACATACAAACTTTGACAGTTGAACATTTTTATCCCACGTACAACCTCCTAGGTGAATTCCATCAAATAGACGATTTGGGGGACCTTTCTTTGTTTTCCATGATACTGTAGCTTGACGACATCCTTTTCATTTCAAGAACCCTCCTAAAGTCTATGAATGGATTTCATCCTTTTTTAATTCTCTCTCCTTCTATCTCCAATTACAAACTGAGACATTGATCCATCATGTCAAACACTGAAACCAACATATCTAATCCAGAACCTATTGTATTTTTTGTCATTAATGAATGACAGTTTGGATTTATGTCCATCGTTGGTTTTCGGTAATTGCACTAATAATCTCTTTTTCTTCTGGGAAGGTAAGATCAAATAATAGGATAAAGACTTGATCAAATAATACGGTGACCTGCCTCTTGGGAAGTGACCCAAAACGGTTGAACGGCCGGGAGTTGTTGTCTCTAGGGAAGAAGTTGGCCTGACTGTGTTGGCATACTTGCCAACGGGCTGGGCTCCTCGGATTTTGGACTGACTGAAATGTATGAAATAGAAATCAACGTAAACTACAATTTCAAACTATTGGAAAGACTGTATCTTGCCAAGAAAGTTGTAAAATGCGTAAAAAAATTTTCGACCCATTTTTCTCGGCATGGCAATATCATGTCTCGCAACTTATTATAATCAAGATGAACATTTTGCTGATGGTATCATCGTGTGATATTCACCGAAATCTATCATATTTACAGAACTGGCTCTAACAGAAGCCCACCTTGTTGCTCATTTACAGTACCGGTTCATAAAATTTGGAAAAACATATGATTCAGTTGATTTTCAGCAATTTTGATCATTTTCAAGAGTCTAAGGCTCGTTTGCCAAGTTTTCGATCACTTTGAAAATTTTGGAAGGTGTAAAACAGACCTAGATTGAAAACTTTGCAGTCACAGTATTTGTTGAAAGTTCCTAATTTTTCAGTTACTCGCCGATTTCTGAAAGACACCCTTTTCGGTTGGTTTTTGTATTGAAAACAGGAAAAAACAGGATTCTTTCAAAAATCGGCAACAAGCTGAAGAACTAGGAATTTCCAAACAGTTCTATGGATTCAAAGTTGTTAACCTAGGCCTGTTTTACACTCCTCAAGATTTTCAAAGTGATTGGAAACTTTATAGCTGAGATTCAGATAGCTGAAAATGATCAAAATGGATAAAAATCCACTTAAAATGTTTTTTCTTGTGTATCTGTTGGGAATTCTGCATCTTGCCAAAAAGTTGTGGGTCAAAAAAAAAGACCAGAGCCAATATTCTCAGCTCTTTTTTCAATATATAATTCAGTGACTTCTAGTTAGTCAAAAACATTGAACCCGAAAAAAATCGCCCTGTTAGAAATTCTGACTGTTAACCACTAACCAAATGCAAGAAATGACCCGAAACGACCTATAACCTGAAATAGTTCCAGAGAGTAGCCTTCCTTATTCCCGCGACATGTTTGGAGTGTCATCTCCATTTTGAAGTGTGTCGCTCTCTCTCTCCATTGCAAAACCATTTTGATAAAATCTGTCTCCTGTCTGCGCTAAGGAAACGAGAACAAAGACAGTTGTGAGAGAAACGAAGATGGAAAAAGAAGAGGAATTGCCTTGATTTCAATTTTGAATGTTGCGACCCTTCGTCTCCGTTCAAGGTAACCCTCTTCTTTTTTGAAAAATGGAGTAGCGCGCCAAATGTACTTTCGTCTTCTTTTTTCTCTACCGGTTCTCTCAGGCACTCTCTCCTACGAACGCGTAGAGTCTACGACGTAGACGCAGCAGGGGAAAGATTTCTCTAATTCTGTTTGTTCACGTCATCATCGCTCATTTACGACGTCGTGGTACCCCTTCGTCTCTACTGTTTGAAGAAAAACGGGGACGGTACTGTTTACCCGTATTCCAACGGACCGTTTGCACTTGTTGCCAACCCCCCCCCCCCCCTCTCCAAAGCACTTTCCTTACGCCCCCAACGTTTCAGAGACGTAGAAACGCAGGGAGAGAGTGCGCGGTAGGGGAGAATTGTCCACAACCATCTCACCCCCCCCCCTCCGACTCCGCCCCTTCGTTGCCAACATGGTCGACCCGGGTCCAGTCTGTTTCATTCCACACATCTTTTCATTCCATTCCTCTCTTGCTATATTCCAGTGAGCGGTCCCTCAAACAACCGAGCTTCCCCGTCAAGCCACAGCTATCTCTGACATTGCTGGCAAGATGTTGGCAGTTCAGTTGTATGACGGAGACCAATTTCCTGATTAATCCCCTTCTCCCATATTCCTGCTAAATGAGTCCTACGTATTCCACTGCTACTATTCAAGCCCCTGCCACACTTTTGGACTTCCTTCTCGTTCCCAGCAAAATGCACAGTTTGCTGGCAAGACTAGGCAGTCCAGATGTGTGGCAGCGGCAGTTTTTGGTGAGTTTGGTGACCGAGACTAAGAAAAAAGGTCCGCACTTTTGGGCTTCCATATCTTTCCCAGCTCCTCTCATTTACTATGGATGCTGGCAAGAAATGGCAGTCTAGATGTGCAAAATCCTGCAACTCTCTCTCTCGTTTTTTTTCTTTCCATTTTTCTCTCTTGTTTTTGAACATGAAGAGATGGCACTTGGATAAACTTGTTTTGTTGATCTCATTTTCAGGATAATTTATTGTTTTAGGTGAGATATTGTGGTTCAGTTTTTGTGGGCTCTTGTGCTAGCTCGTTCGGCTCTTTTTGAGCTCAAACTGAATCCATATTACGTTTCAATTAGAATATCGCATTTATTGGTCAGTATTTTCCCTAAAAAGACGTTCATCGCAAAGGAAAATAAATCTAGCCACACACGATTCAACAAAACACACACACACGGTCCGTTTTTGAACGTTTGGCAACATTTGTGTCTTTTAGTACACATCAATCCAATTGAAACATGAAAGAAAGGAACATTATCATGTTGTGATCGATGTTCAGATGTGTTAGACGACGTAGTGCAACAAGCACGTCCAGCGACACATACACACAAAAGACTGGGGGGACAGACAACGGGTGTCGACCGAATGGAACAATAGGCGAGTCGGTATGAGTCAGAGTGCACTAAAATGTGGTGGTAGACGGAATCGCACCTGTTGTACTGTGGTGGTGTGGTAAAATGGAGGGATTGGTGCCCAAGTGCAAATAGCTTTTTGAAGGAGTACTTAGCTCCCAGCGGGATGGTGAGAAAAGCTATGACACTCGGTTTAGGGGAGACAGGTAATGAAGAAGGATTGTCAGGTTGGAAGTGAGCGACGACAGATCTATGGTCTGAGAATTTTTCTCATCGAAAAAGGAAAGTGCAACTTTTTTGACTGATTTATGTTTGGAAAATTCAGAGTTTAAGAAGGTTAGATGTTCATCGGCCAAATTCTCGTCGGAGTTTCTGTTTCCGAGCCTTCTAAATGGCGCACAACTTACCTCGTCTGCAATTTCGTCCATAGCCAAAAATCGTCTGGAAGAAGTTGGAGTCAACGCGACGCATCATGCTTTGAGGCGAGGATCGGCTAATGCACTGCAAGCTGAGGGTTTGTCGCTCGATGAAATCATGGAGAGAGGACGATGGAGATCAAAAGAGGGTCTTCTCCGCTATCTGCAGGATAACCCATCGGTTCAAGGCTTCAAGGTGGAGGAGTCGGCTGAAGACGAGGAAGCAGAAGTGTTGGCAGAAGGCGTGGAGGCGGAAGAGTTGGCAGAAGATGTGGATTCAGAAGACGAAGGCCCGATAATATGGAATTTTGAAAGAAGGAATGGGAGAAGGGACAAGTCCTCGATTCAAGACTTCCAGTCGCTTGAAATCATATGTTCAACTTGTCATACTTCTTCCGGTCGTTACAGTACTAACCAATTAGAAATTCTTCTAGTTGAAACGACTTACCTAATTTCGGGTTGGGTTCTGAAAAACCAGTTATGGCTTCAAAACTGCCTTGTTGGAATTTTATTCTTTCCTTGGTCGGAACTTTCAAAAAAAAATAGTGTGGCTAAAAATTGAGGTGTGCCGCTCAGACGTTCACCACAAAAATCAGACGTTCACCACAAAACTTTAGAAATTGTCATAGAAATAATAATAATAACTTAGATAGTCTGTGAACTAACGACATTTGAATCAAGACTTAATTTTTCAAAGGTGGAAGACGCCTCTCGGGGAATTTAATTTGAGAGCCCATCGTTGGAGGTGCTCCGCCGTTACCTGCTAAGCTCTTTTTAATTATTGTTTTCAGGGAAAATTGTACAATGAGCGATACAATAAAGCCTATAATAGAAGGGTTTCCATACAGCCACAATTGAGCTCAATTATCTCAATTACTACGAGACATCCAAAAATATGTCAACAGAAAAAAATATATGTGATATGATCATGAACAATTTATCTGTTGACAATTTTTTTAAATCTTTGTCAGAAACCGAGATAACTTAGCTCGGAATTATGAGTCATTTTATTGCAGGTTTCATAGTGTCTAAAGTGTTAAGTATCATCATTTTTTAACCAATTCATGGAATATTCTACGACAGGCATAAAAAGAAGTCAGCTCCCAGAATAGTTGTCAGAAAATGTATAAAATTTTGTCAATGAAATATTTTTCCATCTCTTACAGAAACCGATATAAATTTTGCCAAAGTAGGCGGTTGGCGAGCAATGCAGATAATACAGATTTTACGATATTCGTTATTAGAATAATGAATGTTATGCATTTTCTCTTGAGTTATGAGACAAACAAAAGTAAAGACATGGGTTCATATTTAAGTCAAGAAGTCTAAACATTGTTTCTCGAGTTTCCAAAAAGTACGGTATCTGAAGTTCAATTTCAATAGTTATTCTTAAATAACAATGTGGCACAATCGCTTCAAAATCTTCAACGAAGAGACGTAGCCATCTATTTTGACAAGATTTGTTTTGTTTTGTGTGAGAGGTATCTAAAAGTGTTTCACTAGTTGATCGTTTTTGATGCTATGATGAATATTTGGTTGATTGACTATTTTTTGATATATTTTTTAGAACAGAAGATAAATTGAGTCGAAGCTCAGTGTGTCTTTTGTTACAGTTCTTATGATAAACTTCAAGAAAAGCCATAAACAGAAAGATGGTAAGAAAGTATGACGTAGTAAATCCAGTATCAAGTTATGAATTCATTCATCCAGAAATTTATTAAAAATTATGCGATTTTTTTTCAGAAATTAAGATCAAGGTTGAAATGAAAATATGCAGAATTATGTGCATTTTGAACTTCATCGGGATCATAGAAAATGAATCAGCAGTCTTACTCACTTCGAATTTTCGAACATGTTGTTTTCTTTCTATTGATGTTTGCCTATTTATACATAATTTCTCAAATTTTTATCCGAACATCCCAGAAACCATATTTTCCACGGCTCACTTTCTGCCCATTTGATTGACACCTTTCAATTCAACTGCTTCTTTTGCACACGCAACCCATTCACAGATGCAGGTTATAATTATATGATGGCTCTCTTCGGTGCCGTTTGCGATGTGCAGAGTACCAATTAAACGGAACAGGTGCTTCTGCATATGCGGCGAAAAGATGAATGGAGATTGAAATTTGCGGCTTCGCTCACCGACGCACTTCTACCAAAAATAGAAATCGCACCTTTGACACGAAAACTAGAAGTCTTGTCTGTCACCGTCTCCCATTGAAGACAAAAGGACATGTGGACGGCGAAGACGTCGGGTCGTTTTTGTATGGCAGTACCAAAAAGATAAAAGAGAATGTCAAAAATGAGACACGTTTCCGCGTTTTTTCTCTCACTTCAAAATCATTTTTCACTGGTAGACGACAGTAAAATGATTGTCTGAGAAAAACGAGAAAAGAGAATTCGTTTTATTACGAAAAGAAGAAGTGAGCGACCCGACGTGGAGAAAATGAGTTGAAATTTTAAGCATATTTCTTTGGCAGAAAAATCAAGATACACAGACAATGATATTAAATTTGATGAGCAAATTGGTGAACCTTCTAACCTTCAGCTTTGAGCCAATTTATCTTGGTTCTTGTGAAAGATATCAAAACGATGTCAACAAATTGATTATCGTAATACCAAAAGTGTTTTGTCAGTTGTCACATTTTTGATAGCCTATATGATAATCGAGATAAATAAACTTAAACTTGACAGTGTGGCGGTCCTTCTATTCCAGGTTTCACAGTATATTGCATTTTTACATTTTCAGTGAAAACTGATTAACTTTGGGCTGAAAGAAAATCATTTTTGTAATGGAAAGCTTTTTTGCCCAACTCCCTCTTTGTCGGATATCAGCAAAATGTGAGAAATGCTGATAATCGCACTATAATGATAGTGGAGCCACATTAATCCTTTCTTTTTTTTTATTGATTTGCCAAAATGTATTAACTCATAAAGGAAAAACTCACAGTTTGTCAAGTATGTTTTCAAAAAATCTCAAAAAGTCTGCACCAACGTTTCGGTATTTCAAAGTTGACTACCGTCTAAGAGAATGAACCAGCCTAACTTTCACTTTAAACCCGTTTATCTTGGTTCCTGGGTCAGATGTAAAAAAAAGTGGCCAACTGACAAAATCTTTCTGATATTATGCTCAATATTCCATCAGTTGATTTTTTTGAAATATCTTTCACAGGAAAGAAGATATATCGGCTCAAAGACAGTTTGGCAGGTATTGTATTAGTGTTTATGGTATATTCTCCTGAAAAACTGAAAAACTGAGGTTGTTTTGTACGGAACCGCAAATTTTGAAAATTAGAGCGGCCTACAAGTTTAGTTCTTCAACTGATCTACAGTACCGGTCAATAAGATATGCAAACACTTATTTTTCAGTTGATTTTTGGCCAATGTGATCATTTTTGCAAATCTATAGCTCAGTTCTCAAGTTTCAAATCACTTTGAAAATCCAGAATCAATAAAACAAATCTAGATTGAATACTTTGCATTCGCAGAGCTTTTCTAATTTTTCTAGATTTTCAGATACTTGCCGATTTTTGGAAGATACATATTTTTCAAGTTTTCAGTTCAAAAACAGCCAAAAGTGTCAAAAAGTTAACCTAGCACAAAAATTAAGAAAGAAGTGTGAAATTATATTTCTCAGTTTTTGTTCATGTTCCACTTTTACAAACCTTTTTTCCATTCTGTAATTTTTGCATCATGTTTCATACATCATAAAGTTTGAAACTGTTTTTTGGTGTATAAACCTCCGATAAGGAAAACAATGAATTGTTCAGAGTTTTCCCCTCCACCTGTTGTTTGCAAGTGTTTTCACAAACAGGTATAACGGAGGTTGTTATTGTTTATGGTTGAAAGCAATCCTTAGAGATTGTGTTTCCAAGAAATTCGAAAATTTTTGATTGTGGCATCCGTTTTGATATATTTTCACATCCTGTTGTCTTGTTTTGTCTATGTCCTTTTTTCGGAATTTATTCCCTTCTAGAAAGAAAATTAATTTTATTGATCTTTTAAATCTCAAAGCCTTATCTTTTTTTTGTAGTCAAAAATTTCTAAATTTTCAGTTCATTTTTCCAGTAACAAACTTTTTCGTATTAAACGTGGAAACCCCCGATTCGCCGTAATCACGCTGCATGCTTATAAGTGAATTTCGATTCTTTCAAATCATTTGTGACGAACGGTTGTTATCAGTTTTCGTCGCAAAGTCAGGCGCCCATTTTGCTTTTTTTGCCATTATCACACGAATGATTCTAGGAAAAAAGGTTCGAAGGGAGTAACATGAACTGTTTCAACGACAGGTTGCTAGGGCGCTTTAATTGGTTTTGAGGAAGTTTAAGATTTACCAAATTATCAATTTCAAAGAATGCCTCAATCAACACAACCGAAGGTAGAGAATTCACTTAGCGAATCAATGTGTTGGCTAAGAGAAAATACTCTAACTTCTGCTGTGCCTGTGAGCACGGAGGAAGAGACTAATACTCAGATTAGGAGCAGCAGAATAGGGAGAAGCACATATGAATGAAACTGCAATCCCCCTTGACTGAGACGAAGGGATGAGGGGCGGGGTTCGAGTCGTTGAGCCACCTCTCTCCCTATCTTATTTGAAATGAGAAGAGATTTATGTGAGCCGAACCGTTGAAATGAGCAAAATGCATATGCCATGATATAGATTGGGATTACTAATGAGTATACAATTGTGTTGAAAGAAATATATTTCATTGAAAAGTTACATTTGAACTTATAAAAAAGTTACATTTGAACTTATTGGAATTCTATAACGCCGTGAAATTAGAAACAGCGAAAGTTATGAGCTGGGGAATATTTGAGCTTTTGAGCAGCGGATTAGGGATGGGAACAAGATTAGGGAATAAGGAATAAAATCAGCTGAATTTGGAATTTAGTTGTTTCAATGGTAAAGGGAAGAAGGCCTGGAAGCATCGTGGATTTCAAGTCCGGAAGAAGGCGAATATAAAGAAAAATCAAATTTTTGTACCGCTTCAGAGATAAAGGATACTTGAAATTATCATTTTCGGTCAAAGCAAGAATTGCCATTCTGAGAATGACATTTTTTCAAATTTTCGAATTTTCGTTTCAGGAGATTCGAACCAGGTGACTAAACTCTGAACGCTAGATTATAAGTTTTCATTCCCCAAATCATCAACTTTGAGCCCATATATCTAATTTCCTCTGAACGGTATCAACAATTGGTAAACTGACAAAATATTTTTGATATTATAATGAACATTTTGTAAGTTGATATATCCAATTTTTAGGCTTCTGATAACTCTTACAGAAATTGAGATAATGGAGCTCAAAATGCAAATGCAGGCTAATTTTTAAAAATAATTTACAGTGAATCAGAAAGCTCTCATTTTTGAAAAATCTGCAAAGCTCTCATTAATACCATAGACACTCTAACATACACTTTGACTTTGAGCTAATTTATCTCGGTTACTACATCAAAAAGTTGTCAACTTACCAGTTAGTTTTTTTTTGGATCAAAGTTTACGGTAACAAAAACCCAGTTAATTAGGATCAAAAGTATAAACGTACTCTTTAGTTTTTCTTTGTTTCTACCAGTACCAATTGCATCCCAACCAAATGTTTCCCTGTTAGCTCCTCTTGGTCACGCCTTTTATGACTATAAAACTGTTGTCGGAGCAGGAATAAAAGTCAGTTTCTGTGCGTCCTCTTCTCTTTTCCTTACATGCTGTGCTTCTCGCGCTCTGCACCTCCTCTCATTCTCTTCACTGATAACGGTGGTACTGCTGCGGCTGGTGGTGGCATATCACTCAAACCAGTGTGAGGAGCACACACTTGCTCCAACATATTCATTTGTCTACTAGTACTATATTCCTGAATTTTTTCTGCGAGACCGAATTGCAGTCGGTTGCAAGCTTCAATACAGACAATGGTTCTTGATATTAAAGCTACCAACCGCCTTCAAATCGTGCATCGCGATTTGGCAAAACAACAAGGTAAGCTTATTTGAATAAATATTTTGAAGTATCACAAATAGTATAATTGAACCAGGTGGTACGGAACTCCCAAGAGGGGTCTAATATTGTTAGAATTTTCCGAATATTTACGGAGGAGAAGCCATAAAATTTTTGAATCAAGGGTCTTATGACATGCGGTTTTAAACAAAGATGTGATTTTCGGGACCACTGGGTTCAAAAAAGCAAACTTTAAAGCACTAAGACCAGACAGTCCTGTATTAGAAGGGTCGGCCCTACTATTTTACCAAGACAATTCCAAAGGAGCTTTCTATTTCAGAGGACCTTTAATTAGAGGGGCTTTGCTATTTTTCAGGTCATTTCTTCGGAAATTTGTCAGCAACATGTTCTGTGATTTCTCATCAAAAAATAATGAAATTCTATAGATTTTACCAAATTTGAACAAGTTTTTGAGCAAAAAAAATTATTGAAAAAAAAGAAAAAAAAAGAGGGGAATTAGCGGAAAAATGTTCACTGAAAACATGCGGAAATCTACAATTTCCAACAACACTTTTTTTGAAAACTGAGATATCCCAAAACCAGAATTCACTTTGAAATTGATTGAAACGAGTAGAAATAAATTACACAAAGTATATAAATTATCATAGAAAAAGGTTACATAGAAGGTGTACAGCGGAAGAATACTGTTGAAGGGTACGCGGCTTTTCATTCATCTCGTTTATATTAATTCTTCAATTTTTAGTCTATTTGGGTAAAATCATAATTATCGTTAATTTCATAGACGACTGGTGAAACCCCGGCTCGAGTCCCATGCATCAGCGTCTTCAGCAGCTTCCACAATGTCAACTTCATCATCCCTAGCTTGAAGAACTTCATTACCAACTTGTCCTGCTTCTACGATTGCAGCTTCGTCCACTTCAATTTTTATTCTTTTTGGTTGAATATCATGATCTTGGTGATCGTCGACCTCCTGATTGTCGATATCGTAGATGACTGGTGGGACCTTGGCTTGAGTTTCATCATCTTCCTTTTGCTCATCTTCATCGATCTCAATAACGACATGATTCTGAGAAGTTCCTGGCAATGAGCGCTTGGGTACTCGAACCGCTGGTTCGTCATCGGCGACGTCGACGAGCTCTACTTCTTCTTCTTCTTTGGGTTCGAATTTATAGTATTTTCTGTTCTTTATCATACTTATGATCATCTTCTCTAAGTCGTAATCTCTCCCGTGAACCCTATCCAATAATTTGGCCAACCATTCGATGATTTCTTTCACCGGACGATGAGCAGCTTCACTGTAATTGAGTTTTCTCCAGATGTGCTCTTTCACCGATTTTCTGCTGCACATCATGTAGAGCAAGACAACATAGTATTTTCCAAAGTCGCCATTCGATTCGAACTCTGGCGTTCTCATAACCTTCTCAGTTGCCGCCGCAAAATAACGATCATGATACGATTTCTCAATCAATTTGAATAGTGGCACTGGATTGTCGATTTTCCAAGGCTGCAGCAACTCCTTGACGTCCGGGAGATCCTGGAATACTTTTTGTTTGGATTGAAGGAAAATACCACATTCTTACTTCTGCTGTTAATCGGGAATCGAATTTGTTATCAAAATAGCATATATGGTAGAGATACCCGTATGACCACTTCGCGGTAGGAGGAACACGTTCATACCAAATTGCTGAAAACTCTTTTTTGAAATAATATTATATCATAATTTTTGTAACACTTACGATTTCCACGGATGGGAAACCTTATGAGAAGTGACTCCATGAAGAAGGAATGTGCCTCGCAATGACTTTTCCAATTCTGCTCACCGCTTTCACTCAACCCGCTTGGTTTCTTCATTTCCAAATTCTGTAAAACACAATTAGAGAATTTCATCCGTAATTGGAAAAAAAAGTTTCTTGGAATTTTCCGAAAATTTTTTCGAAAAACGAGTTTCTCAATATTTCTCGGAAAATTTAGAATGCTGAATATAAGAGTGTCGTTGGTGACATTTTCCTTGTTTTTTTGGTCATTTTAACGTGGAGGCCTAACTTTTGCAAACTGAATTTTGTAGGCCATCAACACTTTCTTGGTTTGGAATTGGTGTATACATATAATACTAGTAGGTATTAAATTAATTTTAAACCGAAACAGGTGGTCGCCTCAAAAACCCAACTTGCAAACGTTAGGCCACCATATGAAAATTCCACAGAAAAGAATACTGGTGAGTATTAGATTAATTCTAGACCAAAGATCAGAGTCATATCAATTCTAGACCAAAGATCAGAGCCATATATTTGTAGGCCATGTTAACATGGTGGTTTAGAAAACTCTACTTGCAAAAGTTCAGGACACCACTTCAACATGACATAGGAAAAACACCAGAGGCATGTCAGGCCATTTTTGGGTCATTTTACCAGGTGGCTTATAAAATTCATCTCGCAAAATTTAAGCTACCACTTAGAAGTAAGATAGAAAAGACACTAGGGGCATGTAAGACTATTTCTAAACCATTTTAGCATGTCGGCATAAAAAGCTCATCATGCAAAAGTTAGGACACCACTTGAAAATTACCTAGAAAACAGATTAGAATCATGTCAAGCCATTTCTAGGTTGTTTCAATATGGTGGCGTAGAAACTTGAAAAGTTAGGCCATTTTTTAGAATTACTCAAAAAATACACCAGGGGCATGCCAGGCCATTTCTAGGTTATTGTATAATGATGGCCCTAAAAGCTCAAAATGCAAAAGCTAGGGCACCACTTATAAATAACCTAGAAAAAACACCAGAGTTATGTTAAACCAGTTTTGGGCCAATTTATCACAACAGCCTAGATAATTCAAAATGCAAAAGTTAGGCCACCACTTGAAAATGGCCTAGAAAACGCACCAGAATCAATTTAGGTCATTTCTAGGCAAAAAAGGGGTGGCCTAGAAACCCCAACTTGGAAAAGTTAGGGCTCAACTTCGAAATGACGTAAAACACGCATAAAAGTCATGTCAGGCTATTTCTAGACCATTTTATTATGGTGGCCTAGAAAACTCAACTTGCAACAGTTAGGCCTGCACGTTAAAATGTATTTGTTTCGAGAATTTTTGGGGAGATGTGGAACTCACTTTGAGATCTTCCAAAACCTGCTTCAGGTTCTCCATGGTTCTCTCTATTTTGGAAATATTTTGGAATGTGGTCATCCGTGTTTCCGGTACGGCTCCTCATGGGCACTGGCCATTCCGGATATTTGCTAGTCGCAGACTTCAATCTCACTTTGTTCACATGAGACAAGTATTCAATTGTTTCATTGAACAAATCTATGTCGAAAATCGACATTTCTGCATTAGCCATATAGTGAAGGCATCCCGCGAGTGTTGGAAATTCCACTTTTTCCTGAAATACAGTATAATGAGTACCGGTCAGTAAAATATACAAAGACCTATTTTTCAGTTGATTTTCAGAAATTTTGACAATTTTTAGAGCGCGGTTTTCAAGTTTCTGATCACTTCGAAACTTTTGGGAAGTGTAAAATAGACCTAGAGTGAAAACTTTTCCTTCAAAGGAATTTCTGAATATTCCCAGTTTTTCAGCCATTTGCCGATTTCTGTAAAACGGCCTTTTCTGGCACGTTTTTGTACTGAGAACGTGAAAAAAACAGATATCTTTCAGAGATCGGCAAAAAACACAAAAACTGAGAACTTCAAAAATTCTGTAAACGCAAAGTTTTTAATTGAAGCCCGTTTCACACTCTCCAAAGTTTCCAAAATGATCGGCAAACTTGACAGCCAATCTCCGGACTTTTGAAAACGACCGAAATGGCTAAAAATCAACCTCAAAGGACGTTTTTTGTTTTTGTTTTTTCTTGACCGGAACTTTATATGAAAACAGAATAAACAGATTTCTCTGAGTTTACCCCCCAAAAAACATACTATTTTCTTCACTTCATCCTTGGTGAATTCGACAGCTTGTGCAAGATGTGTCATTTCTACCTAAAAAACTAAAACTCTTATGAGAAAACAACAAGTTACAAGTTTCAATGAAACATTTTAGAATATGAAACGCTAACAACAGGAAAACCGAGAAATGTTACCGTGAGATCGTTGAAAAGTCAAACTCGCCGCTGTTTTCTAACGAATGCGATAAAGCGCACTTGCAAAACACAAAAAAAAACAGAAGACGAAAGACAAGAAGGAATAGAGAGACGAAAAAGAAAGTGGTATGAAAACTGTTCAAAACCACGGGACACATACACATAGACTTATTTTATGATTTATTAAAGAAAGGAGGGAGGGAGCGAGAGAGAGAGTGGGAGCAGGAGGGATGAGAGAGTACAGACGTATCCATGTCGTGTTTTGTTTCAAAGTTCATCTGAATAAGGTAGGAAAATTGGGGACCTGTGTACTGTACTCTACTACAACTTACATACTGCCGATAATTCAGTGAAAGCAAACTTCCATACTGAAGGTTAGAGTGCCGAGTCGACTCGAAAATCGATGATTATTTGCCGACTTTGAAATCGACACAATCGAGATTCAACAATTCGACAAAACTATTTGTTGATAAAAATTGAATCTTTCGTTGTCTATTTCACACTAACAAGTGAAGAGCAGCGAAGGTCTAAAGCAGCGAAGGTCCGGAAAGCAGCGAAGGTCTAAAAAGAGGAAAACTAATTTTAAGGGAATCAATAGCATGTCTAATCTAAAACGAGAATTAAAATGGAGAGTTGGTATTAACGATGGGGATGGGATATTCGCTGTGATAAATGCCCACCCAATACGTACATATACTTCGAGTTTGATTACCTCGGTCTCTATGAGAGATATCAAAATTCAGTCAACTGATAAAATATTAGTGATTTTATGAGGATTAATTTATCAGTTGAAAAATTTCTTGTAGCATTTAAAGGAACCGAGATAATTGAGCTCAAAATGAACGTATTGGATATATTCCGATCTCGGATGTTCTCCTATCACTTCCATGGCATCCCCTGCAGTTTGGAGTATGACGTAGCGTAAGAATAAATGTCTAGAATTGTTTATATGAAATAGACCGGCGACCCACAGCAGATGGTTTTCAACTGGGAGGAAGAAAAGAACGAGGGTTGTTGAGAAAGTTTAAAAAAAGGACAATCGTTCGTTAAGGGTGAATTGATGACAAAGGAATGGGAAAACGTGATAGAAAGAAGTGTTAACACTGCTGCCTCCCACGCGAAAGTGATTTTGGGACCGATGAAGCTCAGTTCCGTGTTTCGCATTCTAAATGAATTTCGTTTTCCCAAAATCCGTCGTTTTAAAATCATATTTTAAACAAAATCAGGAAACTGGAATGGCGCCGAAAATCTTCCAGAAGACTCTGAAAACTTGCGTTTTTTGGGAAATGTATGGGGGGGGGGGGGGGGGCGCATGGGAAAAATCCTAGAAATTATGCTCTGATACAGCTCGCGAGGAATTGAACTATTGGACCTAACGCTGGAGGACCTAACACCGCCCCGAAACTAGCTGAGCACACCTTCTCAGCGACTACGGTAGCGCAAGCTATGTGTCTGACCAATTTCAATTATGAAAAAGGCTCAAAACAGAAAGCTCCTTGCTCCCATCTTTTACTAAACGAAGACATCCAGAGTTTGAAGTATCATATTCAAGCTTTCCATGACAAATATAAGAAAGAAGTCAGTTGTTAAAGATTGGTACAAGCGGAGCAAGAGAAAAAATAGAAAATTGAAATTACCAAAAGGCAGAATTCACTTCTAAATCGAAACGAGATAGAATGTGTACATCGGAACAATTTCATCAATCTTCAGCAGTCTGGTTCTCCGGCTGAGCAATGCTTCTATATCTTGATTAAGAAGGCTGCAAGCGTTGTATTCCAAAAGATAGAAATATCTTACTGGTCTTATTCATTTTTTTTGCCGTGGCTTGCTTCTTCGAGTTCGTCCCGGCAGTGCTGGAGTACCTCATTTTTGAGCTTTTCTTTGAGAACGTTGAAAACTAAACGTCGCGCTTCTTTTTGCATGAAAGCGACCAAGCGCGCTTGCAAAGCAACAAAAAAAACACAAAGCAAAATACACGAAGGAATAGAGAGGCGGAAAAGAAATTTCTAAAAAACTGTTCGAAACCACGGGACACATACGCATACACATATTTTATGATTGATCAAAGAAAGGGAAGCGAGAGATAGAGTGCGAGCAGGAGGGATAAGAGAGTGCAGACGAGTCGCCGTCGTGTTTTGTTTCGAAGTTCATCTTATTGAAGTTCAGAGAAAGTGAAGACCGTGGAAGCGATAGAATCTTCAATATGTTTCTTGGTTCTGTAAAAAAATCCATTCGTTGACTATTCTTTATTCAATGGCATTTTCAAGGATCTGCAACTTTTTCAATTTTCTTTTCCCTGGTTTATCATTTTCAGTAAGCTTAGTTAGACTAATCCCCAATTTTTTGCACCGGAATCCGATGAACTTTGAAACAAAACACGATATGGGCACGTATATTCTCTTTTATCCTCTGTTTTCTTTGTGTTCCTTATAAGTGAGCGACTTCCATTTTTAAGTGTAAAACGAGAGAATCTCAACACCTCGCTAACCCAGATTTTGATGAAAATTTAGGATGAGAATTATCTTTCTAGACAACTCCAAAAATTTTAGAAACCAATCATGAGTTTTAGCCAAGTCATATCAGTTTCTGTATCAAAAATCGCCTTTTTTGTTAATTTTGGAATGCATAGAGGAAAAAAAAGGAAAAACCTCAAAAAAGGATTTTTTTTTCGAGGACATGCCTCAAATGAGAAATTTCATCCAATCTGAGCAGAATACTACACATTTCATGTTTTGAAACGCCCAAGAAGTTGAGAAAATTGTCTTTGAAAATCGCTGTTTTGCATTGGAACCACCATTTTTGATACTGAAATTGTATATAACTCGGCTGAAACTGTCGGGCAAATTCTAAAATTTTCAAGGTGTTGAGGTTTCCTTTGTAAGGTTCCAAAAATTGGTAACTATCAAAGCTACATGAAACTTGAAATTCACTACATGAAACATTCGCTACATGAAACTTGAAATTCGTTGCATTTTTTGGAATTGTATGACATTTCATTTTTGAGGCATGTTGTCGAAAAACAAAATGATTTATTTTCGAGGGTTTTCACATTTTTTCCATTTATTCGAGAGTTTATAATCCAACAAATTTCAGGTTCTGAAACGTCCTAGAAGATTAGAAAATTGTTTTTGAAGATCGCTGTTTTGCACTGAAACCGGAATTTTTTAAACTGAAACGGATATAATTTGGCTGAAACTGACGTTAAGTTCTGAAGTTTTCAAATGTGCCTAGATGGGTTGTCCTTGACCTATCCTGAAAATTTCATCAAAATCTGGGTTTATAAGGTGTTGAGGTTTCCTTGTGAGGCTCACAAATGTGATGACCATGAGGGCAATTAAACCTTCAGTAGTGTGCTGTGTCAATTGTTGACAATCTACAAAAAATCGACGTTTCAAAAGTCGATGAATATGAAAATCGACAAAGGTCGATTTTCGTCAATTTTGAATCGACTCAAAATCGACGAGAATAGACAAAAAAATCGACAAAAATCGTCTTTTGTCGATTTTTAATCGACTTTAATGTTAGAAACTGCCTGTTTTTTTGTTGTGCCTGTTTGAAACTGTCAGTGTGTTCCATTTTGATTTTGACATGGTGACAGAACTTTTGCAAGTTGAGTTTTCTAGGCCATTATGTCAAAATCGTCCAGAAATGACCTGATATTCATCTGTTGTGTTTTCTAGGTCATTTTGACATGGTGACCGAATTTTTGCAAGTTGGGTTTCCTAGGCCACCAGCTTTTTCTAGCTTAGAAATGTCCTAACACGACCCTGGTGTGTTTTCTAGGTCATTTTGAAGTGGTAGCCTAACTTTTGCAAGTTGAGTTTTCTAGGCCACCACATTTTTTCGGCCTAAAAATGGTCAAATATTCACCTGGTAAGTTTTAGGTTATTTCAATGCGGTACAAGTTGAATTTTCTAGGCCATCACGAGTTCAACTGAAATCCAAAAAGGTCGATTTTTGTCGACTTTTGTCGATNTAAGCTACCACTTANAAGTAAGATAGAAAAGACACTAGGGGCATGTAAGACTATTTCTAAACCATTTTAGCATGTCGGCATAAAAAGCTCATCATGCAAAAGTTAGGACACCACTTGAAAATTACCTAGAAAACAGATTAGAATCATGTCAAGCCATTTCTAGGTTGTTTCAATATGGTGGCGTAGAAACTTGAAAAGTTAGGCCATTTTTTAGAATTACTCAAAAAATACACCAGGGGCATGCCAGGCCATTTCTAGGTTATTGTATAATGATG